GAGACCTGAAAGCGGACGACATCAGCCAGATCAGACCTCTACGATATTTCTTTAACCGTTCAAGGATAAAAAAACAGACGGATCTTCCGGACCTTCTTGATGTATCCATACTCGCTCTCCTTCTCAGCGTCCTCAAAGGTAGACATCCTAAGATCCGGCTAGAGCGACGCGAAAGCTCGAAGGGAAGGCGAGGAAACGGCGGAGCAATGCTCCTTCCCAAAAGACCACACGATCACGGAGAGAGCTGGAAATTTTGCAGAGCGGGGAGGGGGGCTCTGCCTGCTGTTGTGCCACTGGAAGTTGCAAGCACTTCTCAAAACCGAGGCTATTCTGCCTTCCCCATGCCGAGCAATCATGGAGGCACACAGCCCCCGCTAGTGTGCTTCTGCACAGGAGAACACGCGTTCGTTGTCACGTACTTATCAATTGTACCGTACTTGACTTCGCACTGTATGCATTTTTCGCGATGCTAAGTTGGAAATACGAGCTCTAGGTCAGGAGAGAGTTGTTATCTTGGGCGATTTGTTCAGTGTATGCATGATCAGGCCAGACAAAATCTAAACGTGAATATGGAACATAGGGAGCAGAAACCAGCAGCCAACTTAGAATAGTACAAGCTACACTCAGGTAAATGCCAAGGCAAGAGCTCCACCACCCTAGCACACCGGTCCTGCTGCAGCCTGCTGCTCCAAAATCCACACACACCTTACAAATTTAATCCTCCTTAATACCCTCCCTTGAGATCGTTAACCACATCGTACGGAATAGGCGTAACTGTCTCCATGGTCGTGCCGGGCACAAGGAACCCTGGCCGGGGGCCCAGGGGCTTCCTCTTGCCGCCCACCACCGCCGGAGCGGGCGGCTCCAGCGCCTTCACCGCCCGCTTCTTCCTGTCCTCTTCATGCAGCTTCGCCTTCTCCTCGTCCGACTTTTTCGGGCGCGCGTTGCGCTTCTCCAGAGCCTGCAGGTACTCGAGGGTCATGGGCGCCGGCTTCTTGTACTTCTTCTCCTTGGCGGCTCCGCCGGCGGCCTTTCGGGCCTCGGCGTTGGCAGCCTTGTGCTCCTCGTTGGCCTTCACCCGCGCCTTGAAGTCCACGTTGCAGCGGGAGGGCGTCAGGTGCTCGATGCGCACGTGCAGACGCTTGCGCACAATACGGGTGTTCACCTGCAGAGGGGGGTTTCATAAGGGGGAAAACAAGGGGAGGATTTAGGTTGCAAGCGGGCCACGTTGCACCGCGACAGCGTCAGGTGCTTGATGTGCACGTGCAGGCGCTTGCGCACAATGAGCGAGAACACCAGCGGGGGAGGGAGGGGGGGATCTAACAGGATAAACCAGGAAAATTAGGGTACAGGAGGGGCATGCTGCAGTGTGCTGGGGCCAGGACCTCGATGCACACCAGCAGGGGACGCGGAAAGAGGGGAATGGGTGGAAGGAGACATGGGATCAAGGTGACTTTGTCGACTCAAAAGTCACCTCGCTTGCGCACAATGCGGGTGCCCACCTGCACGTGGTACGGGGGAGATTGTGGAAAGAGGCTTGGGAGCGGGGATTAGGGTTTCATACGGAAGTGGAGTGGAGCACGAGCACGGTTTGTGTGCACGATGCACAATGCAGGTCCTTTCCTTTTAAAGAATTTTACCCGGAGAGGGAGGACGGGGAAAAGAAGGTGGAGCTGGGGGGTGGGGGGAAAGAGGGAGGAACGGGGGGAGGGAGTGGTATGGAAGAGCCCTAAGGACAAACCAATTAAAATCACCCTCATGATGAACCACGAGCGTAGTTTGCTGCAACACATCCATGCAAACATTGTCCTACAGGGTTTCGTTCCCCCAAACCGGCCTGTCCCGTCATTAGAATCGTAGTAAAAAAACTAGTCTCACGACTCGTATTCTACAGAGCATCACGGCGTCCTGGTGCAACATGCATTCTTCGAGCGACCTCTAGCGGCCCGATCTTCCATCTCTATGCAACGCTGCACTGAGTCGACACACTGCACGCTCGCAGTCCTAGACATTCCCCACGCTCACTAAGGCTCAGTCTCACAACCTACAGCATTCCAACGCCCGCTAAGGCCCATACAGCCTATAACCTTAAGCCAGGTAACGATTCATTCCCACCACCGGTTTGGAGCCTTTCATGCAGCCACCCCTTTTACCCGGACTTCACGTCCTTACACCCAGCCATGCGAAACAGTGCACGCATTCTTTCAGAAACGCAGTCCTCGAGTCCTAGAGTCCTTGAGTCCCGCAGTCCCCCTATACCCCAGCCCGCGGTCCCTAAGCTCCGCACTGCCCCAGCCCCGTAGTTCCCTAGCTCTGAGGTCCCCAGCCCCGCAATCCCCCAGCCCCGCGGTCCCGCAGCCCCGCGCCTCGCAGTCTCTCAGCCCCCCAAGCCACCAGCCCCGCAATCCCCCAGTTCTCCAGTACCCCAGTTCCTTGATCCCCTATGTCCCCAGCTCCGCAGTTTCGCAGTCTCGCATCTCAAATCCTTCTAGAACCGTGCCAGAATGCTTCTTCTTGCAAAAGGCCTCAGCAATTGAGGTTAACAGGAAAGAGAGGAAATGAAGCGGAGGAACTTAGACCTTCTAAAACCTGAAACGTTAGTTGCCGGGAAGACCTAAAACGTGAGTCAAGTGAGGCCATCGCTCTCTACGAATTTCCTATCATCCTCCTCGCCGTCCAAATCCCTTAACGCACTATCACTAATCTTGATCTCCAGAGCTAGGCGACAGTATCCACCTATCTCAATAAACTGATCACACTCTGAATCCGAGTCCCCCCTGCAGAGGCTGAACTAGCACAGCCATGCCTAAATTCTCTGCTCGGCTTCGCTAGCTGATCACCACCAGAACTCTAGCCTCTCGTTGTGAAGACTAGGCGGATGCGCTAAGAATCCGCGGGTCATTGCCCAGGGGTATCAGTTCACAAAACTGCTTGCCGGTTTTGACGCTAGTAGGGAGCGCGCGCGCATGCGACGGCGTTGCAGAAGCGACCTAAGGTCACGGCCAGCTTACTTGCAGAACGACGCTGCCAATCTTAACTCCCAGCCTAGCATGACAGGATTACGGTCTTGATTCTCCTTGCTTCACGACCTAATCCAGCGAGGATACGAGAGCGCGAGTGGTCAGGTTCCTGGTCATTCCCTGAAAGAACAAACTTGCCACGTATTCAAGCGTCCTGAGGCGACTAAAATCCCACGGACCTGCTTGTTGACTTCCACGCCAAGAGCGCGCTTGGTGACGTTCCACACACGACCAGTCTTTCCCTGGTAGAACTTGAACGGCATGCCCTTCTGTACGGCGGAGTTGACCTTAATGTCGACCATGTCGCCGAGCTTGTACGTACGCAGGTACGTCGAGATGGGGATGTAACCATGCTGGCGGAACCCGCGCGAAAACATGTCGCGGGTTCGCGAGCGCAATCCATGGCCCTTCATTTTGGGATTTTTGGAATGGAAACCCTAGCCTGTGTTAGCTGCTGCTGCTGCTGCTGTGCCTGATTCTATGGCACTCTGCTGCTGCTGTGACGCAGGGAGAGAGGAGCGTCCCAAGGGGAAAGGGAGAGACTGAGAGGAGGAAGAGGAAGAAGAATGGCTGAGAGGTGAAGGGGAGACGCAGGGACAGGAGCACGGGAGCATGGAGCAGGGAGCAGGGGAGCACAGGAGCAGAGGAGGGGCGCGCAGCCGAGGTGAAGGGAAAGCAGGGGACGAAGCAGGGGAGCAAGTGGGGGGAACCGGCGGTTCAAAGGGAAGCGGCGGGCAAGAGAAGTAGGCGGAATGATTGGGGTAGCGGAAGGGGGGAACGGGGGAGTTGGAAAGCAAGGAGAAGGATTTGGGTGGGGTGATTGGATTGGACATGTGGGAAAGTGGAGGAAATGTGGTGGAGGAAAAGGGGAACAACTTGGGGACTTCAAATTGGTGACTTGCGCTGTGGTGGTGCGCCACAAGTTGTGCTTTTAATGTTTGCTACCCTAGTGAAAGCTATTTTCGTACATCGAAATGCAAATAGTTACAGTTACACTTCTTTGTTGCCTCGATAATGTCGTATGACGCCAGCTGGTCAGTGTCCCTGCTTGCACAACGTGTCTCGTCGCGACTAGTCCCATGAGATGAAGATTTGCAGAATCGCGAAAGACGACCCAATCAGGAGGCAAGCAATGGTCCAAAATTGTGCGAAACAATCTGGGTAATCTGTACGGTTGGTCGTTATAGCTGGGTTCCACACGGCCTTGTAGGGTTAACAATGCATAAGTGGGATTTCAATACGGTGGACAGATAAAGTTGGCATTTCCCAAGAAACTGATACCCCAATTTCTATGGTTCCGTCCGAGGCATTCAACTGTGGAATTTCTGCTTTCCTGTGGTGAGGTGATAGATGCTTTTCCCCATTCCAGCCCTTCCTAATGGCTTCCGCTGCTTCATATTGCGCGAGCAACGCGATTTCTGGAACCATCAGCCATGGCAAAGCTTTACCACGCGTTTTGATGCTCAGTGAAGCTACGTATTAGTGGAAGCACGTTACTTCTGAAATCGAACGCCCCGCGACTCCACCATTTCGTGGCGTCCAAGCGAAGTCATGTAGCTACACCCGTCCATGAGTCTCGAGTTCGAGGCTGTTTTGCGTCGCGAGATGGCGTGACATCAGCGGCTGTGACTGTAGAGGGTGGCTTGGCGACGGCCACGGAAGAAAAAACCGTTGAGGAAGAGCAGTTCGATTGGGACAAAGCCTGGTATCCAGTAGGTACGTGAATGATATGTTTTAGAGCGGCGGCATCATGAAAGTAAGCTCGGACCAGGAGTCGCCATATATTAGCAGAAACTATTCCCGAGACTGTAGAAAAATGTGCATCAAGCTTAAATAGAAGAAGCTACTACTAGTAGCCAGGTTCATGGAGTACATTTGGATAATTGGATGGCTTGATATTCAAACATAGTTATTTTGAGCATCTTTTGCAACAATTCAGCTGAACATGCTTGAATATCATAGGTCATTCTTAGCTTAGTTATGGGGAAAGCAGTCATAGTGCATGTCTTAGACAATCTAACCCCATCCTCCTTTACTACTTGTATTTTCGGAATTCCTCCCATTCCTCCAGCTCCTCTTTCCATTGTCGCCTATTTCTCTCGGCCCTCCCGTACCAGAAAATGTCTCTATCATTTCTCGCTTATATCCTTGATCTCACTCCCTTTTTCCCACAAACATAATCTCCCCCATTTTCTCCCACGTGTTGAGTGCATTCCCACCCCTTACCCCAACTCCTCAGCGGTCCCTCCCTTACAATCATCCCCCTCACTCCATTGAGTTAATCACACTTTCCTCCCATCACACCCCCCCTCACTGCACCTGCCAGCTCTCACCAAGACTCTGAACAAGCGCGTTCCTGAGCCTGTGACCATTCTCGGCCGCCCATTGGTCATCTGGTTCGATCAGGTCTCCGACCAATGGCGGGTCTTCCATGACCTCTGCCCTCACAGGTACTCACAATAATTACCGTTCTTCTCTCTGTCACTCCTTTATTGCTTGTGAAACTGATAATAATCTGTTGATCTTTGAGTCATGTCAATTTGCACAAGTTTCAGGGATACACGAGTGGGGCCAGCTGTTGCAGCACGGAAGGGCGTGTGTTCAAACCCCCGTTCTCTTGTCTTCACTTCCTCTTTTCCTGTTCCATGCTGTGTCCCTGTTCCTCCCCGCTCCCAGGCTAGCCCCGCTATCAGTGGGGCGGATCCACGAGTCAGGGGAGCTGCAGTGCTCCTACCACGGATGGACGTTCTCAGGAGAAGGTTCGTGCGGGTTCATTCCTCAGGCTCCCACGGACGGACCAGCGGTGAGTGGGATACGTTTTTCTTTCTATCATTCTGTGATATCAACCAAAGGCTCGTGCGGGTTCATTCCTCAAACTCCCATGGACGGACCCGCGGTGAGTGGGATACGCGAGTGCGTTAGCGGGTGGGAGGGGGGTATGGGGTGGGGAGGAGGGTGGAACGAAGGAAGATAAGAGGGATGGGAATGTGGGAGGCGAACGACTATCCCTCCCCTTTCCCCCTACATGGGTAACTGTCTGTTCTCGCCTCCCATCAGCACTGCTTCCCTTCTTCGCCCCTGTCCTTGCTCCTTCCCCCTTTTCCCTTGCCCCTTCCACCTTAATCTTGCTTTCTACCATTCCCTTGCCCCTTCTCTCCTGCCCTTTCCCTTTTTCCCCTTTCCCTCGATCCCCTCCCTCTGACCTTGTCCATTCCCCCCTTGCCCTTGCCACTTCCTTCCTAACCCTGCCCCCCCCCTCCCAGGTGAATGTCTCTCCAAGAGCATGTGCGCGTGTGTACCCCTGTCGGGAGCATCAAGGCATCATCTGGTTCTGGCCAGATTATTCCCCTTCCGCTGCTGCTGAGGCAGCTGCTGCTCCTCCTCCCCCGACCCTCCCTGAGTTTGACGACCCAACCTTCCGATACGACACGGGCATGTCAGACCTTGAGTATGGGTGAGCTGGTTTGCAAGGTTGGTTTGCAAATCCAGCCTGTAAAAGCTGCTCCGCCTCCCCCGACCCTCCCTGAGTTTGACGACCCAACCTTCCGATACGACACGGGCATGTCGGACCTTGAATATGGGTGAGCTGGATTACGAGGTTTATGAGGTCTCAGATCTCCTCTGATTTCACCTCAAATATGGGTGACCTGCTTTTGTAGGACTGGTTGTTTGAAGATCCGAGCTTCCAGTATGACACGGGCATGTCTGACCTTGATTATGGGTGAGTCGGTTGGTTTGCGTAGTTATTATTCTTTTGAGGCGCCTCAAGACTCCACCTTCCGATACGACATGGGCAGGTCGGGCCTTCATTATGAGTGAGCTGGTTAGCAAAGCTGGGGTGGTGATTTCGTTTCGAATCTCTCGCATGTGCTTCGAATGTTCCTGTCTTTTCCTCCCCCCTCCCCATTGCCCTCCCCTCTTTCTCCATTACCTCCCCCACCCTCCCCCACCCTCCCCCACCTCCTACCGTCCCCACCGCCCACAGCTACGAAATGCTGATGGAGAATCTGTTGGACCCAGCGCATGTGCCCTTCGTGTGTTTCCATCTGATATGGCCCATTCCCCTTCCAACGTCTCTTCCCCTGTCACTCTCCTGGTCCCCTTCCCCACCTCCCACAGCTACGAAATGCTGATGGAGAATCTGTTGGATTGGACCCAGCACATGTGCCCTTCGTGTGTTTCCATCTGATATGGCCCATTCCCCTTCCAACGTCTCTTTCCCTATCACTCTCCCGGTCCCCTCCCCCCTCCCACAGCTACGAATTGCTGATGGAAAATCTGTTGGACCCAGCGCATGTGCCCTTCGCACATCACAAGTACCAGGTGAGAACATCAAGGCTAGAACCAACACCAGGGTCTGATGCTCGTGGTAACCATTCTCACAATATTCACATCACCTGTCTAGCCCAGTGCATGGCACTAACCAGCATCACCGCACAAGGCATTGAGGGGAACAAGCCTCGTATCCCTCCCTCTCATCCCTCCCCTCCCTTTCCCTTCCCGCATTCCTACATTCCCATCTTTTGCAGGGCGATCGCAACAAGGCAAGCCCACTGCCGTCCATGGTGGTAACCAGCATCACCGAACGAGGAGAATTTTTTAGGTGCTTCAAGGAAACAAGCTTCTTATCCCTATTATTCCTCCCCTTCGATGTCCTTCCCACATTCCTACATTTTGCAGGGCGATCGCAACAAGGCAAGCCCACTGCCGTCCATGGTGGTAACCAGCATCACTGCACGAGGCATTGAGGGTAACAAGCCTCTTATCCCTCTCGTCATTCTGCGGTGTGTCCTCTCCCCTCCCTGTTGCTTCCCACATTTCTGCATTCTCACCAATTACAGGGCGATCGCAACAAGGCAAGCCCACTGCCGTCCATGGTGGTAACCAGCATCACTGCACGAGGCATTGAGGGGAAAAGCTTTGTATTCGGCCCAGCTACTGTGGTGCCGCCCTGCACACTCATTCAGAAGCTCTATATCGGGGGAAAAGTGGTGAGGCCAATTTGTTACAATCTCTTTTCTTTTTTCTTCTTTTTGGTGCTCTTTTTTTGTGGAAAAGTGGTGATCTCCATTCGTTATTATCACAGGTGTTCTGTATAGGCGCCTTTCTGAGGAACATGCATCCCCACTGAGTATTTCACACCCTTCCCTTCCCTCCTATTGTCTGAGCAGCCAGAGGGGTTGGGTGAGAAGCAGCACACAGTAATTCTGCTCTTCCACTGCATCCCCACCTGCCTTCCACATCTTCTGTGACCCATGCATCCCCACTGTGTGGCTTACCGACTTCCCTCCCTTCTTGCAACTCTGCTTTTCCTCCCCTCATCCTTCCTCTCTGAGCAGCCACAAGGCTCGGGACAGAAGCAGCGCACGGTGATTCTCTTCTTCCACTGCATTCCCCGCCTGCCGGGTCAGAGCCGCCTCATCTGGTTCTCGTTCCTTGAGCCAACTTGAAAATCACCCCTTTCTTTCGCTGTTCTCCAACCTTCTCCCCGTTTTCCCCTTCCGCCACCCCCAACTCCACCCCCACCCCACGCCCCCCACCCACCACGCGCTATTCTGAGCAGCCAGAGGGGTCGGGACAGAAGCAGCGCACGGTGATTCTCTTCTTCCACTGCATCCCCCGCATGCCGGGGCAGAGCCGCCTCATCTGGTTCTTCCTCAAAAACATCATTCCGGCCTGGATGCCCATGCCTCCCGAGTGGTTCGTGCACCTGCTGCGAATGAAAGTATCCGACACGGACCATGTGCTGCTGCACCTCACGGTAGGTCCCTTTCGTGGACTCTGTTTGAGCCGCCTCATCTGGTTCTGCCTCAGGAACAAGCCCATGCCTCCCGAGTGGTTCGTGCACCTGCTGCGAATGAAAGTATCTGACACGGACCATGTGCCGCTGCACCTCACGGTATGTCTCCTCATTAGACTCTAGTGTATCGGCTGGGTTGGCACATTCATGGTTGGCACAAGAAAACCGTCCCCGCGTGGATGCCCGTGCCTCCCGAGTGGTTCGTGCACCTGCTGAGGATGAAAGTATCCGACACGGACCACGTTCTGTTGCACCTCACTGTACACCTCACATGGCTCCACCTCACGGTACGTCGTTTCTTAGGTGCGTCAAACATCATTCTCCGAATGCCCGGTCAGAGCCACCTCATCTGGTTCTTCCTCCCTGCTGCAGATGAGAGTATTCGGCACCGGCCACGTGTTGCTGCACCTCACAGTATGCCTCTGTGCCTCACTGCACGCCTGGATGCCCATGTTCCCTTTGATCAAAGTTTTGAGGCGCCTCAAAACTCTGCTGCACCTCACGGTAGGCTGCTCCCCGCAACTCCTCTCAACTCCTCTGTCTGTACATCCCCCCTCACTGCAGGAGTGGCGGCTGGAGGAAGAGGGAGGGGTGGTGCAGGGGGTACGGAGCAACTACACTCCCACATCGTCCGACTCGCTGTCTCTGCCTGTGCCTCCTTCACCCCTACCACCCCTATCACCTCTGTCCCCAACCCCCGGCACCTTTACCTGTTTCAGGAGTGGCGGCTGGAGGAAGAGGGGGGGGTGGTGCAGGGGGTACGGAGCTACTACACTCCCACATCGTCCGACTCGCTTGTCTTGGCCCACTACCACCCATCTCACCTCTCTCTGTACCCTCAATTCCTGCCCCCGCAACGCCTGCGTCTGGTACCTCTTCCTTCACTGCAGGAGCGGCGGCTGGAGGAGGAGGGAGGGGCGGTGCAGGGGATAAAGAGCTACTACACTCCCACATCGTCCGACTCGTTCATCTCGGCCTTCCGCTCCTGGCTGAGAAGGTTTGCGGGCTGCAAGGCCCGTTTCCCCGCCTATGTGGATCCGAAGCTGCCTCCTGCCAAGTCCCGGCGGGAAATTCTCGACAGGTGAGGTTTTTCTCGGCATTTGACTATGCTGTGATGTGATATGCATAGTTGGACAGGGAGCCTGAGGGTGTTATGCCCGTTTATCCTGCCTTGCCTCTCCAAAGCTGCATTTTGCCAAGTCACTGCGGGAGATTCTCGACAGGTAAGGATGAGTGGGCTTGGTGTTGACAATGACTGGGCTAGGGTCGGGACAGTTGAGAAGGGGAGTTTCTTATCGACAAGCCCTACAAACAAGCATTGGCTGTTTGCTGCTTCAAAAACGACTGCTGGGGTTAGGCTTCTTAGGTAAAGCAAGGGCCGCCTTCCCGCCTCTCCACTTCCAATCTCCCCCTCCCTCCCCCCCAAACACCTGCAGGCAGCGCTTCCAAGTGCGGCTGTGCCCTGAATGCCAGCGAGTGCAGCGCTGACCTTTTGAGGCGCCTCGGTTGAATCAATCACTCACCCCTCTCCCCCATATCCCATCACCCACAGGCAGCGCTTCCAAGTGCGGCTGTTCCCCTACAGCCAGCAGGTGCAGCGCTGGTATTTTGAGACGCCTCAAAAGTCAACCCCCCACACACCCCCCTCTCCCCAACACTTCCACCCCTCCACCCACAGGCAGCGCTTCCACGTGCGGCTGTGCCCCGACTGCCAGCGAGTTCAGCGCTGGTCTGACCGCCTCCGCACCGCCCTCTGGGCCGCCACACTCCTCCTCGCCGCCACCGCCCTGTTTCCCCTCGCCCCACCCGCCATAAAGAATGCAGTGGGTCCGGCTGGTGCTGTCTTCGCAGTGGCTGCTGCGGTGGCGTGTGCTGCTGCTGCTCACTGGTTGAAGGGGTTCATTGAGAGAAATTATGTTTACGAGGACTTTGTTCATGCACTCTGGTACCCTGCGAAGAAATCAGCGTAAAAAAATAGGTTTATCGGGTTGCAAAGTCCATCGGTTGATGACATGGTTTGCTTGCATGAACTGCCGCCCTCATCCGCTGCCTCCGTGCCGCCACCACCCTGTTTCCTCTCGCCCCCTGCCATAAAGAAAGCATGGTGTTGGGTCCGGCTGGTGCTGTATTTGCAGTGGCTGCTGTGGTGGCATGTGCTGTGGCTGGTCACTGGTCGAAATGGTTCATTTAGAGGAATTAGGTGTATGAAGACTTTGTGCATGCGCTTTGGTGTCCTGCAAAGAAGTAAACCCACAGGCGCGCTATGTTTGCATGCAGTAGTAAATAAAATGGTGTGATTGTTGTTCGTGAATTGAGATGGGATAACCATAGAAAGATGAGAGTTTGCATTGCATGCTGTTATGCAATAACTTCAGAGGATTAAGTGGGCTGGCTATGGAAAAACGTTTGGTGTACGCCTATGTTGTTATGCTGGAATGCAGATTTGTAAGTCTCACTCTGGAAATCGTAATGTTTATAATACATGCATGTCTGGTCACTCTCACCCCATCACTGGCATATGCGATCTAGCTCGATAAGACCAATCACAATCTCCATCTCCAATATGGACGCTTGAAAGTACCGCGCTGCGCAATAGCGGAGCGTCAACCTGAACCTTGAAAAGCCCACTCCCCAGACATTTCCATTCCTTTTCTCGACGGACGTATTTACGTCCTGCTTGCCTAAACTAGCCCACGTGCCTAGCTGTCCTCTAGGTCATTAGAATCACACTCTTGTCACGCGCTTCCCTCCTCCTTCGTGTGGAACGCGTATCTGGCTCTTCGTAGCAAGCGAGATTTGGCATTTGGTCGTAGAACCACTCCGGGAAGATGCCTCCTAAGTCGAAGAAAGAGGGTCCAGTCGAGAGGCCCATCCTCGGTAGATTCTCCTCGCATCTTAAGATCGGTATTGTGCGTCTCCCGCCATGACTTCTAACTTTCTTTCACGACTCTTTTTATACCCGTTTTCTTAAGTTCGTTATCGTGCGTGATCCGCCGCATCCACCTCGTTTACTGTTCGCCGTATCGCCTTTTGATGCGCCTCAAGAGTCCCCTTGTCGCCGTGACGACCGTCATTCGAGTCTCTTCGATCCTGGTTCACGAGTTCGCCATGTCTTAACGTATTCTGAAGATCGTGCTCCTGACCGTGTTTCCATACCCTGTTGGATGCGACACATCCGCGATAATGCATTCCCGAGTGCTGCTGAAATTACGTCTCTGTTCAATGCGTATCCTTGACCGACTCCATATTCCAGTTGATTTGTCACCCTAAGTTCCACATTGCTCGTTGCTCGTTTTACAACATTTGGTCAGTCTGCGCAATGTCGGCAACCCAGCACCCTTCAACACGCTCACCAATTTCTCCATCCCTGTTATCCCCGCTAAGAACTTCCCCTTTGGAAACATCAACCCCATCCACACCTCTTTTTCCTCCAAACCAGGTCGGTCTACCCAATGTCGGCAAGCCAACGCTCTTCAACGCGCTCACCAGTCTCTCCATCCCCGCTGAGAACTTCCTCTTTTGCACTTACCACCCCAACCATCTCTCTATGTGTTCCAAACCAGGTCGGCCTGCCCAATGTCGGCAAGTCAACGCTCTTCAACACGCTAACCAAGCTCTCTATCCCCGCTGAGAACTTCCCCTTTTGCACCATCAACCCCAACGAGGCTCGCGTCAATGTGCCTGACGAGCGATTTGACTGGCTCTGCCAGCTGTTCAAGCCCAAGAGCGAGGTGAGTATTAGTTGCTACGAGTCCCAGCCTTAGTCCTTTCAGTAACCTACTGACTGGCTCTGCCAGCTGTTCAAGCCCAAGAGTGAGGTGAGCGAAACACGATCTGGAGTGACAGCAGCGAGAGTGCTACCACTGAGTGTGACAGTAGCGATTTTTGAAGACTCATGGCCATGCATGGCTGATGGTGTGCCCCTTGCATGGCTTATCATTTCCACTTACGGTTCCGCTTAGCACTTCCACTTGTCCTTTTCGTTTCACCTCTTTTTGCTTCGCCCCTTTCGCTGTCGCTTTCTCTCTTTCCTACTCTCTCTCAGGTCTCCGCCTTCCTGGAGGTGAACGACATTGCAAAGCTGGTGTGCGTCGTTCCCAGCAGCACTTCCACTTGCCCTTCTCCTTTTAATCTTCCCCTCGCCTTCCCCTCGCCTTCCCCTCGCCTTCCCCTCGCCTTCCCCTCGCCTTCCCCTCGCTTTCCCCTCGCCTTCCCCTCGCCTTTTCCTCTCTTTCGCTTATTCCTTTTCTTCTCTCTCCCAGGTCTCCGCCTTCCTGGAGGTGAACGACATTGCAGGGCTGGTGCGCGGAGCTAACGAAGGGGAGGGATTGGGCAACGCTTTTCTCTCGCACATCCGGGCCGTTGATGGCATTTTCCACGTGTGCCGTAAGTGCCAAACCTCCCAGCCTCTCCCAACCTCCTTTCACGTGTTGCTTAGAGATAGATCCCTTCTCGCTCATGCCAACCGATCGCCCATCACCCCCGATCGCCCCTTTTCACCCCATTCCACCGCTTTCAACCAGGTGCGTTTGACGACGCGGATGTGATTCACGTGGAGGACACGGTGGACCCCATCAGGGACCTGGAGATCATTCCCCCCTGGTGACTGCTGGCCGCCTTACCGGGTTTTCACCCCTGTGCACCCCTTTTCACTCCCTTTCACCGCCCTTCACCCCTTTCAACCAGGTGCCTTTGATGACGCGGACGTGATTCACGTGGAGGATACTGTTGATCCGATCAGGGACCTGGAGATCATTCACAACGAGCTGCGGCTGAAGGACATTGAGTTCATGGAGCGAGCCAAGGAGGACTATGAGAAGCAGCTCAAGCGCAGCAACGACAAGCAGCTCAAAATCGACCACGAACTGTGCTTGAGGGTGGGTGCCTGGCGCTCTTGGTTTAGGGTTTCCGTGTCAAGGGGTGAAAGGAGAGCGGGAAGGGAGAGAAATGAGTGGGGAACGGGGTGCGGAAGGGGGGAAGAATAGCGGGATCAGGGGTAGTGAGTCAGTGAGGAGGCGAGAGAGAGTGAGAGAGGCGGGGATGAGGGACCTGGAGAGGCGCACCTGAACGGGGGCAAGGACATGTGGCTGGGCGAGTGGAAGGCGGTTAACATTGAAGTGCTAAAAACCGCACCCTTCCCTGTTCCCTTCCTCCCATCCCTTCCTCCTTCCGCCTCAACCATTCTGCACGCATCCCATCCCATCCCATCACCAGGTTTTGGCGCATCTGAATGAGGGCAAGGACGTGCGGCTGGGCGAGTGGAAGGCAGCTGACATTGAGGTGCTCAACACGTTCCAGCTGCTGTCTGCCAAGCCCGTCGTCTACCTGGTACGGATGTGAGGAGATGTTTGTGAATGACTGAATGACTGTGATAGTCAGCAACCAAGGCAGCTGACATTGAGGTGCTCAACACGTTCCAGCTGCTGTCTGCCAAGCCCGTCGTCTACCTGGTAGGGATGTGAGGAGATGTTTGTGAATGACTGAATGACTGTGATAGTCAGCAACCAAGGCAGCTGACATTGAGGTGCTCAACACGTTCCAGCTGCTGTCTGCCAAGCCCGTCGTCTACCTGGTACGGATGTGAGGAGATGTTTGTGAATGACTGAATGACTGTGATAGTCAGCAACCAAGGCAGCTGACATTGAGGTGCTCAACACGTTCCAGCTGCTGTCTGCCAAGCCCGTCGTCTACCTGGTACGGATGTGAGGAGATGTTTGTGAATGACTGAATGACTGTGATAGTCAGCAACCAAGGCAACTGACATTGAGGTGCTCAACACGTTCCAGCTGCTGTCTGCCAAGCCCGTCGTCTACCTGGTACGGATGTGAGGAGATGTTTGTGAATGACTGAATGACTGTGATAGTCAGCAACCAAGGCAACTGACATTGAGGTGCTCAACACGTTCCAGCTGCTGTCTGCCAAGCCCGTCGTCTACCTGGTACGGATGTGAGGAGATGTTTGTGAATGACTGAATGACTGTGATAGTCAGCAACCAAGGCAGCTGACATTGAGGTGCTCAACACGTTCCAGCTGCTGTCTGCCAAGCCAGTCGTCTACCTGGTATGAACCAATGACCCTGAATGAACAAACGGGTCTCTCATGAACAAACGGGTCTCTCATGAACAAACGGGTCTCACATGTGCTTTCGAGAATTCTCAAAAGCGACAATTGGGTATCAGTCTCCTCCGGTCTTGGCTCTGCTTGATTCCAAATCTATGACACTTACACTGTACACATTGTTGCTGACTGACTCTCTCGTGTTGCTCTAATGGCTTACCTATGGCAGGTGAATTTCATGGAGAACGACTATCAGTGCAAGAAGAACAAGTGGCTTGCCAATTATTCCTCCTGTTGTCAACTCTCGGACTTGTGTTTGGTCAAGTGGTTGCTGACTCTCTATCTCCCTCCTGTCACTCTAATAATGGCTTGCCAATGGCAGGTGAATCTTACGGAGAAGGACTACCAGCGCAAGAAGAACAAGTGGCTCGCCAAGATCCATGGCTGGTAAGTGCCCAGTGTATCTTCTGTTGTTGTAATTCATTTTTGCATGCGCAAGAGATGTGCCGTAAAGGAGTAATTCTTCCTCACCTCACTCATTCTCTACTTTTCTTGAGGCGCCTCAAAAATCTTTTTCTACTTTTCCCTCACCTGCAAAATGCCGGAACACAATTCAAATTTCTCCCTTGTTTCATAGTTCCGTTTGTCACATTATGACCTAAATAACAACCCAAACACGTTCCCTTCTCTGCGAACAGGGTGCAGGAGCACGGGCAGGACCCCATCGTCCCGTTCAGCAGTGTGTTGGAGTCAAAGTTGGCAATGCTTCCATCATGCCTTAAACCTGTGAAGTACTAACCTCTTGAACTCTCTCTTCACCTCGTCTTTCACCTGCAGGGTGCAGGAGCACGGGCAGGACCCCATCATCCCGTTCAGCGGTGTGCTGGAGTGGAAGCTGCCAATGCTTCCATCATGCCTCAAGTACTAATCTGTTGAGATCTCTATTCATCTCGTCTTCCCATGCAGGGTGCAGGAGCACGGGCAGGACCCCATCATCCCGTTCAGCAGTGTGCGCCACACCTAGACTCTCCCCATAACTCAAATCGTCATCACGTCATGACCCAAACTTTGACCCAATCACGTTCACTTCTCCCCATGCAGGGTGCAGGAGCACGGGCAGGACCCCATCATCCCGTTCAGCGGTGTGCTGGAGTCGAAGCTGGCTGACATGCCGGCTGACGAGGTTGCCACCTACTGCAAGGAGAACGACATTCAGAGGTGAGGGGTGACGAGGGGTGGGATGTGGTTTGAGAGACGTGAGGAGATGAGTACTGCAAGGAGAACGACATCCAAAGGTGAGGGGTGAGGGGGGGAGGTGAGGGAAGTTGAGGGGAGGTGAGGGAAGGTGAGGGGAGGTGAGGGAAGGTGAGGGGAGGTGAGGGAAGGTGAGGGGAGGTGAGGGGAGGTGAGGGAAGGTGAGGGGAGGTAAGAGGTCTAGTGATGAGAACTGCAAGCAGAACGACATTCAGAGGTGAGGGGTGAGGAAGGGAGGAGGGAGATTCAGGGGTGAGGGGTGACGAGAGGAGGGATGTGTGTGGAGAGAGAGAGACACTGCGAGTAGGCAGCAGTAGGTGTTTCCATTGGTGGTAATGCTTGGTCCCTTTCGTACTTACCTGCATGTCTGTAAACTCTCGGTATTAATGCAAGGACCATTTGAGAGATGGGTGAGTTATTCTTTGCCCACCCACCTCCCCTCTCCTCCGTTAACCTCTCGGACGATCATCTACTTCTTCACTGCACGGCCTGATGAGGTCTGATCACTCTCCGTGTCCCCTTTGTTTCCCTCTCTCCCGCTCCTTCCCCCCACCCTCTTTCCCCCCATTTCCCCCCTGTCCCCCCTTTTCCTTCATTTTCCCCCTTTGCCCTTTTTTTCCTTCCTTTTCCCCCCTCCATCGTCCACAGTGGCCTTCCCAAGATCATAAAGACGGGGTTTGCAGCCATCAACCTCATCTACTTCTTTACAGCAGGGCCTGACGAGGTCAGAAGTGTTACCGCAGAATGGGGGAGGGGGAGGGGTGGGAGGGGGGGGGGGGGGGGGGGGAGGTGGTTGGGTGACGGTCCCATCTAGGCTCTTTGGGTAAAAAAAAGAGGAAAAAAACAAAAGGAAAAAAAAAACACAAAAAAAGACAGTGACATGATGTTTTTTCGCCGCTTCTCGTTTCTCCTCTCCCCACTCAACACCCCTTGCCTTGCAGCCCACCTCTTTTTCCGCTTCTCGTTTCTCCTCTCCCTTGTCTCTTGCCCTCTCATTCTTCCCTCACTGTTCTCTGTCGCTGCTCACAGGTTCTGGCCAATCTGTCGACATCTCAAACAGGCCCTCTAGGCTGATTATATTGAAGTCATTTTTGAGATTTCTAAATAATTATTTTGAGGCGCCTCAAAAGTAATCTTTTGAGACGTCTGCCACTAGGCCGATTTGCAAACTGACAATTCTTAGGCTGCTCTTCGCACATGTGTAGTTGCCTCAAGGTTTGCATACCGATCTTGGCACTGCAAACAGCAGGGGTCGTCACACTAACCCTTGTCTCGCTCTTTCCTCTCTGCTCCCCTCGATGTGTTGTGCATGCATCAGGTGAGGTGTTGGCAGATTCGCAAGCAGACCAAGGCACCGCAAGCAGCAGGGGCCATCCACACTGATTTCGAAAAGGGCTTCATCTGTGCTGAGGTCAGCTGCCTGTTTTATTTGTTTTTTTGCTTCTAGCTGTTTAAAATTTCCTTCGTGTATTTGTTATAGGATGTCTTTCAACGCAACGGTGTGCGTGTGTTGTTTGGTTCATAGGGGTTGCTTCTTACCAGGTGATAAATTTATGTTCCGCATTTGTTTGCTTGATACTACGGTACTCGCATCTGTTTCTTTCCAGGTGATGAAGTTTGAAGATCTAAAAGAGCTTGGATCAGAGTCTGCAGTGAAGGTAAGTGAATTTCTTCCGCTAACAATAATTTCCTGCACATACTTATCTATTTTTTCAAATGTGCTGCTGTCGTTCATTGAACAATGTGGTGTTGTCTGTAATGACAGGCTGCCGGCAAGTACAAGCAAGAAGGAAAGATGTATGTGGTTCAAGACGGGGACATTATTTTCTTCAAGTTCAATGTCTCTGGGGGTGGCAAGAAGTAGCTCCCATCTCAAACAAATTTGCTTGTCAAGGCAATCTTGGCTAGAAATAGGTTCTGGCAGTGTAAGAATGCTATTGTTTTAGCAAGTGTGTACCTTCTGAGAGTTGGATGCCTTCAACAAATAACCTTGTTACAACAGTCAGCCCACCAATCATGTCTGCAAGCGTGGCAGATTAGCGTCCGCCACTGGATGGGGAGCCTGTGGGTGTGGCGCATGACGTTGACAAAAGTTTTCTCCCCCATTCAACGCAGCGTTGCCCCCAACAGGCCTGACTCCGTGGTTTGGCTTCCCCCGACCTCGAATGCCACAACATTGAGCTGCTCCTGCTGCGCGGCGGACGCTTTTCTTGCGCTCATCCCCGCCGTCGGGGCTGCCCCCCTTTCCCTCTTCTCCCCCGCCTTGGGATTTCCCCCCCACTTTCTTCCGCCCCCCCTCTTCCTTCCCTTCCCTCCCGCTCCTCCCTTCCGCTGCTCTCTTCCGCCCATCATCGTCACACACTCACTGTGCCCTAATCCTTCCCTGCTCCACCTTTCAGAAGTCTCAACAACTAGCGGATTTTGAAGCAGATTAGTTGGCGATTCGAAAGCAGCAGCAGGTGAAGGCAGGTGTCACAACAGGAAAAGCCTTTTTCCTGTGCTTCGTCTCCTAGCAGGAGGTTTCATTTCGCGTCGCGAAAATGGCTGCTTCCGCTGCGTTGCTGACGAATCAGATCGCTTCACTGAGCATCAGGTTAGCTTGTGCTAATGGTCTCGCTCTTACTCAGCTAGGTTACCAGCGCTCCCTTGGTCTTGCTGAAATACCTAGTTTGGGGCTGTGTTGATGCGACTCGATTGGTCGCGTATTGGTTAATGGTTCTCCGCAGCACTGTATATTCACATGCATTAGTCAGTTGCTAGTTCACCAGTTCGATCCGCTGACGAAGCAAGCATCTCGCTTAGTCAAATGCCGAATCATTAGGCATTCTCAGGACAAAAAAACTGAAGCTTTATGATGAATGTGGGAAGATTAGGGTTCGCGACTGCATTGCGTGGTTTAGGCTTTTTGCCGCTTCTGGCGGATTGTATCCATGCTCACTCTCACCCATCGTCCTTCGCGCGTCTCACTCTTCTCATGGCTCACTCGCGCAGCTCTCCCGACTCAGTTGTGTGTATCTTAACCTAAGCCGTTCAGTCCCCGTTTGTAGGAGGGGAAGGTAGGGGAATAGCACACGTGCGACGAACGCCGGACAGGCAGCCCACGCACAGCCACTTGCCAGAAAGACTCTCCTCGTCTCCCTCTTGGAGTTATTTTGAGGGTTCGCTCCAAATACGAATTAAGGCAACTGACCTCTCCACGAGAAGCTTTTGTTTTGTGCCCTCCGTTTCGTCACCTTTCCGGTCCTCGCATTCCTCATTTCCGTGCTCTCACGCTCCATCCACGCCGCACCATGCGTCCCTCATTGTACCCCACCCCCATCCTCTATCCCTCCTTCATTCCCTCTCGCATCCCCATCCCCACCCCACCCGCGTCGCAGGTCATCAGCATGCCTCAAGTCTGATTTTGACGGCCGTGCTCTCACACTCTCCTCGCCTCTCGTCGCCGCGGCGCCCTCCATCCGCCGCCGCGCCGCGGTCGCGTCAGCCGCTCCGCCCGCCGCCGCTGCCGCCGCGGTCTCCGCAGCAGCCCCCGCCGTCGCCGCGTCGCTAGCGCTCGATGATGACGTGGACACGTCCAGCCGGCGGTACCCGCCATTTGCGGCCTTCAGGATCCACGGCACGGGCAGGAGAAAGACGGCCGTGGCGCGCGTGGGGCTCATCGAGGGCAACGGGGAAATTTTCGTGAACGGGCTGCCCCTGAACGAATATTTCCAGAACCAGGCGCTCATGATCCAGGTGGGAAGAGTGGGCGGGCGGGCGTGAAGTTGGCAGGGAAGTGGGCGGGAAGTGCGCGGGAAGTGGCGGGGAAGTGGGCGGGAAGTGCGCAAGAAGTGGGCGGGAAGGGGAAGTGGGCTGGAAGTGGGCTGGAAGTGGGTGAATTGTTGCTAAGCTGGTCCGCATTCTTGTTGAGCAGCAGGCGCTCATGATCCAGATAGGAAGAGCGGATCAGCGGAACAGCGGGCGGGCTTGAAAATGTGGAATTTCCAGGAAAGGTGGGAGCTTGGGTGTGGAAAAAGTGGGCGCACTTATGGAATCGTGTTGATCATGGCTGTGGCTGTGGATGCTGCAAGAGGATATGCTGGGCTATGCATGTGCTGAGCTGTGCTATGCATGTGGGCGGGCAGTGGGCGGGAAGTGGTTGGGAAGTGGGCGGGAAGTTGGCGGGAAATGGCGGGAAGTGGGCGGGAAGTGGATGAATTGCTGAAAGCTAGTCCACAGTCTTGAGGGAAGCGTTCAAATAACGCCAGAGAGGCAAAGGAAGGAAGTGACAGAGACGCTGGAGGTGCTGTGGGATGCATGTGGGTGGGAAGTGTTGGAGAGGGGTTGTGAAGGAAGGACTTGAAGGGTGATGAGTGAAAAGGAAGGAACAGAAGCACGTCGATCATGAAGAAAGCAAGGGAAGGGGCGGGTGGTGGGGCTGGGGAGATAGCTGGCAATGCGATGTGGTGCTGAACGCACATGGAGGGTAGAGGTCGTATGCCATGTCTTGTTTCATCTGTTTCTTTATCATCATCCCTCCCACCATCCCTCCCACCATCTCTTTACCCAATCTTTTCCCCCATCTCTCTTCCCCAATCTTTTCCCCCATCTCTCTTCCCCAATCTTTTCCCCCATCTCTCTTCCCCAACCACTTCCACCAGGCGGTGAAACTGCCACGCTCACCTCTGAGCTATGAGGGCAAGTACGATTGTGGTGGTGAAGGCGCTCATGGGAATAGCTATGCTTGAGACCTCTCAAAAATAACCTCTTTACATGGGGATGGCTATGCCATGTCTTCACTCATCTCTCTGTCTTCTCCAGTGCCTTTTCCAGCATCCCCTATTCCTCTATCAGGTGGTGAAGCTGTCGCCGTCCTCACTAGGCTGATGGGGAAAGTAAGATGTGGTGGTGAAGGCACATGGAGTGTTGCCTCTGCCATCTCTTTCTTTCATCACTTTCTCTTCCACCTTCTTTCAACCATCCCCTAATCTACTCCATTGGTCTCATGCATCTGTTTACCACCATGTTTCCCCCAACCTTCCTTCCAGGCTGTGAAGCTGCCGCTCTCCTCTTTGGGCTACGAGGGCAAGTACGATGTGGTGGTGAAGGCACACGGAGGGGGCCTCAACGCACAGGCCCAGGCCATGGTTCTGGGTATCGCTCGTGCTCTCGTTGCTGCCAGCGCTGCCAACCGCCCGCCCCTCAAGGCCCAGGGCATGCTCACGCGTGATGCTCGCTCGGTAGAGCGCAAAAAGTATGGGCTCAAGAAGGCCCGCAAGGCCCCCCAGTTCTCCAAGCGTTAAATGTGGAGTGGGGTTTGGGTGGAGTGGATATTCAGTGGAGATACAGTGGGGATGGTGGGTGTATGCAGTTTAGTAGGCGAGGATCAAGAGTGGGTTTCATGATTCTTTGTATGGCTGTCAGAATGTGCTTATGAATGGTCGTCACTTCGCTACTAAGAAAACTGCTGGTCCAAGAATAGCATCAGGATGAAAAACATCAGGAGTTCAAACTGGAACCCGAACTTCAGTATGGAAGCCATGCTTTGCTCATAACACATAACGCTTTTCGCATGTATTAGATGTCATTATCTCTCAGCTTGATGGAGGAGAGCAATGTCCAAAAAGCTTCACTCGACGTGGAACTTTCATTGTGCGCCACGCTCTCCCACTCAGGACCTTACTGGTCCCCACCTCATCCAGACCAGTCAGCTCCAACTCCACGTCAGACATCCTGGCTCAGAAAATTCCGCGCTTGGATCCCCATAACGGCGGGGACCGCCAGTTTTCTCTCCGCGCCCATCAAGCCTCCGCCGAAGTCCGACCCGCGCGCCCTGCTCGATCGGCCCCCGCTTCCCATCTCCGCGCACCTTACCTTGCATTGGTTGGCAGTGTCTCCCCCGCTGTTTCGGCTGGCTCTCCAAATTAGACAAAACCAGCTGAACCGAACGCAAACAGATCAAACCCGACTAAATCTAACTATACCGAACTTATTAGGATCAGCTCATTGGTGGGTGCCACATGACTTAGTTCTCCCTCGGAACCTTAGTGAACCCCGTAAATATATTATAAACTCGCTCTAGAACGCACAGCACCTGGTTATTGTTTTCACACTCACCCACCCAACCCTTCCTCCTGTACTTGCTCCTAGTGCTTGTTTGCCTGCGTTCACTCATTCCTCTCTTCATATCTGCTAGACCATTCCTCCTGTCACTAACTTGGTAGTGAAATCCTGTGCGTGGAGGTTACCTGAAACAGTGGCCTGGGGTGCCTGTTTCTGCTGACTGCAACTCCTTATCTCTTGAATTAGCATCAGGCAGCTAACAATGGCGGCATTCTCGATGGCGTCGCTCCAATGCGCGCTCCCGCGCGTCTCTCTCTCGCAGTCCGCGGTCGCTTCGCCCGCGCGCAAGCCCGTCGTGTCCGCCGCTGCCGCCATGGGCGCGTCGTCGTCGCGCCTCTCCGCGTCATTCAACGGCCTTCGCCGCGATAGCCTCATCAGCCAGTCTTCCGGTAGGGTTATAAGCGGTCAAGAGTGGTGTTAGGGATAGGTTTCGAAGCAGTCAAGAGTGTCTGCTTCTGTTCACCTCAAGTTTAGGGTTACGGAGACACCCCGTTGCTGCGATAACGGTTTCATCAGAATGAACGAAGAATAATTTTGAGGCGTCTCAGAAATCGGTAGTTTAGGGTTATGGAGACACACGAGAACTGCTAACTTCACCATTTCCATTGGGAGACGCAGGAACATAAGTACGGACTGCTGCTGCCGTTTGCTTATCTCTCTCAATGCGTGTCCGCATGACCGGTAGCTCGCCAGCCGGCCGTCATTTACGTTCCGGGCTAGAAGAATACAGTGTTTTTTTACGCGACCTAAGTATATGAACGCTGCTGTCTCTCCAACAGGACAGAAATAACGGCCAGGCAGCTCTCGAGACAGCGTCGATTGGCCAGCCTGAAGGTAGGAAGTTGAGACGGTTTTGAGGTGCCTAGACGATCAATCGGCCAGCCTGAGGATAGGAACGCACGAGCCTAGACGCCTCAGAATTCGGATGGGCGTAAGGGATCAGATAGGGTTACACAGGTAAGCCGGTGCCTCGTTTTTTAAACCAACTGGTAGGAATTGTCGACTTCTTGACGGATGGTCTGCTGATTCACCTAAGGATCCTTTAGAACACAAAGAAACTGCATTGCGATACAGGAGCGCGGGAAACGCAGGGGTAGTAGGCGCATGGTAGGTCTAACTGTACGGTTGGGTTCAGGCACGGGAAAAGTGGGTTTGAGGCGCGTCATATACTGCATTGCGCTACAGTAGCGCGGGAAATCCATGGTAGTAAGCACCCGGTAGGTCAACTGCTCGCTTGGGTACAGGCATGGGCATGCGGACATGTGGCGAAAGGGTTAGGGTCACAGGAAAACTCGTATTGCAATATAGGGAAGAAAAAGTTAGGAACGGCAGGGGCCTAGCCTCAGCTGCAAAATTCGTAGCAGCACACCTCACGAGCTACCTCTCAGGTCGGCCTTACAGCCTCCCTCCTTCACCCTCCCCTTCCCCCATCCCTTCTGCCTCCCCTCCCCTCCGCTCGCCCTGTTCCCTTCCTCCCGCTTTTCACCTTCAATCCACCTAGCTTCTCTGTCTGTCTTCCTTATCCTTCCCTGACCCCCCTCCGCTCTATCCTCTCCCTTTTCTCGCTTCCCTTCCTCCTCTTCCCCTTTTTCCCTGTCTATCGGCACGAGTTTCAAACGCTCGTTTGAATACGGTGTAGTGAGGTGCTTTGCGTTGTGACGCTCCAGCGGTTGAGCAGGGTGTGGAGGAAAAATCGAAAGCTTGGGACACTGCCTTTTGGAAAGGCTGAAGTCTTTGATCTGAATCTAACCCTTACCATGACTCTATCCCCTCCCCCACCATCTTCTCCTTCTTGTCACCCTTCCTTGCCCTTCAGAAGCCTCCCTCTGGGGCACCTTCACCTTCCTTACCCTAACCATCTGAATTCCCCCCCGATTCTCCCTTGTATCCCCTCATTTCCTCCCACTTCCCCCCCATTATTCCTTTTCCCCACTCATTCCCCCCCATTCCCCTCCATTCTTCCCCATGCTTCATACGTCTTTCTTCATGGCTCCCCTCCATTCTCCTCCCCCCCGGCTCCTCCCCTCCCCTCGCCCCCTCACATCGCCCTGTCTCCTCTCTGCAGACCTCTCCCCCCTCTCCTCCGTCCTCCCATCCAACGGCTCGCGTGTCTTCGCGATGCGTCACGGCCGTCGGATCGCACGGCTGGGCCGTCCCGCGGACCAGCGCAAGGCCCTCCTGCGCGGACTCACCACGGAGCTGCTCCGCCACGGCAGAATCAAAACCACCGCGGCGCGCGCGAAAGCCATGCGCAAATTCGTGGACCATATGATCACGCTCGCCAAGGGAGGGAGTCTGCACGAGAGGAGGCAGGCACTAGGGTTTGTGTATGATAAGACGCTGGTGCACGCGATTTTCTCTGATGCGCCAGAAAGGTATGCGGAGCGGGAGGGAGGGTATACGAGGATTATCAGGACGATGCCGCGACGGGGGGATAATGCTCCGATGTGCTTCATTGAGCTGGTGTAAGCGGAGCAGGGGAAGGAGTAGGGTAGGGAGTATGGCAGGAGTCGTTACTATGTTGGAGGAGCAGGATAAGTGCAGCACAGCATAAGCAGGAGTGTCAGACAAACGGGGACGGCAATGTACTGGTTTTCTATGTTTTTACATGAGCCATGAATATACTAGACGGCTGTAGAACTTCTTGACCCATCCATTCCTGCTTTTGCTAGAATATCCGGGTGGGAGTAACTACAGTACCGAATGTGGTCACATCAGCCGACAATGGCGAGATTACCCTGTCTTAGTAGCTACACTTGGCAAATGGCTTTACTTCATGTATATCCACCCGTCAAACACACAATAGGGCAGCTTAAGCCCACAAAACTGGCATACGGTACCAGTACTGTTACGGTATGGTACCTTAGACATGGTAAAAGCAGGCAAACAACCAGATCCGTGATTTGTGGATAGGGCAGAACCAGACGGGACGGCAGAGGAAATTCGACTAGCATTCTCGTGTTCAATTGTCCTCTGCCCTGCTGGTGCGCTGAGAATGAGTGGAAAGCTATCGTGAGGGAAAGGCAATGCTCCTCCTCGTGTTATGCTGTAGATAGATAAACATCTTCTAACAATAACGGATCAGCTTGAAGAGAAGATGGCAGCGAGGGCGTTTTGGATGTTCCTGTACTTGTAGCGGAACCCAAGGCTCTCTGTGCGCTTGGGCAGCACCCGCTGCCCATCCAGCACCTGAAAGAATCAACAGAGAAAGGAGGTAGACAGTAAGGTTTCTGTCTTAGAGGCACAAACCACCACCATTGCTCCCTACCTTCCCATCGCCATGACTCCCTCTTCTAGAAGTAACCACCACCACACCACGGCAGAGCCCAGCCCAGCGCCTCACACGCTGGGAGCCTTACTAGGGCTGCAACCACCCCACTCCTTCAAACACTCACCACCATGGCTCCCTCTCCTAGCACTGTCTGAACTGCGAAGTTAGGAACAGGCAGCCACGAGGGCGGGCCGATGGCCGAGCCCAGCGCCTCGCAGGATGGGCGCTGTATGGGTGGGGCTGCATCTCCCTCTCCTGGAAACACCCACCCGAACCCGCCACACCCCAGAACCATCACTCACCACCGAGCGCCAGCCGATGGCCGAGCCCTGCGCCTCACAGGCTGGGAGCAATACTTAGGGCTGCACCCCCCCCCCCCCCCCCCCCCCCCCCTCCCTAGACACTTACCACCATGGCGCCCTCTCCAAGGAGTGTCTGAACAGCGAAGTTAGGAACAGGCAGCCACGAGGGCCGGCCGATGGCCGAGCCCAGCGCCTCGCAGAACTGCGCCATGCGGGCCGGGCTGGGCGCGGTACCATTCAGCACCCCTTTGAACTCCTTGTTACGCAGCGTTTCAATGATCAGGGCGACGAGGTCGTCCCTGTGAACCCACGACATCCTGATGGGTGGAGGGGGTAAGGGAAATGTGGGCATTTTGATGAGAATTGGGAGAAGTGGCAACGGAATGTGAAGGTTGGTTGGTTGAAGGGGCCATGGTGCTTATACATATTCGAGTAATGTGGGACGGGCGTGCGCGGTACCGTTCAGCACCCCTGCGAACTCCTTGTTCCACAGCGTGTCATTGAGTTGCGTCTGCCACTGCTGCTGCCCCGTTTCTGGAGTCTCCGTGGTAGAGAGCTGGAGGAGGGCAGGCAGGATCTTTCCCAGCGCAACCCCGTCTTTTGAGAAATCTCAATTTGTTCTTTTTCTTGGTTTTTTCTCTTTTTTTTTTAGACGTATCAAAGCTGGAGGATGGGCAGGATCTTTCCCAGCGCAACTCCATCCCTTGTCAAAATTAACACCGCTGCAATGCCATTCACCACCACTGCAATGCCACTCACCACCACTGCAATGCCACTCACCACCACTGCAATGCCACTCACCACCACTGCAATGCCACTCACCACCACTGCTATCCAGTGCCAAGAGGCCCTCCGGCAAATGAGTCGTGTTTTGAGTCGACTCAAAACACCACTGCAATGCCACGCACCACTGCTGTCCAGTGCCAAGGGGCCCTCCGGCAAAGAGGTGGAAAATAGGCAGCATCTTGCCCACCCTTGTCCAGCACAACACCATTGCAACATTCCCCAAAACCTAACACACTCATTAGAAGGCTTCACTCACCACTGCTGCCCTGTCCCAAGGGGCCCTCCAGCAAAGAGCTGGAAGATGGGCAGCATTTTGCCCAGCGCTCCTCCCCCCTTGTCCAGCACAACACCAAAGCGTATTATGGCGAGGCGGGTCGAATCAGGAGAGACTTTCTGCGCCTCTGCCTCCCACTTGGTGCACACCTGGTGTGAGAAGGGAGGAGGGGGGAGAAGGGGGGGTGTTAATAGGCGAGAGAAGGGGGTGAGGTTGATTCGGAAGAGAACTGGGGACGAAAGGGGCGGGGTTTTGAGTCGATTCAAAAGACAAGGGGGTGGGATGGGGTGGGGTGGGGTAGGGTGGGGTTGAGTCGGAAGAGAACTGGGGGCGAAAGGGGTTGGATAAAGGGCGAGTGAACACATTTAGTGAGAGGAAATGGGGGACTGGGGGTTGAACAAGGAAAGAGGCACATGGCAGAAAGAAACACCAAAGATCATGGGCACATCAAGCAAGGCACTTCGGTACCTGAGCCTTGGATTCAACAGCCACTTGCCTCTACCATAATACCACCCGCCATTTCGAGGTATACTAAGATATGAAGTGCCTACAACAAACCGGAAAACAGGAGGGGCTTCTGTAGCAATCTTACCTCTGCCAGAAAGTCGTTGCCAGCTGGGCTGCTCTCATCATAAGTGGCCGTTTCACTCGTTCCTGGAGAGCACATTTCCACATGGACACGTGGACACATGCAACATGGACACGTGGACACATGCAACATGGACACGTGGACACATGCAACATGGACACGCGGACACATGCAACATGGACACGCGGACACATGCAACATGGACACGCGGACACATGCAACATGGACGCATGCACATCTGAGCGGAACAGAGAGCGAGTACATCCAGGTTGCAGGTTTTTTGAGAATTCTAAAAATATCCCTGCAACATCCAGGTCGCAAGTGTCCAAACTATTGATGCGAAAAAAACAAGAGATATTCTGCGTCACCCTCTTGTATCAAGCACCTGCCTCACAACTTCCTTCCCTGTTCTAAACCTCCCAACCTCCCACACACCAACCAACCAACGACGCACCATAGAAGCCCACAGCTGAGGTGTTGACCAGAACAGAGGGGCGCTTGTCCTTGGGGAGAGAGTTGATAGCCTCTACGATCTTAGCAGTCGTGTCCACTCGGCTGGAAATGATCTCTGCCTTGATCTGAAGCAGCAGAATCAGGTGGACAGTTGCGGGAGGGGGTAGGATGACGGGTGGGGAAACGATTCAATTGTCTCTATGATCTTAGCAGTCGTCTCCACTCCGCTGGAAATGATCTCTGCCTTGATCTGCAGCAGCAAAACGAACAAAGGATTGGGGGTAAGGGAAGGAAGTGGGGGATATTGTTGGGGAGCAGGAGTAACTTGTCTTTTCGATTTCTGTTTTTCTAGTCGACTCAAAAATAGACTCATCATACAAGTTTTAAGTCGACTCAAAAACGGGGGGGGGGGGAGGGGGGGAAGGGAAGGAAGTGGGGGATGTTGTTGGGGAGCAGGAGTAACTTGTCTTTTCGATTTCTGTTTTTGAGTCGACTCAAAAACGGGGGGGAGGGAGGGAAGGAAGTGGGGGATATTGTTGGGGAGCAGGAGTATCTTGCCTTTTTTATTTCCCAAAATCATCAAGGGCTAATAGCGGCACACTCCACTCCCCACCTTCCCAAAACGGCACCTTGCCCTGACGGCACCTTGCCCTGACGGCACCTTGCCCTAATGGCGCATTAAAACCTGATGGAACTCATATCCCCACCCACCGCAGGGCTCCACCGTGTGCTGATGGGCGTGCCGGCCAGGTTCACCACCGGCCCACTGCCTGCCGTATTTCCCTGGTGGCCCATATCTACCCCTCCCACCAACCCACCGCAGGGCTCCACCGTGTGCTGATGGGTGTGCCGGCCAGATTCACCACCGACCCACTGCCTGCCACGGCTGCTGCCCACCCCTCCGGCCCCACCAGCTCCACTCCCTCTGTGCCTGGGGTGGAGGATCGGGAGAAGAACACACTGAGCGAATCAAGCGGAGAGTTGGGAAAGCGGGATCGGTAATAGAGATGTCAAGACTCCACTCCCTAATCTTCTGGCCCCACCAGCTCCACTCCCTCCGTGCCTGTGGTGGGATTGTGCAGGGTACAACTTACAAGTGGTGTTGACGAAGAATGAAGAGGAGATGTGTAGCGAGGTTGTTTTTGAGACGTCTCAAAAACAACCTCGCTCCACTGTGGTGGGATTGTGCAGGGTACAACTTACAAGTGGTGTTGACAAAGAATGAAGAGGAGATGGTAGGAGAAATTGAGGCAAGCCAAGGAGCGCAACAGCAAATACTTACAGATACCTCTCAAACAGTCATCGAACACCTGCAAAAAACTTCTGACGCGATGCCAACTCCTTCAAACACCTTCGAAACACCTTCAAATACCTGTCCACCCACCTGCAAAGACCTCCTTGGCCCGATCCACTGAACGCGCCAAAAATTTCACCTGCTCACAGCTCGCCCTTGTTGTTGCAGGTGAGTTATGAGAATTCTCAAAACCCACCTGCACCTTCAAATACCAGCCCATACTCCTCACCTGCAAAGACCTCCTTGGCCCGATCCACTGAGCGCGTCAGGACTTTCACCTGCTCGCCCTCTGCAGCAAAAGTTTGGGAGGGATGGGGGAAGCGGTATAAGGGAAACACGGAGCAAGGCATCAGCAAGCACACACCAATCGAGTGTGATGAGGCGATTTTCCCCATCACACAAAATCCCCAGCACAAAATCGAGTGTGAGTGAAAAAATCGCCTCATCACACAAGAAATCAGGAAGCACGCACCAATCGAGCACTGGCCAATCAATCGCCAGGCTACCTAACCCAATGCATGCATGGGCGAGTGAAACGAGAGATGGGAGTGTCTGCAATGGTTGGGATAGGTTGAGACTGGTATGGAGAGGAGCAGCAGTGATAGAACACCTGTCGCAAACCGAAATACCAAATTGTCTTTGGTAATCCACGTTATAAGCACCTGCTAGGAGAGCTTTGACGAGTGCAGACCCAACGAATCCAGTGCCTCCGACCACCGCCACTGGGCCGACCTGGAGGGCGGCCAGAAACAAAACAAAGCACCACCTGACGGTCATGCAAAAATATATGAATCCGTGGTTCCAGCGAAATTGGTAAGGTGGAGGATAGGAGAGCAGACGTTCAGCAAACGCACATCCCTATTTATACCAAGTTCAGCTTCAGCAGCAAAAGAATTAGAATCAAAGAAAGAAAGAATGAAAGAAGAAGAAGAAAAAAACGTATTTCAGACGCACACACATTGCTTGAGTTAGCTAGCCGTGACACCACGCAGCGACTCACTCCCTTTGCTGCATTGGAACCTGCAGCTTGCGCTGACACGGTCAGGCGACGAGCATTGCAAGGCGCCAACTTCTGAGGCGCCCCAAAAGCATGCACTGACTCTCGCTCACCTTTGCTGCATCTGAGCCTGCAGCTTGTGCTGACACGGTCAAGCGGCGAGCGTTGCAAGGCGCCAACCCGAACGAGGCGGGCTGAGAGCGGGTGAACGCTGGACAGGCAGAGGAGAGGGGTCCGTGGCTCTGCAGAGGCGGATGAAAGTGAGGGAGAGGAAAATCAGAGAGAGAGGGCAAGGAGAAGCAGGGAGTGAGGGAGAGGAAAAAAAGGGAGAGAGGGAGAGGAAAAACAGAAAGAGAGGAAGAGAGGCAACAGGCAACGGGAAGGTTGAGAGGTTGAGATAAACCAGGGGAACAATTCGCGCTAGTGCAAGGGATGAGAACGAGGCATGCGAGAACAGGAGGCGTCTAGACGACAGTGGGGGTGATGTGACTTTTGAGGCGCCTCAGAGGTTGAGATAAACCAGGAGAGAATGCCGCGCTTGTGAAACGGATGAGAACGAGGCACGCGAGAAGAGGAGGCGTCTAGGCGATAGTGGGTGATGTGCAGATGCAACAGGGAATGCATCCTCCCTGTGTAGTGACGACAGTGTGTGAAGGCAGAAATTCGGGTGAGGTTGAGGAATGGGACTGATAACATTGCCCATTCGTGTGCTGAAGCTACTGTAGAATTGTAAAATTGTGAGCCGAAATCACTGTAGGCGCGCGTATGCTGATGCTGAAGGGCGACCATGGCAGGAGTGACATGATACGGCATGGAAGAATGAATCGTGAGCCGCTTAACTTTACTGCGGAAGGTTGCGTGGGTGGGAATTTAATGATTTTTTTGCGAGGCATACATGGCGAGGGATGCGACGAACAAAGACGGGCGTGGCGAGGGATGCGATGAACGTAACGACAGGCGAGTGAGCGGGTGCGGATCACCTCAGCAGAGGAGACAATGTTTCTTGATTATTCTCGGAAATACCTCGCGACACGAGCAACTCGCGACAGGAGCATGAGCGGGGGGGGAATTCCCCACGAAGGGTATGAACGAGTGCGTGGGTGGGGATTACCTCAGCGGAGAGAACCAAGGAACGCGAAGAACCAGAAAAGAACGCTGAACGGGTAAATGAGCTGCTTTCTGATCGACTACTCGCTGCGAAGATCGCCGATGGCGACGACGTCACAAGGCGAGCTGCTGCCGAGGCGTGAATGGCGGCCATTGCGGCTCGGTTGCTGCTGGCTGGTTTCAAAACTTGTCTTAAAACCCGCAGCCTGAATTACAAGAAAAGTTGGGAGGTGTTAACACTTTCCCTCCCGAACCAGTGTGGTTACCAGGTTTTCACCTGCAAAACGTGAAAGAAGTCGCAGGCAGCGCAGGGAAGGGTCGCTCGGTTCCTGGGCTGAGGTGTGCACACCAAACTGGAAATATGTAATTCAGGTCGTTCGAAACTGCCTAGTCTGAGCAGCTAGAGCGACAGCCATAGCATAGAACATCTAGCATTCTACCCCATTCCAGCGCATGGCGGAAAATTCCTCCTTAGGACGTTAGGACCATGCCTTCATTCTTCCAATCCGTCTCTAAAGCGCCCCGCGGTTCTAGGTCACGTTTCCACTCGACATAGCTAGCCGGGGCCATGGTTGCACATATGCCCGTCGTCGCCCTGGTTTCACTTCCACACCGCCCACCGCACCAATGTCGCCTATCTTCATAGCCGCGACGTCCTCTCTATCCACCGCGTAGGTTTCATCCACCTGCTTCGCCGCATCGCTTCTTCTCCCCGACGTCCACACTCGGACCCCTTCCGGAACACACACGCGATCCCCTCCATCCCTCACGCTTCTTCCCTCGAACGAGCACGCTCCCTTCCCTCCCATCTCCTTCACGCAAAACCCTCTGTTGCGCACGCGAACATCCCTCCGTCGCGGATGATAACGCCTTCCCGTCGCACACAGGCACTCCCCTCGAACGGTCACGCACACTCCCTTTCGTCGCCGGCGCGCACTCCCTTCCGTCGCCCACGCTCAAGCCCTTCCCGTCGCCCACGCTCACTCCCTTCCCATCGCGATCGCGGGGGGAAATCGTACCGTCGCCCACGATCATTCACTTCCGTCGCCCACGCTCACCCCCATTCCATCGCCTTCGCGCAATCCTTCGGTCGCACACGCTCACCCCCGCTCGTCGCCACGGCCTATTCCTTCCCGCATCTCCGCCTCACCCCGTCTCCTCCTCACCCCAGCTCCGTCCGCGCGCACTCCCTCCCGTTGCGCGCGACAACTCCCCTTCCGCCGCCCACGCTCTCTCCCTCCCGCCACGTTCTCTCGCTTCCCTCCTGTCGCGACAGTCCCCTCCGTCGCCCACGCTCACTCCTCCCCACCACGCACGCTCTCCCCCCATCCATCGCCCACGCTCACTGCCCGTACTCCGCACACGCTCACTTCCCTCCGTCGCCCAGGCTCACCCCCTGCCCCTCGCCTTCTCTCATTCCCCTCCGTCGCCTATGCTCCATCCCCATCCCTTCCCTCCCCATCCCTCATCTCCCCATCCCTTCCCTCCCTATCCCTCATCTCCCCATCCCTTCCCTCCCCATCCCTCATCTCCCCATCCCGTCCCTCCCCATCCCTCACCTCCCCATCCCCGCCTCCCCATCCCTTCCCTCTCCATCCCTTCCCTCCCCATCCCTCACCTCCCAGTCTCTCAACTTACCGTCCCTCTTCTCCCCATCCCTCTTCTCCCCATCCCTCTTCTCCCCATCCCTCTTCTCCCCATCCCTTCCCTCTCCATCCCTCACCTCACCATTCCGTTTCAACCCATTCCGCCCCACCCCATTCCGCCCCACCCCATTCCGCCCCACCCCATTCCCCATAGGGGAGTGAGCAGGAAAGAACAGAATGAGCAGGGAAAAACAGAGTGCAGGGGAGACAGTGAGCAGAGGTAAAATAATTGAGCAGGGGGAAAGAGAGAGAACATGTTGAAAGGGAGTGAGCAGGTGGGAAGATAGTGAGCAGGGAGAAACATAGTGAGCAAGGGGAAGAGAGCGAGCAGGGGAAAACAGAACGAGCAGCAAGGGGAAGAGAATGAGCAGTGGAGGAAGAGAGTGAGCAGGGGGGAATAGAAAAAACAGGGGGGAAGAGAGGAAACAGAGCGAGCAAGGGGGAAACAGAGTGAGGAGCGGGAAGGGAGCGAGCAGGGAGAAACATAGTGAGAGCAGCCCTGTCCGTGCTGCACTCGCCGAACAGCGCCACCACGCTGGCCGCTGCCTGGCGTGCGCTGATGGCATGCGCCTTGCGCACGTCGAGGGTGTGAGAGAGGCGAGGAGTGTGAGAGAGGCGAGGAGTGTGAGAGAGGCGGGGAGTGTGAGAGAGGCGAGGAGGAGTGTGAGAGAGGCGAGGAGTGTGAGAGAGGCGGGGAGTGTGAGAGAGGCGAGGAGTGTGAGAGTGGCGAGGAGTGTGAGAGAGGCGGGGAGTGTGAGAGAGGCGAGGAGTGTGAGAGTGGCGAGGAGTGTGAGAGAGGCGAGGAGTGTGAGAGAGGCGAGGAGTGTGAGAGAGGCGAGGAGTGGCGGAGGAGGATTGGGTTAGAAGGGGAGGAATTGCAGGGAAGGCGTGAGAAAAAATACCATGGAAGTTCAAAGGTAGGGAAAGGGAAATGAAGTTGTTCGAGGGGAAAAGAGGCGATGAGGGTTGAGAGTGGGAATGGAAAGCAGGGGCTTATGAGGAAGGGTGCGTGGGGAGGCGTGGCGAGTGTGAGAGGGCGGGCGGACGTCGTGATGAGGCCCGCAGGCGAGCGCGGAGTGAGCAAGGGGATGAGGGTGGGCATGGGGAAAGGGAGTGAACAGGGGGGAACACCACGAACTGGGGGGAAGAGGGTGAGCAGGGGGAAACAGAATGAGCAAGGGGGAAACAGAATGAGCAAGGGGGAAACAGAATGAGCAAGGGGGAAGAGAGTGATCAGGGGGGGGGGAGGGAGTGAACAGGGGGGAACAGAGTGAAGGGAGGAAGGGGAGTAATTGTTTCGCATGAGTGTACGTGGGTGAGAGTGAAGCTTTGGGTGGGGAAAAAAAGAGGTGGTAAACCAGGGCACTGGGAAGGGTAGAGAAGGCGGCGGGGCGGGAAACCAGGGCGTCGGCGCGAGGGAGGGGAATGGGCATGGGCGACGGAGGAAGGAAGCGAGGGCGAAGAAGAGGGGACGCTCGACGAAGACGTCAGCGGCGGGAATGAGAACAATGTTGACGCAGCGACAGGTGGGAGAGGAGAGGTCGACTCGGCGAGCGATGGGGAGGGAAAACGAGGGCGACGGGAGGGGGAAAGCGAGGGCGACGGGAGGGGGAAAGCGAGGTCGACGGAAGGGGGAAAGCGGAGGGGGAAAGCGAGGTGGACGGGAGGGGGAAAGCGAGGTCGACGGGAGGGGGAGGCGGCGATGGCGACCCGCGAGGCGAGGGTGGTAGGCGGGGAAGATGCGGTACGCGACGGGCGGGGGAAGCGAGGGCGGCGGGTATGGGAAGCGAGGGCAACGGGAGGGGAGAAGCGAGGGCGGGCGGAGGAAGCAAAGGCGACGGGCAGGGAGGAGGCGAGGCGACGGGCGGGGAGGAGGTGGTGCGCGGGAAGAGCGAGGGCGACGGGCGGGGGAAGCGAGGTGGGCAAATCGCTAATATCTCCCGTGCCATCTCGTTTCTACGTGCGTCACACTCGCAGCCAGCGCCTACGATTCACTTCGATTGCATGACCGCGCTTCATCTTCTATTCGATCGTCCCTAAATTGTGTTCACTTGATATGCCTGGCTGGTGAGCGCGATGCTTGGATCCTAAAAAGCTTGTCTGAGTTGTTCGCTTGTTCTGTCGCACAGGTTTTTACCCTGCTCTAGCTCTCTGGGGTTGTAAGCAGAATGTATGCGAACTGTTGGGTTGCGTTGGCTGATAACGCCTCGTTGACTCACGGGAGAGTCGCATCATGTTTCGCTAACTTTTTTGCTTTCGCAATTCTGCCGCACCTCATATTGCCCGAACCCCAAACCTACCAAACCAAGCGTTGACTCAGTTTTTGTAATTCAGGCTTCGGGTTTTAAAGCGACGGTGCACATTTGCCACCCAAAACCCAGAACCCTGGCGAATTGTTACTGCGGATGGAAAGTGTCCGCACGAAATCCTGGTTTTCGCCAGCCAGCACTTTCGCGCTGGCAAGCCTGGTTAAAAAAAAAAAACTTCTGAACCCAACACTGCCAAAATGTGCACCGTCGCTTTAACAGTTTGACAAACAGACAACCTTGGGATTCCCAAAACCTGAGGCTCGGAGGTGAGGGAACCAAACACTGGTTTGGTAATGAAGGGAAAGCGCAGGTTATGTGGGACATGTCGAGCCTGATTGCGAGGCCTGGAATAGCTGAATTCTGTCAACCAATTGAGCTGGGCTGGCGTGGACAAGCCCGTGCCAAGAGATCTCACGTAGATTTGCGTGATGGTATGGGCTGACGTGGACCACAGTGAAGGTGCGGACATTTGAAACTTGTGTTTGACGCTGATTAATAGATGAGAACAGTGTAGCTGATTTGCATTTAACGAAGCAAATCTCAAAGGAGGGAATTCAGTGTACCTTCTAAACCTTCACCACTATTACGGCTTCTCTATCTTTGGATGGAACAAAGTGGTCTGTGAGATCTGCTTTTTCTGAGAACACAACTCACACTTGCCACTTCTTTCGCCATTCGCGGCCAAATTCGAGTTTTTCACCACAGCAAAGAACGGGATCTGATCTGACCCGTCTAGTCCTAAGTTGGCTGGCGTAAGCTTCGACTAAGTTTCATTCTTTTTAGTGCTCGAATCGCGATCCCGCTGTTGCTTCGAAGCTCCAGCCATGGCGGTCTCAGGAATGGGAGACGGTCGCATGCCCGGGGTGCGGATTCGCATAGATTTGTCGGATTCTGTCGATCTTACAGTTCAACAGCACGCGTAGGACAGTATTTTATTACCTTTTTGCTGAATTAGTTTCCCGCTCGTTCTGCTTTGTTCAGGGTGATCGGCTTTTCAATGAAGCGGCGACGGAGGAGAAAGGCGAACGCGCTCGTCTGGTACGTTGCTGATTTCCACGAATGACCGATGCAAATCGATCCATCTAACATTCGACTGATACATGAAAGCCGATCCGTTGTTTGGAACGATCTGCGGTCGTCGCCCAGCATTGTTGAATTCGACCTTTCTTCCTTCGTTAACTCTCATCGCATCCCCCGACCACTTCCCTTCTCGATCCGTTTTGGAACGATCGACTCCGCCGTCGTTTCAGCGGTGTTGAATTGCACCAGCTTTGCTTCTCTAGCCCTCATTCCCATCCCCCTGTCCACGATCCTTCTTCTTTCTCCTCCTCGTCTCTCGCATTATCGTGACTGTCCGAGCCCTCCTCCCACCCCCCTCCTCCACTTCCGTACCCCGTACCCCTTCCCCCGCTTATCCCCTCCGCTGTTTCCCCCCTTCTCCTTAAAAGGTTGAAATATCACAAATATCTCGTCTGCCTATTCCCAGTGATCCGATCAGTCGTCGTTTGTTGCAGTCGTGTTATTAACAAATCTTGTCAAATCGACTACCTCGCCAGTTCCCTCCTTTCCCCCACCCCCGTCCCCTCTCCCCTTGCCCCTCATATCTCCCCCTGCCCCCGTCCGCGTTGTTCACCGGGATCTCATCAGTCGTTGTTTGTGGGCGCCATGGCCATCTCGCGTCAAGCCGACTCTTTCCGCTCTTCCCGTCTCCCATCCCCTCCCCCCTCCCCCAAACCTTTCATCAGTCGTCATTCGTGGGCGCTATGGCTATCTCCGATCTCGTCAAGTCGACTCTCGGACCCAAAGGAATGGTGAGGACCTAGGGAACTGTGCGACAAAGGAAGTAGATATAAGCTAACCAGTGGAATAAATTCGATTTGACCAGGGGGGTTGAGCATCCAGGGAATTGAATTTAATCCGTTCAAGGAATCAAATTCAAATAGACATGGGAACTAGAGTGATCAGAGGATTAGGATATAATTTGGCCAGGGGATTCGGGCGACCAGGTGATTGAATCTGAATTGGCTAGGAGATCAGCTCAATTTCGTCCTCTTTTTTTTTGTTTTGTTTTTTTTTGTCTTCATTTTGCCGGTTTTTTATTCAACTACAGGACAAGATTCTGCAGTCCACCAGCCGTGGAGGCGGGCTCATGGTGACCAACGATGGAGCCACCATTCTCAAGGCACTACACATCGACAACCCGGCTGCCAAAGTGCTTGTTGGTGAGTGTCTCTCAGCCTACCTCGTAGTGGTATGCAATCTTCAGCCACCACTAGCCGTGGAGGCGGGCTGATGGTGACCAACGACGGAGCCACCATTCTCAAGGCTCTACACATCAACAACCCCGCTGCCAAAGTGCTCGTTGGTCATTGTCTCTCAGCCTTCCACGTGTTTTGAGGAGTCTCAATTCTTGTAGCTGTATTGAATTTGCTTGATCACATGATCATTCAAGTCGTGTACTTAAAAAATGACTGTGCGGTGCGGACAGCCCCCTCGGAGCCACTTTGAGAATTCTCTTAATTGATTCCAGCATCTGCCATCCCACCTTGTACTGGTAACGAGTCTGCTTATTCACATGCTCATTCAAGTCCCCTACTAAGAAATGACCGTGTTGACAGCCCCCACAAAGCTGCTACTAGCTTGTAGTGCCACTTGGCCTACCAACCCCCAATGTCAGGACGACGAGGTGGGCAATGGTACCGCATCAGTGGTGGTGCTGGCAGGGGAGTTGCTGAGAGTGGCGGAGAAGCTGGTTACCGCATTGATCCGTTGTTAATATGCTTTTATCCCCGTTATTGACATCCCCAGACATATCCAAGGTGCAGGACGACGAGGTGGGCGACGGCACGACGTCAGTGGTGGTGCTGGCGGGGGAACTGCTGAGGGAGGCGGAGAAGCTGGTTACTGCGAGGATTCACCCCATGACCATCATCTCAGGTGGGGAATGGGTTGATTGAGGAATGAGAGATTTTAAGAAAGAAGAAGGGCAAAGAATGGGAGTGGTAGTGCTGGGGAGGGGACTGCTAAGGGAGGCGGAGAAGCTGGTTATGGCAAGGATTCACCTTATGTCCATCATTTCAGGTGGGAAGAAGGGCGAGAATGAGGAACTAATTTGAAATGTCAAGAAATAGTACCCAGAGATGACGAATGGGGGTGAGAGGTGGTGAGGGAGCTGCTGTGAGAGGGAGAGTCAGAGAAGCTGGTTACTGCAAGGTTCCGCCGTATGACTTTTGAGACGTCGCAAAAGCTGCTGTGAGAGGGAGAGTCAGAGAAGCTGGTTACTGCAAGGTTCTGCCGTATGACTTTTGAGACGTCGCGAAAGCTGCTGTGAGAGGGAGAGTCAGAGAAGCTGGTTACTGTGCGGTTCCGCCGTATGACCATCATTTTTTAGGTGGCGAGTAGGGCGAGGAATGGGAGATTCGCTTGAAACGAAACTGATGAACATTTGCCCCAGCCGAGCTGAGTCTGAACCCTCGCATTTATGTGTACCCGTTGTTGCTGAAACGTGCAGGTTACCGCATGGCTCTGGATTGTGCCCGGGAGGTACTGATCAGCAAGAGCAGAGACAACAAGGACGACCCGGGTAAGCTTATCTGGACATTTCCCGTTTCTGTGGTTCTTTTTCATTGTGGCGTCTCACAAACTGGATTGTGCCCGGGAGGTACTGATCAGCAAGAGCAGAGACTACACGGACGACCCAGGTAAGCCTATCTTGGCTCTTGTTTAGTTACATGTTTCATGTGATTGTCATGCTATTTCCACCAAGAAGCTTACTAGAGATGTGTCTAGGGTGCTTTTCCACCCACCAATGTTTTTTCTGTCTGATTTGCTCTGCTATGCAACCAAGTTCAGGGAGGCTTTGTTGCGCATCGCCAAAACCACGCTGAGTTCCTAGATCCTGTCCCAGGACAAGGAGCACTTTGCGTCGCTTGCAGTGGATGGTCCCAGGCTCCTCATGAAACGTTGCTCTGAATTCCTCCTTTTCCGTACACTTATTCCCTGAATAAGTAATTCGTGTCATGACACTTACTTGTTCGTCCCATGACAGCCAAGTTCAGGGAGGATCTGCTGCGCATTGCCAAGACGACGCTGAGCTCCAAGATTCTCTCGCAGGACAAGGAGCACTTCGCCTCGCTCGCAGTGGATGCAGTGCTGCGTCTCAAGGGCGGCACCAACCTGGAGGCCATTCAGATCATCAAGAAGGCCGGCGGGGCTCTGTCCGACTCGTACCTTGATGAAGGGTGAGTGGGATACTGTTTTTCTAGAACTTCTCCCGCGTTTTCCGGGTCGCTCCAGGTTTTTTATTTTCCGGGTTTCTCCAGGGTATTTTTCACGGTTCTACGAAGGTTTGGGGTTTAGTGAGCAATGAGCAACTGTGGATGCGGTGCTGCGTCTCAAGGGCAGCACCAACCTGGAGGCTGTCCAGATCATCAAGAAGGCGGGAGGGGCTCTGTCCGACTCGTACCTTGATGAAGGGTGCGTTGGCTAAGTTTATCCAGGGTTTCTTCAAGGTTTTGCCGGGTCACTTCAGGTTTCATCTGGATTTTTTTTTTATTTTTTTTTTTCTGGTTTTCATGAAGGGTTTTTGGGTTTAGTAAAGATATTTCCAGCCTTTTCGCCTCAAGGGCAGCACCAACCTGGAGGCTATTCAGATCATGAAAAAGGCTGGAGGTGCCTTCTCCGGATCATACCTAGATGAAGGGTGAGTGCAGCCAGGGTTTCTTCAGGGGTTCTCCAGGGTTTCTCCAGGGTTTTGTCCAGTCTCTTCAGGGTTTCCCTGCAGTGGATGCAGTGCTGCGTCTCAATGGCAGCACTAACTTGGTTCCACTCAGATCATTAAGAAGACCGCTTTTCCCCTTTTTACCCGCCAAAGAGGATTGAAAACGCAAAAATCCTCGCCGCGAACACAGCCATGGACACGGACAAGGCGAATATCTACTTTTCCTCCTCCCCTCCCATTGCTTCAACACCAGGTTCATTCTGGATAAGAAGATAGGCGTTGGGCAGCCAAAGCAGATCGAGAACGCCAAGATTCTTGTGGCGAACACAGCCATGGACACTGACAAGGTCAAGGTCTATGGCGCCCGCGTGCGCGTAGATGGCAGGGCAAAGGTCGCAGAGATTGAAGCAGCCCTGAGTGATTGCAGGACTCAAAACAGGCACCACTGCCTCTCCCCTTCCCCCTCTTCCCCTTCCCCTTCTCCCCGTCCCCCTTTCCTGCCGGCCCTCCTGCACCTCCCCTTCCCCGACCCCCGGGTTCCCACCCAAAAATCAGGTTTATTCTGGACAAGAAGATAGGTGTGGGGCAACCGAAGAGAATCGAGAACGCCAGGATTCTCGTCGCAAACACGGCGATGGACACGGACAAGGTGAAGATCTACGGCGCCCGCGTGCGCGTCGACGGCATGGCCAAGGTTGCAGAGATTGAAGCGGCCGAGAAAAACAAGATGCGGCAAAAGGTGGAGAAGATTATCGCGCACGGGATCAACTGCTTCATTAACCGGCAGCTGATTTATAACTTCCCGGAGGAGCTCTTTTCGGACGCGGGGGTTATGGCGATCGAGCATGCGGATTTCGAGGGGATCGAGAGGCTGGCGCTGGTGACGGGTGGGGAGATTGCCAGCACGTTTGAGGACCCTGCGGGTGTGAAGCTGGGGCAGTGCAAGGTGATCGAGGAGATCATGATTGGGGAGGACCGCCTGATTCACTTCTCGGGGGTGGCGCTGGGAGAGGCGTGCACCATCGTGCTGCGAGGGGCCAGGTGAGAAACTATGAGGGTTCAGGTTTGGGGTTTAGGGTTTTGGGATAGGGATTTCTGCCCTTGAAAGCCCCGAATCTTAAATCTTGTGAGGGTTGGGAGTGAGGGGATTGAGCGGCTGGCGCTGGTGACGGGTGGGGAGATTGCGGGCCTTCGAGGACCTGGCCGGGGTGAAGCTGGGGCAGTGCAAGGTGATCGAGGAGATCATGATTGGGGAGGACCGCCTGATTCACTTCTCGGGAGTGGCGCTGGGAGAGGCGTGCACCATCGTGCTGCGAGGGGCCAGGTGAGAAACTATGAGGGTTCAGGTTTGGGGTTTAGGGTTTTGGGATAGGGATTTCTGCCCTTGAAAGCCCCGAATCTTAAATCTTGTGAGGGTTGGGAGTGAGGGGATTGAGCGCTGGTGACGGGTGGGGAGATTGCGGGCCTTCGAGGACCCGGCCGGGGTGAAGCTGGGGCAGTGCAAGGTGATCGAGGAGATCATGATTGGGGAGGACCGCCTGATTCACCTCTCGGGGGTGGCGCTGGGAGAGGCGTGCACCATCGTGCTGCGAGGGGCCAGGTGAGGGACAGAGGGGCTCAGGGTTAGGGTTTAAGGATTAGGGTTCAGGGATTGAAAAAGGTTGAAAGGATTAGGGGCTGCCAGATAGTTGGCTGATTCGCTTTTCCGAGGTGGCGCTGGGAGAGGCGTGCAGCATAGTGCAGCGAGGCGCCATTTGGGATTTAAAAGAGGTTCAGGGTCAATAATTTGGAATACCCATGATTTCTCCACCCACCCCTCCCCCCTTCTCTCTTGATTATTTCCTCTCCTCCCCCACTCACGCCTTTCATCCTATTCTCCCCTTGTCTTGCCGTCCCTCTCAGTTCACACGTGTTGGATGAGGCTGAGCGGTCGCTGCATGATGCGCTGTGTGTGCTGACAGCGACAGTTGCGGACAGCAGAGTGGTGTGGGGTGGGGGCTGGCCGGAAGTCATGATGGCGACTCGAGTTGATGACCTTGCTCGCCGCACACCGGGTGAGTTGACAACAGCTGACTGAGTGTTAACTGACGTTGACTGACTGTTGACTGAGAATGAATTCTGTGTGGAATGGCAGAGGGAGCACTCAGGGAGGGCAGTTGTGGACAGCAGAGTGGTGTGGGGTGGGGGCTGGCATGAAGTTATGATGGCGACGCGAGCCATGACCTTGCCAGCCGCACACCGGGTGGATTGGAGGAGTGACTGACTGACGGGTGACTTGTTCGCGGCAATTCGTTGGCTGTTGACTGGCTGTTGACTGGTTACTGTTGACTGACTGTTGACTGGCTGTTGACTGGTTACTGTTGACTGACTGTTGACTGGCTGTTGACTGAACATACAGTGTGAAATGAGAGGCCAGAGCTGGTGGCTCATACCCCTCAACCCTCCCTGCTCCTGCACTCCCTTTTCTCACCCTCTCCACCTTTACTCCCCTGTTCACAGGCAAGCGCGCTCTAGCAGTGGAGGCGTTTGCTTCTGCCCTGCGTGCCATCCCCACCATCATTGCCGACAATGCTGGGCTGGACAGTGCAGAGCTGGTGGCTCAGCTGAGGGCGGCGCATGCTGAGGAGAACAGCCGTGCTGGCATCGATGTTATCACGGGGCAGGTGAGAGAGAAAGGATTGCTTGTGCTCATCCCCTAGAAATACCCTTTTTGATCAATGACCCTTAGCTGATTGTTGCCTGTTTCGGTTAAGTGTTCATGAAGCGTCAACACTTCCGACTTGTTCTTTCCGTCTCGCTTGTCTTGTATTCACCTCTGTCCTTCCTTCGCTTTTCCACTCTCCCATGCATGTGCGTAACAGTCTGGCGACATGGAGGAGTGTGGGATCTACGAGTCACTCAAGGTGAAGCAGGCTGTGCTGATGTCAGCAACGGAGGCAGCGGAGATGATCCTGCGTGTGGATGACATCATCACCAACGCTCCTAGAAGGCGCGAGGAGAGGCTATGAGGCAACAGTGCTCTGTAGAGAGTTTTTTGCTGTTGTGATCGCACGTACAGCTACACAGGCAGGGCCTCAGATATCAGGAAAAAAACCATGAAATTCCTGATTTTGGCAGTCCTTTCTCAACCTACCCTGAAAAACCAGTGTTAAGATTTTTGTGGGACTGATCTTTCAGGCTTTTTTGTGAGGCCACACTGAAATTTCAGTTCTTTTTTTCCAAGTACACTGATGCCACAACGTTGAAACGAATCCAACACTGAAAGCGATTCTGACATGTGTCATGTGGATTTGACCGCAATTGCAGGGAATCTCAGATTCCCGCGGTGTGGGCACTGCGGAGCGAGACGAACCTGTGAAAATTTGCCTCAAATTCACGATTGAGAGGTGCTTTGGCGCGGCGCCACACATCATTGGGCCGTTTTGCTGCAGCATCTTTTCTTGGCCAATCCGAACGTGGCCACCATGTGGTGCTGGAGGGCTGCCAACGTTCCTGCCCCGTTGACATCACCTGCAATGCGACGCGTTAGGATTGGCCTGTGTTGTGCTGGCAAGCACCGTGCCATCCATCTTGATGTCAAGGTGGGGATGCTTCCACGCCGCCTAGCCCATGCACCGTGGTTGCCATCCAGGGGCCCCTTCTTCTCCAAGCTTTGCATCCGAAGCTGGGTTTCCCCCTTTCTTCCTAGTGTACCAAGAGGTAGCCAGCCGTGGCCTGTGCTTTGCCTGTGCAATCCCTCTCGTTGTCGCTAGCTTAGATGTGAGGCCGTCCCCGCTGCTTACCATGGGTGAACACCTTGACGGCACGGAAACAAACGGCGAACACGGCGGTCAGGCACATCGCCAGCCGCCTGTAGTCCGTTCTGAAGCAGTTACCGACCTCGATTTATTGTTCTCGAGCATAGCGGAAGTCAACGACAACGAGAAGCCACCAGATCTCGAGCCGCCCGACAAAATCCCGTTCGAACACATCGATGAGGAGGGTTGGTTTGCATCCTCGACAGCGCCAATCACGGAGCAGGACAGCTCGCTGACTCTAGCTGAAAAACCGGCTCCCGAACCCGTGACCAAGAAATCCGGCCGATACATGTAGTCAACGCTGCCATGGTTTACAAAGGGCGCTGACGACGGAGCTACCCCGCCTTCGCCAACCGACCAATGGTCGTCGCCCGTGATTGCCGGCCCGCAGGAGTCGCCATCAGTTCCTGGTCCTTCTAAGCAGTCAGGACGCGACGCGATTTACACCGAGTCTCTGTATAAGTACAAGACCGAGTGGCTAGACAGGTTTTTGTGGCTCATTCTTTTGCGGCAATCTGACGGTCTCCCAGCTTTCAAGTGCTCTATCTGTACCGAGCATGCAGGTTCCGCTGGAAAGTGCAGGAAGGGCAGGAGGGGCGCCTCAGGCGTACAGACGCAGGCTTTCAAGAGGCATGCTGCAACAACGAAGCACAAGGAGGTGGTCAAGCACCAGGAAAAGCTTCTTGTTGAAGCTGGCCGGCAGCCACGGATCAACGGTGACAACCTCGCTCGCGACACTGAGAAGGAATGCGTCATCGAGCTGTGCGACTCTCTGCCCTTCGTAACCAAGCAAGATGCATCCATTGAGTTATGCGTGCATCTTGTTCGTTATCTCGCAGCGAAGAAGGTTCCGGGATTCCCCGCGAAGGGATACGGAACCTATTACACAACGTAAGTACCCGCTGTCAGATATTGTTCGTGATGTTTCTTTTGTTTACCTTTTGTGTAAGCACTAACATTGGCTCACATGCTCCACAGGTACGGCTTTGGGCAACTAACATAAGCGATTGCCACGTGGTTGCACACAACGCAACTCCAGCACCTCCTTACAAGTCTTTACATTGGAGTTACATGTGACGAGAGCACGGACAGGTGCCGAGGAAAGCACATGATCATTTTCGCGACCTTCATCCATGAGAATCGCGTCGTCACCGAGTTCCTTGCCCTTCTGACCGTGGAGAAGTGCGACGCCGCCTCTCTCCTCTACGTGTTTGTGTCCCACCTGCAGGCCCTCGGCATCGAGCTTGCCAAGATCGCTGGTATGAGCACCGATGGCGCGAGTGTGATGATGGGAAGCAAGAATGGTCTTGTCGCTCGACTGCGCCTCCGCATACCGCATCTCGTCTCAAGCCACTGCATAACCCACAGGTACGTTTGCTTTTGTACTAGTGCCAATCCTGATTATCCGTATGTCGGCCTTGCTGATACCCCGTGTTGCATGTTTGTGTTGTGATGTGCCTGCAGGGAGGCCCTCGCGGCAAAAGATGTCGCGGAGGCAATCCCCGAGTTCGACATGGTGGACGGGCTGATCCGTCAAGTCGTAGAGTATCTCGGCCGTTCCAACCCCTTGCACCAACGATTTTTGGAGCTACAGGAACTCTTCACGGCTACGAATCTGGAGCTTCAAGGCATTCATCAAGTCCGCTGGCTCTCCAAGGGTGATGCCATTCTGCGAACGGTGACGGTCTTCCCTGCGCTCATTGTCATGCTGTCTGAGTGGGACGAAACTCTGTACGAGCTCACCACCAGCTACATGTTCCATTTCTTGTTGTTCTTCCTTGCAGACGTGCTCGAGCAGCTGAACGTCTTGAACAAGTCCTTCCAGCAGCGAGAGGTGAGCAACAAGTCCTTTCAGCGTGTGCTGCACTTCTCATGATGTCTAGTTCTTGTATGCATGGCTTCTCTGTGTATATGTCAATGCATTTATACTGTGGGAGCTTAAGATCAACACTGATTGTTTAATAAATCACCCCCGACCGGTGGGGGTGCTGCCCCCCAGCAGCAGCAGCCACAGCAGCACCAGCCACAGCAGCACCAGCCACAGCAGGGACAGCAGCAGCAGCAGGGACAGCAGCAGCAGCAGGCACCGCAGCAGTTCCAGCAGTGGGGGCCCCCGCTGCAGTGGGGTCCGCAGCAGCACTGGGGTCCCCCGCCGCAGTGGGGTCCGGGAGGCCCTGGGAGCACCGGCCGCAGCAGCAGCTCTTCCAGCTGGGCCCCTCGCCCCCCTCGCCGTGACGCTGGCCCCTGCACCCACTGGTGCCTCACCAGGCCGGGCAGCCCCTGTCTCTGTGGTCGCGACGACCACTCTGCTGCGCGGTGCTTCCGCCGCCTCGACGACCTCTACCGGGCTCGTTGGGGCCCCCTGGCTTGCTTTCCTTGTGTCCCTCTGTGTTATTTCTGTCGCCATCTCATAGCTTGACATCGCAGTGTCTATGCGCAGATCAGGAGAACCATGTCTCACCTGGAGACCCGCTACGTCGACTGCGGCGACGATTTTGGAGGTAGGTTGAGCGCGCGCCTGTCCCCGTTCATCATGAAGTACGGGCCTGACAGTGACAAGCCTGAGGTGACGGTGCAGGGTGTGGACTCTGACGGTCGGCCGACTACACACAAGTTCCAACTGCATAAGAACCCAAGCGAGGACTGTCAGAATAACTGTGCAGGAATGAATGAACTATGAATGAGTTGGGTACAAGTACTAACCCTAAAGTGTTGTTCCCCTTGTAGACTAACCCACTATAGCCTAAAAAGAACACACACATGTAGTTTGACACACCCCCATAGGCTAAGTGGGAGATAGAAAACACAACAGACGGTCACAAGACCAGTCAGGCAAGAGAACAAAGCAAAGCAAAGCTCTGGGTGGATCTCAAGGACACCACATAATATGAGCACAAGCAAGCGGCCACAAGGCCAGTTCACATGCAGAGTTATAATAGCAAGGCAGTACACTGATCACAACCTAGCAAGAGTAAACAAGCAGGTATAAAGATATATATCAGTGTACAACAAGAGCAAGTCAAGCAACTAGCAGGTGAGGCAGAGTGGGCACAAGCCCAAGAGCAGTGCAGAAACGCTGATGATCACCAGACCCAAGGGCCTTGGTGAAAACATCAGTAGTGTTGGCCCGTGAGGCCACGTAGGAAAGGCGGAGCTGACAACGCTGCTGCAGCTCACGCGCAAGGAAGTAGCGAAGAGCAATGTGCTCCAGCCTCTGCTTGTGACACAAGGCAAGCATTGCCTTGTTGTCGACGTACAGAACTGGAGGAGAACGAGGCCGCTCCCCCAAGTCGGTCAGCAGGTAGGTCAGCCAGCGTAGCTCCTGTGCAGCCATGGCCCCAGCATAGATCTCGGCCTCACAGCTGGAACTAAGCACAAAAGAAGAACGAGTGGACCTCCACGAGAAAGAATCAGAGCCAAGACTGAAGGTGTAACCTTGTGACGAACGCTGAGTCGCCTGGACATCGGCCCAAGAAGCGTCGGAGTGTCCTGTGAGTACCACTGAAACCTGTCCTCCAAGCACTAGCCCCATGCCCGATGTACTGCAGAAGTAACGCAGTACCCTCTTCGCAGCATCCCAGTGCACCTTTTGGTGTCTACCGGGAGCCATGTAGCAAGCCAGGAGGCTGAGAGGATACGCGAGGTCAGGTCGTGTGCATGTCATCAGGTACATGAGGCAACCCACAAGCTCTGGGTACGGACCACTCGGCTCTACGGAGTTGTCCGAAGGTCGAGCTGAGAGCGAGTGGCCGGTAGACAGAGGAGTGGGCTGTGGCGAGGAGAACTGGAAGCCGAAGCGCTAAAGAACCTGGTGCACCATGTGTGACTGAGTCAGGGTGATGGTGCGCCGTGCTCTGTCCCAGGTGATCTGCAAGCCAAGATAGCTACGCAACTCACCCAGGTCAGTGCAGGTGTGTCTCTCCTACAGCTCCGCCTTCACTGGGGCCAGCGCCTCAGTGTCAGCAGTAGCAAAAACCAAGTCGTCGACGTACACTAGAACGTAGAACGGCAGCAGGGTAGTGTCGATGCGTAGAAACAACGTCGGGTCAGCAGAGGAAGGAGCAAACCCAAGAGCCGCAAGTGTAGTCCCCAGTGTGTCGTGCCACTGTCGGGGCGCCTGGCGGAGACCGTAGACTGGCCGCCGGAGGCTCCACTGGGTACCCGCAGGAAACGACCCAGTGAATCCGGGTGGGCGGCGCAGCCAGATCTCCTCGTGAAGGCTGCCCTGCAGGAAAGCCGTGGAGAAGTCGAGGGAATACAGCTCGTAGTCACGCTGTGCTGCAAGGTGTAGAAGCACCTGAAGAATAGTCATCTTTGGGGTGGGGGAGAAGGTATGGAAGAAGTCGACCCCCTGTCGCTGACTGAAGCCTCGAGCAACATAACGCGCCTTGAAGGCAGGCGGAGAACCTGGCGGCCGCTTCACTCTGAAAATCAACATGCCATCGACTATGTTCGCCCCAGGAAGGTGCCCGTGGACTTCCAGGAAGCCATCTCTGTGTCCATGGCTGTCTGCCATTGAGAGGAGTACTCACCCGCGATCGCCTCAGCGTAAGAGCGCGGGGTAGGGATGTCAAGTGCATCCGGGTCTCCCTCAGGGCAAAGCAGCATGGATGAGAAACGAGGTAAAGCGGCTGCAAGACACTCAAGGTCAAACTGTTTGTCCTCAAGTACGTCACTGCCAAGGGCAAGCTCACCCCCGACGGACGGAGGACAGACAGACTCAGACTCAGTGACAAGACTCGCAACGTAGTCGAGACGACTCCTTACTGCAAAGTCGACTAGCTCAGTAACTAGGGCAAACGCTGCAGTAGACTCAAGGTCAGGGTCAATGACGACAGTAGCGAGGAGACGAGTGACAGTAGGACTGGCAGCACGAGCAAGGTCGGACTCAGGGTCAGAAACGTGCGGAAGAGAGGACGCAGGAGGCTCAGGCAGGACAACATGCTATGGAACAAAGGAAGGTCGAAGTGCCATACCGTGAGTGCCTGGGACACCAGGAGGACGAGGACGGGCGACACGGCGAGCACGAATAGGTGAGGAAGCACGAGTCTCAGGCTCACGATGCTCAGTTAGGGACTCAGTCACCTCAGTGTGAGGAGCAGGCACAGGCAGCGGGGAGCCAGGCAGTAGCTGTGGCTGAGACTGGTCTGTCGGTGGACACAGGAGGGGTAGAGGGAGGCCAGTGGAAGACGGGAGACTAAGAACCTGGCGAAGGACCGAGTCAGGCGGCGGTAGGGACGACTACGGCTACGGGTAGAAAAACGGTATGCGCAGGGCAGTACCAGAAGCTCCAGCTCCTCCAGCACTAGCAGCACCATCACCTCCAGCACCAGCAGCTCCAGCAGCACCTCCAGCACCTCCAGCACCAGCAGAAACACTAGCTCCGGCAGCGCCAGGACCTCTAGCCCCAGAAGTACCTCCAGCACCTCCAGTGCCAGTAGCTCCAGTAGCACCTCCAGCACCTCCAGCACCAGCAGCAGCACCTGCTCCGGCAGCTCCAGTACCTCTAGTACGAGCACTTCCAGGACCAGCAGCTCCAGCACCCCCAGTACCTCCAGTACCTCCAGCTCCAGTGCCTCCAGCACCAGCAGTACCTCTAGCACCTCCAGTGCCAGCAGCTCTAGTAGCACCTCCAGCACCTCCAACACCAGCAGTACCACCTGCTTCGGCAGCTCCATCACCTCCAGCACCAGCAGGACCTCCAATATCTCCACTGCCAGCAGCTCCAGTAGCACCTCCAGCACGAACATCACCACCAGCTCCGGCAGCTCCAGCACCTCCAGTACCTCCAGCTCCAGCGCCTCTAGCACCAGCAGCACCTCCAGCACCAGCAGCACCAGCTGTACCTCCAGGACTAGTAGATCCAGCACCTCCAGCACCAGTAGCACCTCTAGGACTAGTAGCTCCGGCACCTCCAGCACCAGCAGCACCTCTAGTACCTCCAGCATCAGCAGCACCTCTAGCACCAGCAGTACCTCCAGTACCTCCAGCACCAGCAGTACCTCCAGGACTAGTAGCTTCAGCACCAGCAGGACCGTACCATCCACCACCAGGACTGCCTCGCCGAACGATCCACGCACGAATCGCCTGCGACGAGAGCGTCTCAAGTAGGTCAGGCTGCGGTGACTGTTCAGCTCCAGGACCTCCAGCAGGGTCACCCACACCTCCACCGCCACTAGGACTCGCAGGACCCCCAGAGTCAGCACCCCCAGTCGCAGCACCCCAAGAACCAGCACCCCCTGTCGCAGCACCCCTAGAACCAGCACCCCCAGTCGCAGCACCCCCAGTCGCAGCACCCCCAGAACCCTCACCCTCTGTCTCAGCACCCCCAGGCTCAGCACCAGCAGTCTCAGCTCCAGAGTCCACAGCAGTAGGCTGCGGAGGTGGCGAAGACGGTCGAGGCGGAAAACCAGGGGGGGGTCTCCAAGCGTGGAGGGCGGCGAGTGGCCGCCGTGTCGTCAGCAGCGAGGTCACCCCCCTCAGCTGGGCTAGAGGAGTCAGAAGAGATCTCCAAAGGCTCAACCAAGGGGGGTGGGTCTACCTAAGACACACCTGAGGGAGCAGGACCCTGTGGGGGGAGGGGGTCTATTGGGGGGGGGGGAATGGTACCAAGAAAAGAGGCGCTAGGGGGACTGGGTGGGACGCGTGCGGGTGTAGCCTGTAGTAACAGACACACTCGTCAAAGGTGACGTCCTGGGAGGAGAAGACTCCACGCAAGCGCGGGTGGTAAAACTGCCACGGCGGGGCGTCGGTGGGGAAGCCAATGAAGACGCAGCAGAGAGTGCAAGAGGAGAGCTTGTTCGCTTTGGCATCGCGAACAAGGGAGAGCGCGCCCCAGACCCAAAACACCGACGCATTGCCAACCTTCCCCGTCCACCGGAGTGTGGGTGAGGTCTCTGGCTCAGAGACACGGGGCCAGAGGTTGAGCTGATGCGCAGCGTATCGGACCGCAAACGACCACAGAAAATGGGGAGCAGCTGCATGGATCATGGAGGTACGAGCAACCTCCATGATCAAGCCAATGCGATGCTCAGCAATCCCATTTTGCTGAGAAGAGGCTGGAAGCGTGAACGACTGGATGACGCCCTCGTCTCGACAAAACTCCGCAAGGAGGTCAGAAGAGAATTCAGTGCCCCTGTCAGAGTGCAGATGCAAGACTGGGAAGTCCCGACTAAACCGCTCGAGCAACTCGCGACGAGTAGCACGGATCCAGGGGATCAAAACACCGCTGACGTCCGCCTTGCGCCGCAAGGGGAAGATAATGGTGTAACTTGTGTAGTCATCAACAACCAGCAGGAAGTAGCTCTTCTGGTCCGTTCCACCGACGGGGGCTGGGCCCCAAACATCCATGTGGAGAGTCTGTAGAGGAGCAGTGGTCGGAGGAAACTCGGAAGAGTGAGGAGCGGCGCGCTACCGCCCCTCGATGCAGGGAAGGCACGGCGGGGCAGGCGAGCGCGGGAGGGAGGGCAGGGACCTGGGAAGGCCAGAGACAAGGAGACGGGAGTGTATACCGCGAAGACGCGGTAGGGAGGGGTGACTGAGGTGGTGGTGCCAGAGGAGATTCTGGTGGGAGAGTACCCGACACGAGCAAGACGTTGCAAGCTGACCAGACGCAGACACCTGACTCGACGCAGCCACCTGACCTGCCTCAGCCACCTGTGCAGACGCAGTGGTCAGTGTGTACAGACTAGACCCAGGCTGTCGAGTGAACGTAGCCATGTAACGGCCAGTCCTGGAGCACGTACAGATCGCCACACGCTGCCCTCCAGGAATAAAGGTATCAACCCAGACATCCTGAATGGCAGCGTTGCTCACCAAGTTCGTCGAGAACGTGGGGAGGTGGAGACCTGACAGAGAACCGGAGGGGACTGCTGGACACGGGAGGACAGTGGAGGCTTGTGCGACTACTGGACCCCCAGTGGGGTCAGCCAGTGAGACCGGTACTAGTGCAGCAAGTGGTGTGAGTGTGGTACAGTCACGAAAGAAGCAACGTGACGCGCCTGAGTCAAGTGTGAAAGTGTGCAAGGCCTAAGCTGAGGAAGGACCTGTGGCGGTAGACGCACGAGCACCTAAAGCTGCAGCGGAATCACTAGCACCTAGTGCTGCAGCAGACTCACTAGCACCTAGTGCGGCAGCAGACTCACTAGCACCTAGTGCAGCAGCCTCGACAGAACCAGTGACACATCGCTGAGGAAACAACTCACTAAGCACATGAGGGGAGAATGTCTCCTGCTGACTCTGCTGCCGCCTCTGGGCAGTACGTAGAAAACCAAAGCCTCCACCACCTGGACGGACTCGCTGAAGAACCCACTCGCGAAGCTGCTGAGGGGGGGGGTCGTCCGGGAGAGGCATAGACCGCCGCTGTCCACCCATAGCCGCTGCAACTGCCGTGATAGTGGCCACGACAGGCAGTGACGGTCAGTAGTAGGTCCAGCACCTCCGGCATCAGCAGCACCTCCAACACTCCCAGTCGCACACCCAGCACCAGCAGCACTCCCAGCACTCCCAGTCGCACACCCAGCACCAGCAGCACTCCCAGCACTCCCTGCAGAACCTCCACCAGCAGCAGCAGTAGCACTAGCAGCAGCAGCAGCAGCAGCAGCAGTAGTGGCAGCAGGGCGGCTTGGTGGGGCTGGTGACCAAGGTAGGGCGGCGAGTGTCACAGGATCGAATTCTCAATCGAAACTTGTCACTAAAACTGAATACAAGGCGTTTTTATACTCGGAAAATACAAGGATAAACGAGATAAAACGAACCTTCGGGAACACGCCCTTCCCGATACTACAATCACAAGTGCGCACAAGCACGCAAGGCTATTGGCACTTGGGATTATGCCCAGATTACACCGTATACACCACTGTCGGCGCTGTCGGTGCCGTATAATAGATATGTCGGTGGGAACAGTAGGAAATAAGTGAAATAAAGAGAAGGCTCTAGAAAATGGAATAGTAGGCCGATTGAGATGAAATAAAGACCAAAATAAAGAGGAGAAAAGGGAGAATAAGATAAAGGAAAAATATAATAATGACAAATATTATAACAGGGACGTCCTCTCACAGCGCGGCTCGGGTTGGGCAGGACGGCTCGGGCGGCGCGGCTCGGCCGGGCAGGGCACTCCGCGGGCTGCAGGACAGGGCGCGCGCTGTGCAGGGCAGCAGGGCGCGACGTGTGGGGCAGCAGAGCGCGAGGCGAGGGGCAGCAGAGCGCGACCAGGGCTGACGTTTCGTTTTAGGCCACCCTGATTTCTGGAAAAAAATTCCCCCTCTATTATGATCGCACATTTTTCACAGGGAAGCTACCCTGATAGCTCAGTGTCGAACAAAATGCTAGTCTGATCCGTCAGGGTTCACAGCTCAAAATCAGGGTTGCTATTAACATTGCACTACACTTCAAAATGACTGATACAACTTCAACTTTCCTACACTACACTATCTAGTGCACGGGTTTGTCAATGAAGTACACCTCCTCTACGTCCTCATCGTCTGACAGGAAAGAGTTGTCCTCCTCTTCCACGACCTCCTGATCGTCGCCCAAGTCCTGTTCCACTTTATCGTCCTCCTCCTCCTCCTCCCCCTCGTCCTCGTTCTCCCCCGCAGTTCCAGCAGCCACAGCTTCACCCTCCTTCTGCTTCCCCTTCCTCTCCCTCTCTGCCACGGCCAGCTTCAGGCTCTTCACAGGGCGCCTCCTCCGCATGGACCTCCACACCTCCAGTGCATCCGGCCATTCGATCTCGTACTTCAGGAGCGATATCTGCATCAGCTCCCCCAGACGCGCGTTGCAGAGCGCTCCACGCACCCAGGACTTGATGATGTTCTGCCTGGAGAACCCCCTCTCGCACTCCACGGTGGAGAGGGGAAGCACAGCCAGCACCTGCCACAGCAGGATGAGGTTGGGCCATCTCCTGCCAGGCACATTCGAAACACAACAAAACATGTAAAAGTATCAACAAGTTAATAAATCAACAAGTTGGAATTCAACATGTTAATAATCACCAACATAAAAATCAAATAGGTAAAAAACTCGTACGCATGCAGTGGCCTACCTCTTTGAGTCTACGCTCCCAAGAAAGTTGTGAAGGCCCTGGGCGAAGCTCTCCATCTCATGGTGTGACTCCATGATCGCGCAGAATGTCGGGAGCTCCCTCTCTGCTGCTTTGAGGTCGAATCCCGGCAGCTTGTGGCGGAAGAGCCTGCTGCATCCGTGCAGCCACTCCTTGCACTTCTTCTCTCGCTGGGCCTTGATCTTCGGCCACTTCCCCGCCCGGAACAGCTTCGTCGGGCCCAGCTTCCCAAGGTCATCCAGCCGTTCGTTCAGGTTGTCCACGCAGTCTGGGGCAAATTGGCGGCACAGCTTCACGCAGTCTGCGTAGGTGCTTCCCTGCTTGTGGCCCTTCAGCTTCCTCTCATGCATGGTGTAGAGGTGGTTGATTGGGCGTCCCTCTCCGTCCACGCCTCGAACCCGGACCTGCTTGCCTCCACCCTCCTTGTGGACCTTGAGGAAGTTTACCAGCCAGCTCTTGCCCTCGCCCCCGAACGGTTTGTTTGTCGTCAAGTAGCGCTCCGTCAGGTCACTCGTGGTGGACTCAATAGTCTTCGAAATCTCAGTCACATCCAGCTGTCACACATGCAATCAACAACAGGGAGTAGGAATAGCAAAAGTGTAGGATTACACTTCCCATCTCAACATTATACTAGCATTCAATCTCACCTCACGCCTCTGGAAGCAGCGGTTGAGGTCGTTCATGTCGGCCAGAATGTCGGCCAGGAAAAACAAACAGAACTGGAACTTGTAGCACATCACAATCTCGTAGGCCTTGTGGTTGTGCTCCCAGAGCAGCACGATGCAAGCGCCGATGCACAGCCTGCGCACCGCATCACCTCGTGACAGCCATCGAATCAATGCAGCTCAATGCAGCTCAATGCAACTCAATGCAGCTCAATGCAGCTCAATGCAACTCAATGCAGCTCAATGCAGCTCAATGCAGCTCAATGCAGCTCAATGCAGCTCAATGCAGCTCAATGCAGCTCAATGCAGCTCAATGCAGCTCAATGCAGCTCAATGCAGCTCAATGCAGCTCAATGCAGCTCAATGCAGCTCAATGCAGCTCAATGCAGCTCAATGCAGCTCAATGCAGCTCAATGCAGCTCAATGCAGCTCAATGCAGCTCAATGCAGCTCAATGCAGCTCAATGCAGCTCAATGCAGCTCAATGCAGCTCAATGCAGCTCAATGCAGCTCAATGCAGCTCAATGCAGCTCAATGCAACTCAATGCAGCTCAATGCAGCTCAATGCAGCTCAATGCAACTCAATGCAGCTCAATGCAACTCAATGCAGCTCAATGCAACTCAATGCAGCTCAATGCAGCTCAATGCAACTCAATGCAACTCAATGCAGCTCAATGCAACTCAATGCAGCTCAATGCAGCTCAATGCAACTCAATGCAGCTCAATGCAACTCAATGCAACTCAATGCAGCTCAATGCAACTCAATGCAGCTCAATGCAGCTCAATGCAACTCAATGCAGCTCAATGCAGCTCAATGCAGCTCAATGCAACTCAATGCAGCTCAATGCAACTCAATGCAACTCAATGCAGCTCAATGCAACTCAATGCAGCTCAATGCAGCTCAATGCAACTCAATGCAGCTCAATGCAACTCAATGCAACTCAATGCAACTCAATGCAGCTCAATGCAACTCAATGCAACTCAATGCAGCTCAATGCAGCTCAATGCAACTCAATGCAACTCAATGCAACTCAATGCAGCTCAATGCAGCTCAATGCAACTCAATGCAACTCAATGCAACTCAATGCAGCTCAATGCAACTCAATGCAACTCAATGCAACTCAATGCAACTCAATGCAACTCAATGCAGCTCAATGCAACTCAATGCAACTCAATGCAGCTCAATGCAACTCAATGCAGCTCAATGCAGCTCAATGCAGCTCAATGCAGCTCAATGCAGCTCAATGCAGCTCAATGCAGCTCAATGCAGCTCAATGCAACTCAATGCAGCTCAATGCAGCTCAATGCAGCTCAATGCAACTCAATGCAGCTCAATGCAACTCAATGCAGCTCAATGCAACTCAATGCAGCTCAATGCAGCTCAATGCAACTCAATGCAACTCAATGCAGCTCAATGCAACTCAATGCAGCTCAATGCAGCTCAATGCAACTCAATGCAGCTCAATGCAGCTCAATGCAACTCAATGCAGCTCAATGCAACTCAATGCAACTCAATGCAGCTCAATGCAACTCAATGCAGCTCAATGCAGCTCAATGCAACTCAATGCAGCTCAATGCAGCTCAATGCAGCTCAATGCAACTCAATGCAGCTCAATGCAACTCAATGCAACTCAATGCAGCTCAATGCAACTCAATGCAGCTCAATGCAGCTCAATGCAGCTCAATGCAGCTCAATGCAACTCAATGCAACTCAATGCAACTCAATGCAGCTCAATGCAACTCAATGCAACTCAATGCAGCTCAATGCAGCTCAATGCAACTCAATGCAACTCAATGCAACTCAATGCAGCTCAATGCAGCTCAATGCAGCTCAATGCAACTCAATGCAACTCAATGCAGCTCAATGCAACTCAATGCAGCTCAATGCAGCTCAATGCAACTCAATGCAACTCAATGCAACTCAATGCAACTCAATGCAGCTCAATGCAGCTCAATGCAGCTCAATGCAGCTCAATGCAACTCAATGCAGCTCAATGCAGCTCAATGCAACTCAATGCAGCTCAATGCAACTCAATGCAACTCAATGCAACTCAATGCAGCTCAATGCAACTCAATGCAACTCAATGCAGCTCAATGCAGCTCAATGCAACTCAATGCAACTCAATGCAACTCAATGCAGCTCAATGCAACTCAATGCAACTCAATGCAACTCAATGCAGCTCAATGCAACTCAATGCAACTCAATGCAACTCAATGCAGCTCAATGCAACTCAATGCAGCTCAATGCAACTCAATGCAGCTCAATGCAACTCAATGCAACTCAATGCAACTCAATGCAGCTCAATGCAACTCAATGCAGCTCAATGCAACTCAATGCAGCTCAATGCAACTCAATGCAGCTCAATGCAGCTCAATGCAGCTCAATGCAGCTCAATGCAGCTCAATGCAGCTCAATGCAACTCAATGCAACTCAATGCAACTCAATGCAGCTCAATGCAACTCAATGCAACTCAATGCAACTCAATGCAGCTCAATGCAACTCAATGCAGCTCAATGCAACTCAATGCAGCTCAATGCAACTCAGTGCAGCTCAATGCAGCTCAATGCAACTCAATGCAGCTCAATGCAACTCAATGCAACTCAATGCAACTCAATGCAGCTCAATGCAACTCAATGCAACTCAATGCAGCTCAATGCAGCTCAATGCAACTCAATGCAACTCAATGCAACTCAATGCAGCTCAATGCAGCTCAATGCAACTCAATGCAACTCAATGCAACTCAATGCAGCTCAATGCAACTCAATGCAACTCAATGCAGCTCAATGCAGCTCAATGCAACTCAATGCAACTCAATGCAGCTCAATGCAGCTCAATGCAACTCAATGCAACTCAATGCAACTCAATGCAGCTCAATGCAACTCAATGCAACTCAATGCAACTCAATGCAGCTCAATGCAACTCAATGCAACTCAATGCAACTCAATGCAGCTCAATGCAACTCAATGCAGCTCAATGCAACTCAATGCAGCTCAATGCAACTCAATGCAGCTCAATGCAACTCAATGCAACTCAATGCAACTCAATGCAGCTCAATGCAACTCAATGCAGCTCAATGCAACTCAATGCAGCTCAATGCAACTCAATGCAGCTCAATGCAGCTCAATGCAGCTCAATGCAGCTCAATGCAGCTCAATGCAGCTCAATGCAGCGCTCTGATGCAGTCTGCTCTTCACGTGGCGGAGTCTTCTGCTGCTGCTGCTGCTGCTGCTGCTGCTGCTTCTCTTGCGCCTACTACTCACCCTCTTCTCCCCTCCTGAATTCCCCACCTCTCCACCAACCCACCAGATGCCAAGCGCCTGTTCTGTCAATCCATCCGCCAGCAAGTCAACTTAGCACTCATCCGGTGCTCCGTGCTGCAGTCTGCTCTTCACGCGGAGTCTTCTGCTGCTGATTCGCTTGGAATGGCATCAGCAGAGGATGAAATTGGGAAGGCAAAGAAAAAGCAGCTGCCGCACATCCCGCTGAAACGAAGACCACGAGAACGTGAGACAGAAAGCATGATATCAGAAAGGAATGACGTTTGAGTCGACTCATAAGTCATCACGTGAGAAAGAAAGCATGATCTCAGAAAGGAATGACGTTTGAGTCGACTCATAAGTCATCACGTGAGAAAGAAAGCATGATCTCAGAAAGGAATGACGTTTGAGTCGACTCATAAGTCATCACGTGAGAAAGAAAGCATGATCTCAGAAAGGAATGACGTTTGAGTCGACTCATAAGTCATCACGTGAGAAAGAAAGCATGATCTCAGAATGGCAGAAAATTCCTTCTTCTGTTGGCCTTGTCTTGTTGAGAGATCACATTTCCATCACAGGTGTTGTTGAGTCTGAGTTGGTGTATCTTTCATTGAGAAAGCTTGCTTTCTGTTCTTGCAAAGGCATCGTGCTTCATTACAATTGGGTCGACTCATAAGTCATCACGTGAGAAAGAAAGCATGATCTCAGAATGGCAGAAAATTCCTTCTTCTGTTGGCCTTGTCTTGTTGAGAGATCACATTTCCATCACAGGTGTTGTTGAGTCTGAGTTGGTGTATCTTTCGTTTGTGTTTTTTTATCTCCAAACCCTCCTTTCACCACCCCTCTTGAACCTCCGGTTACCAGGGCTTGATTGTTTTTGTTTTTGTTTTTGTTTTTTTTGCTTACCTCCCCTTTCTCTCCCCTTTCCTCTTTTTATCCCTTCCTTTCCTCTCGCTGCCTTGCTGCTGGAACGGCTAACAGCATCCCTTGAAGAGCGACTAAGCAAGCTTGAGAAAGCGCGTCACTGAAATTACACCTTGAAGCAATAGACTGCACGACAATCCCTTAAAGCCAGGGTCTCACATAAAAGAACTGAAGCTCAGTCACCCTGTTGGAGTAGGCGAAGTTAGGGGTTGGTTTGGCAATCGAGTGTGCGACACCTTCCCGTTTTTGCCTCTGGAGCAATTGCAAAACATTTCGATGGAGCAATTGCAAAACATTCTGATGGGTACATCAAACTGACTGGATGCTTGCACAAATCGCTGGTGTTCTATTCTAGCTTCGGCACCGAACCAATTTCTGTGCCATCTACGAGGAAAACCGACACCAGCACCTGCACCACACGCTCTCCCTGCGCCTGCACACTTTCCCTCCACCGGGTTTCCTCCCCTGGAAAGTCCAAGCCTACAACACATTCCCACCGCCACAGTCAACGCTCCCATCAGTATCAGCAAGGAAGGCAGACAGCAGTGCCTGCACGCTCTCCCTCCGCATGGCTAAGAGGGTTGAGATGATGAACTTTGGGTGCCCTGCCCTCTAACCTGACCAAAGTGTCACGTAGAAGTTGATTCAGACATCTCCCGCACCAGCATCAACACTCCCATCTGTATCAGCCAAAAATGGCGACAGCTCGGCCTGCACTGCATGCTCTCCCTGCACATGGCAAAGAGCGTGGAAATGAACAGCGCGTGCCCTCTATCTTGAACTCATCTCAAGGGATTTCCATTCCAGTCAACTATAGAGTCAAGTCAAACACACCACCACCATCAAGGTCCCCAGGACCCCAGCTGTGTCTGCTAACCTATGGAACATTTCTGCTGCCACCATCAATGTTCCCCTCTGTGTCTGCCAGGAAGGCTGACAGAGCCAGCACGCTTCCCTCCGCATGCAAAGAGCGCTGGGATGAAAAACTTTGGTCGCCCCCTGCCCTCAAACCTGATTAAAGTGTCGAGTAGAAGTTAAATTCAGACATGTCCCCCAGCAACATCAACACTCCCATCTGTATCAGCCAAAAAGGCTGAGAGCAGCTCCTGCATGCTCTCCCTCCGCATGGCAAAGAGTGTTGAGATGAAGAAGCAAGAGTGTGCGTGCCCTCTATCAGACATCGCCAGCACCACCATTGATGCTCCCCTCCACATCTGCCAGTAATGCCTACAGCAGCGCCTGCACGCTCTCCCTCCGCATCTGTCTTCCACTGGAAAACCCGAGCCTACACCACATTCCCTCCACCACCATCAATTTCCCCCTCTGTGTCCGCCAGGAAAGCAGACAGCAGCGCCTGCACGCTCTCCGTCCGCATGGCAAAGAGCATGGAGATGAAGAAGCGGGTGCCCTCTATCTTGAACTCCTCTAGCGGGTTCTCCCGCCCAAAGCCCTGCACGCTCACCTGTAGACAGGAAGAAAACAAGAACAGACCAGAGATAAAAGGGAGGAAAGGGCAGAAGAGCAAAGAGCGTTGAGATGAAGAAGCGGGTGCCTTCTATCTTGAACTCCTCTAGCGGGTTCTCCCGCCCAAAGCCCTGCACGCTCACCTGTAGACAGGAAGAAAACAGGAACAGACCAGAGATAAAAGGGAGGAAAGGGCAGAAGAGCAAAGAGCGTGGAGATGAAGAAGCGGGTGCCCTCTATCTTGAACTCCTCTAGCGGGTTCTCCCTCCCAAAGCCTTGCACGCTCACCTGGAGACACAGGAAGCAAACAGGGATAGAGAGGTCGGGGAACAGAGGAAGCAAGTGCGTTTCTAGAAAAGAGTGTGCACGAGATGCACACACACACACAAGAATGTGTACGAAACAAGAGTGAAGAAAAAGGTGGGAGCATCTCATCTCATACCCAACCCAACAACACACGCACATGGTTCTGACTGCAACTTGTCAACACTCCCCGCGTTCCTCAGCCGTGCCATGCCATGTTGGCAATGTGCTGAGTACGCTGATTACGCTGTGTACGCCGTGTACGCCGTGTTCAAAGTGGACCGCGCTTCACAGCGGGTCCAAAGTGTACAGCAGCCGTACTACCCATGCCCCCCTGACCTTACACACACATCCCTCGGTCAGTCTGTACTTGTTGCAACCCCATCGCACACTCACCGCACTCCTCAGCTGTGCAGCGTGGACGTCCAGCTTGTTGGCAATGTGGACGTCCAGCTTGTTGGCAATGTGGACGTCCAGCTTGTTGGCAATGTGGACGTCCAGCTTGTTGGCAATGTGGAGGTCCAGCTTGTTGGCAATGTGGACGTCCAGCTTGTTGGCAATGTGGACGTCCAGCTTGTTGGCAATGTGGACGTCCAGCTTGTTGGCAATGTGGACGTCCAGCTTGTTGGCAATGTGGACGTCCAGCTTGTTGGCAATGTGGAGGTCCAGCTTGTTGGCAATGTGGACGTCCAGCTTGTTGGCAATGTGGACGTCCAGCTTGTTGGCAATGTGGACGTCCAGCTTGTTGGCAATGTGGACGTCCAGCTTGTTGGCAATGTGGACGTCCAGCTTGTTGGCAATGTGGACGTCCAGCTTGTTGACAATGTGGACGTCCAGCTTGTTGGCAATGTGGACGTCCAGCTTGTTGGCAATGTGGAGGTCCAGCTTGTTGGCAATGTGGAGGTCCAGCTTGTTGGCAATGTGGACGTCCAGCTTGTTGACAATGTGGACGTCCAGCTTGTTGGCAATGTGGACGTCCAGCTTGTTGGCAATGTGGACGTCCAGCTTGTTGGCAATGTGGAGGTCCAGCTTGTTGGCAATGTGGAGGTCCAGCTTGTTGGCAATGTGGACGTCCAGCTTGTTGACAATGTGGACGTCCAGCTTGTTGGCAATGTGGAGGTCCAGCTTGTTGGCAATGTGGAGGTCCAGCTTGTTGGCAATGTGGACGTCCAGCTTGTTGGCAATGTGGACGTCCAGCTTGTTGGCAATGTGGACGTCCAGCTTGTTGGCAATGTGGACGTCCAGCTTGTTGGCAATGTGGAGGTCCAGCTTGTTGGCAATGTGGACGTCCAGCTTGTTGGCAATGTGGAGGTCCAGCTTGTTGGCAATGTGGAGGTCCAGCTTGTTGGCAATGTGGAGGTCCAGCTTGTTGGCAATGTGGACGTCCAGCTTGTTGGCAATGTGGAGGTCCAGCTTGTTGGCAATGTGGACGTCCAGCTTGTTGGCAATGTGGACGTCCAGCTTGTTGGCAATGTGGACGTCCAGCTTGTTGGCAATGTGGACGTCCAGCTTGTTGGCAATGTGGACGTCCAGCTTGTTGGCAATGTGGACGTCCAGCTTGTTGGCAATGTGGACGTCCAGCTTGTTGGCAATGTGGACGTCCAGCTTGTTGGCAATGTGGAGGTCCAGCTTGTTGGCAATGTGGACGTCCAGCTTGTTGGCAATGTGGAGGTCCAGCTTGTTGGCAATGTGGACGTCCAGCTTGTTGGCAATGTGGAGGTCCAGCTTGTTGGCAATGTGGACGTCCAGCTTGTTGGCAATGTGGAGGTCCAGCTTGTTGGCAATGTGGAGGTCCAGCTTGTTGGCAATGTGGACGTCCAGCTTGTTGGCAATGTGGACGTCCAGCTTGTTGGCAATGTGGACGTCCAGCTTGTTGGCAATGTGGACGTCCAGCTTGTTGGCAATGTGGACGTCCAGCTTGTTGGCAATGTGGACGTCCAGCTTGTTGGCAATGTGGAGGTCCAGCTTGTTGGCAATGTGGACGTCCAGCTTGTTGGCAATGTGGACGTCCAGCTTGTTGGCAATGTGGACGTCCAGCTTGTTGGCAATGTGGACGTCCAGCTTGTTGGCAATGTGGAGGTCCAGCTTGTTGGCAATGTGGAGGTCCAGCTTGTTGGCAATGTGGACGTCCAGCTTGTTGGCAATGTGGACGTCCAGCTTGTTGGCAATGTGGACGTCCAGCTTGTTGGCAATGTGGACGTCCAGCTTGTTGGCAATGTGGACGTCCAGCTTGTTGGCAATGTGGACGTCCAGCTTGTTGGCAATGTGGACGTCCAGCTTGTTGGCAATGTGGACGTCCAGCTTGTTGGCAATGTGGAGGTCCAGCTTGTTGGCAATGTGGAGGTCCAGCTTGTTGGCAATGTGGACGTCCAGCTTGTTGACAATGTGGACGTCCAGCTTGTTGGCAATGTGGACGTCCAGCTTGTTGGCAATGTGGACGTCCAGCTTGTTGGCAATGTGGACGTCCAGCTTGTTGGCAATGTGGAGGTCCAGCTTGTTGGCAATGTGGAGGTCCAGCTTGTTGGCAATGTGGAGGTCCAGCTTGTTGGCAATGTGGACGTCCAGCTTGTTGGCAATGTGGACGTCCAGCTTGTTGGCAATGTGGACGTCCAGCTTGTTGGCAATGTGGACGTCCAGCTTGTTGGCAATGTGGACGTCCAGCTTGTTGGCAATGTGGACGTCCAGCTTGTTGGCAATGTGGACGTCCAGCTTGTTGGCAATGTGGACGTCCAGCTTGTTGGCAATGTGGACGTCCAGCTTGTTGGCAATGTGGACGTCCAGCTTGTTGGCAATGTGGAGGTCCAGCTTGTTGGCAATGTGGACGTCCAGCTTGTTGGCAATGTGGAGGTCCAGCTTGTTGGCAATGTGGAGGTCCAGCTTGTTGGCAATGTGGAGGTCCAGCTTGTTGGCAATGTGGACGTCCAGCTTGTTGGCAATGTGGAGGTCCAGCTTGTTGGCAATGTGGACGTCCAGCTTGTTGGCAATGTGGACGTCCAGCTTGTTGGCAATGTGGACGTCCAGCTTGTTGGCAATGTGGACGTCCAGCTTGTTGGCAATGTGGACGTCCAGCTTGTTGACAATGTGGACGTCCAGCTTGTTGGCAATGTGGACGTCCAGCTTGTTGGCAATGTGGACGTCCAGCTTGTTGGCAATGTGGAGGTCCAGCTTGTTGGCAATGTGGACGTCCAGCTTGTTGGCAATGTGGAGGTCCAGCTTGTTGGCAATGTGGACGTCCAGCTTGTTGGCAATGTGGACGTCCAGCTTGTTGGCAATGTGGACGTCCAGCTTGTTGGCAATGTGGACGTCCAGCTTGTTGGCAATGTGGACGTCCAGCTTGTTGGCAATGTGGACGTCCAGCTTGTTGACAATGTGGACGTCCAGCTTGTTGGCAATGTGGACGTCCAGCTTGTTGGCAATGTGGACGTCCAGCTTGTTGGCAATGTGGAGGTCCAGCTTGTTGGCAATGTGGAGGTCCAGCTTGTTGGCAATGTGGAGGTCCAGCTTGTTGGCAATGTGGAGGTCCAGCTTGTTGGCAATGTGGACGTCCAGCTTGTTGGCAATGTGGACGTCCAGCTTGTTGGCAATGTGGACGTCCAGCTTGTTGGCAATGTGGACGTCCAGCTTGTTGGCAATGTGGACGTCCAGCTTGTTGGCAATGTGGACGTCCAGCTTGTTGGCAATGTGGACGTCCAGCTTGTTGGCAATGTGGACGTCCAGCTTGTTGGCAATGTGGACGTCCAGCTTGTTGGCAATGTGGAGGTCCAGCTTGTTGGCAATGTGGACGTCCAGCTTGTTGGCAATGTGGAGGTCCAGCTTGTTGGCAATGTGGAGGTCCAGCTTGTTGGCAATGTGGAGGTCCAGCTTGTTGGCAATGTGGACGTCCAGCTTGTTGGCAATGTGGACGTCCAGCTTGTTGGCAATGTGGACGTCCAGCTTGTTGGCAATGTGGACGTCCAGCTTGTTGGCAATGTGGACGTCCAGCTTGTTGGCAATGTGGACGTCCAGCTTGTTGACAATGTGGACGTCCAGCTTGTTGGCAATGTGGACGTCCAGCTTGTTGGCAATGTGGACGTCCAGCTTGTTGGCAATGTGGAGGTCCAGCTTGTTGGCAATGTGGACGTCCAGCTTGTTGACAATGTGGACGTCCAGCTTGTTGGCAATGTGGACGTCCAGCTTGTTGGCAATGTGGACGTCCAGCTTGTTGGCAATGTGGACGTCCAGCTTGTTGGCAATGTGGACGTCCAGCTTGTTGGCAATGTGGAGGTCCAGCTTGTTGGCAATGTGGACGTCCAGCTTGTTGGCAATGTGGACGTCCAGCTTGTTGGCAATGTGGACGTCCAGCTTGTTGGCAATGTGGACGTCCAGCTTGTTGGCAATGTGGACGTCCAGCTTGTTGGCAATGTGGAGGTCCAGCTTGTTGGCAATGTGGACGTCCAGCTTGTTGGCAATGTGGACGTCCAGCTTGTTGGCAATGTGGACGTCCAGCTTGTTGGCAATGTGGACGTCCAGCTTGTTGGCAATGTGGACGTCCAGCTTGTTGGCAATGTGGACGTCCAGCTTGTTGACAATGTGGACGTCCAGCTTGTTGGCAATGTGGACGTCCAGCTTGTTGGCAATGTGGACGTCCAGCTTGTTGGCAATGTGGAGGTCCAGCTTGTTGGCAATGTGGACGTCCAGCTTGTTGGCAATGTGGACGTCCAGCTTGTTGGCAATGTGGACGTCCAGCTTGTTGGCAATGTGGACGTCCAGCTTGTTGGCAATGTGGACGTCCAGCTTGTTGGCAATGTGGACGTCCAGCTTGTTGGCAATGTGGACGTCCAGCTTGTTGGCAATGTGGACGTCCAGCTTGTTGGCAATGTGGACGTCCAGCTTGTTGGCAATGTGGACGTCCAGCTTGTTGGCAATGTGGACGTCCAGCTTGTTGGCAATGTGGAGGTCCAGCTTGTTGGCAATGTGGACGTCCAGCTTGTTGGCAATGTGGAGGTCCAGCTTGTTGGCAATGTGGAGGTCCAGCTTGTTGGCAATGTGGAGGTCCAGCTTGTTGGCAATGTGGAGGTCCAGCTTGTTGGCAATGTGGAGGTCCAGCTTGTTGGCAATGTGGAGGTCCAGCTTGTTGGCAATGTGGACGTCCAGCTTGTTGGCAATGTGGAGGTCCAGCTTGTTGGCAATGTGGACGTCCAGCTTGTTGGCAATGTGGACGTCCAGCTTGTTGGCAATGTGGACGTCCAGCTTGTTGGCAATGTGGACGTCCAGCTTGTTGGCAATGTGGACGTCCAGCTTGTTGGCAATGTGGACGTCCAGCTTGTTGGCAATGTGGACGTCCAGCTTGTTGGCAATGTGGACGTCCAGCTTGTTGGCAATGTGGAGGTCCAGCTTGTTGGCAATGTGGAGGTCCAGCTTGTTGGCAATGTGGACGTCCAGCTTGTTGGCAATGTGGACGTCCAGCTTGTTGGCAATGTGGACGTCCAGCTTGTTGGCAATGTGGACGTCCAGCTTGTTGGCAATGTGGACGTCCAGCTTGTTGGCAATGTGGACGTCCAGCTTGTTGGCAATGTGGACGTCCAGCTTGTTGGCAATGTGGACGTCCAGCTTGTTGGCAATGTGGAGGTCCAGCTTGTTGGCAATGTGGAGGTCCAGCTTGTTGGCAATGTGGACGTCCAGCTTGTTGGCAATGTGGACGTCCAGCTTGTTGGCAATGTGGACGTCCAGCTTGTTGGCAATGTGGACGTCCAGCTTGTTGGCAATGTGGACGTCCAGCTTGTTGGCAATGTGGACGTCCAGCTTGTTGGCAATGTGGACGTCCAGCTTGTTGGCAATGTGGACGTCCAGCTTGTTGGCAATGTGGACGTCCAGCTTGTTGGCAATGTGGACGTCCAGCTTGTTGGCAATGTGGACGTCCAGCTTGTTGGCAATGTGGACGTCCAGCTTGTTGGCAATGTGGACGTCCAGCTTGTTGGCAATGTGGACGTCCAGCTTGTTGGCAATGTGGACGTCCAGCTTGTTGGCAATGTGGACGTCCAGCTTGTTGGCAATGTGGACGTCCAGCTTGTTGGCAATGTGGACGTCCAGCTTGTTGGCAATGTGGACGTCCAGCTTGTTGGCAATGTGGACGTCCAGCTTGTTGGCAATGTGGACGGTCCAGCTTGTTGGCAATGTGGACGTCCAGCTTGTTGGCAATGTGGACGTCCAGCTTGTTGGCAATGTGGACGTCCAGCTTGTTGGCAATGTGGACGTCCAGCTTGTTGGCAATGTGGAGGTCCAGCTTGTTGGCAATGTGGAGGTCCAGCTTGTTGGCAATGTGGACGTCCAGCTTGTTGGCAATGTGGACGTCCAGCTTGTTGGCAATGTGGACGTCCAGCTTGTTGGCAATGTGGACGTCCAGCTTGTTGGCAATGTGGACGTCCAGCTTGTTGGCAATGTGGACGTCCAGCTTGTTGGCAATGTGGACGTCCAGCTTGTTGGCAATGTGGACGTCCAGCTTGTTGGCAATGTGGACGTCCAGCTTGTTGGCAATGTGGACGTCCAGCTTGTTGGCAATGTGGACGTCCAGCTTGTTGGCAATGTGGACGTCCAGCTTGTTGGCAATGTGGAGGTCCAGCTTGTTGGCAATGTGGAGGTCCAGCTTGTTGGCAATGTGGAGGTCCAGCTTGTTGGCAATGTGGAGGTCCAGCTTGTTGGCAATGTGGAGGTCCAGCTTGTTGGCAATGTGGACGTCCAGCTTGTTGGCAATGTGGACGTCCAGCTTGTTGGCAATGTGGACGTCCAGCTTGTTGGCAATGTGGACGTCCAGCTTGTTGGCAATGTGGACGTCCAGCTTGTTGGCAATGTGGACGTCCAGCTTGTTGGCAATGTGGACGTCCAGCTTGTTGGCAATGTGGACGTCCAGCTTGTTGGCAATGTGGACGTCCAGCTTGTTGGCAATGTGGACGTCCAGCTTGTTGGCAATGTGGACGTCCAGCTTGTTGGCAATGTGGACGTCCAGCTTGTTGGCAATGTGGACGTCCAGCTTGTTGGCAATGTGGACGTCCAGCTTGTTGGCAATGTGGACGTCCAGCTTGTTGGCAATGTGGACGTCCAGCTTGTTGGCAATGTGGACGTCCAGCTTGTTGGCAATGTGGAGGTCCAGCTTGTTGGCAATGTGGAGGTCCAGCTTGTTGGCAATGTGGAGGTCCAGCTTGTTGGCAATGTGGAGGTCCAGCTTGTTGGCAATGTGGAGGTCCAGCTTGTTGGCAATGTGGAGGTCCAGCTTGTTGGCAATGTGGAGGTCCAGCTTGTTGGCAATGTGGACGTCCAGCTTGTTGGCAATGTGGAGGTTCAGCTTGTTGGCAATGTGGACGTCCAGCTTGTTGGCAATGTGGACGTCCAGCTTGTTGGCAATGTGGACGTCCAGCTTGTTGGCAATGTGGACGTCCAGCTTGTTGGCAATGTGGACGTCCAGCTTGTTGGCAATGTGGACGTCCAGCTTGTTGGCAATGTGGACGTCCAGCTTGTTGGCAATGTGGACGTCCAGCTTGTTGGCAATGTGGACGTCCAGCTTGTTGGCAATGTGGACGTCCAGCTTGTTGGCAATGTGGAGGTCCAGCTTGTTGGCAATGTGGACGTCCAGCTTGTTGGCAATGTGGACGGTCCAGCTTGTTGGCAATGTGGACGTCCAGCTTGTTGGCAATGTGGACGTCCAGCTTGTTGGCAATGTGGACGTCCAGCTTGTTGGCAATGTGGACGTCCAGCTTGTTGGCAATGTGGACGTCCAGCTTGTTGGCAATGTGGACGTCCAGCTTGTTGGCAATGTGGACGTCCAGCTTGTTGGCAATGTGGACGTCCAGCTTGTTGGCAATGTGGACGTCCAGCTTGTTGGCAATGTGGACGTCCAGCTTGTTGGCAATGTGGACGTCCAGCTTGTTGGCAATGTGGACGTCCAGCTTGTTGGCAATGTGGACGTCCAGCTTGTTGGCAATGTGGACGTCCAGCTTGTTGGCAATGTGGACGTCCAGCTTGTTGGCAATGTGGACGTCCAGCTTGTTGGCAATGTGGACGTCCAGCTTGTTGGCAATGTGGAGGTCCAGCTTGTTGGCAATGTGGACGTCCAGCTTGTTGGCAATGTGGAGGTCCAGCTTGTTGGCAATGTGGAGGTCCAGCTTGTTGGCAATGTGGACGTCCAGCTTGTTGGCAATGTGGACGTCCAGCTTGTTGGCAATGTGGACGTCCAGCTTGTTGGCAATGTGGACGTCCAGCTTGTTGGCAATGTGGACGTCCAGCTTGTTGGCAATGTGGACGTCCAGCTTGTTGGCAATGTGGACGTCCAGCTTGTTGGCAATGTGGACGTCCAGCTTGTTGGCAATGTGGACGTCCAGCTTGTTGGCAATGTGGACGTCCAGCTTGTTGGCAATGTGGACGTCCAGCTTGTTGGCAATGTGGACGTCCAGCTTGTTGGCAATGTGGACGTCCAGCTTGTTGGCAATGTGGACGTCCAGCTTGTTGGCAATGTGGACGTCCAGCTTGTTGGCAATGTGGACGTCCAGCTTGTTGGCAATGTGGACGTCCAGCTTGTTGGCAATGTGGAGGTCCAGCTTGTTGGCAATGTGGAGGTCCAGCTTGTTGGCAATGTGGACGTCCAGCTTGTTGGCAATGTGGACGTCCAGCTTGTTGGCAATGTGGACGTCCAGCTTGTTGGCAATGTGGACGTCCAGCTTGTTGGCAATGTGGACGTCCAGCTTGTTGGCAATGTGGACGTCCAGCTTGTTGGCAATGTGGAGGTCCAGCTTGTTGGCAATGTGGAGGTCCAGCTTGTTGGCAATGTGGACGTCCAGCTTGTTGGCAATGTGGACGTCCAGCTTGTTGGCAATGTGGACGTCCAGCTTGTTGGCAATGTGGACGTCCAGCTTGTTGGCAATGTGGACGTCCAGCTTGTTGGCAATGTGGACGTCCAGCTTGTTGGCAATGTGGACGTCCAGCTTGTTGGCAATGTGGACGTCCAGCTTGTTGGCAATGTGGACGTCCAGCTTGTTGGCAATGTGGACGTCCAGCTTGTTGGCAATGTGGACGTCCAGCTTGTTGGCAATGTGGACGTCCAGCTTGTTGGCAATGTGGACGTCCAGCTTGTTGGCAATGTGGACGTCCAGCTTGTTGGCAATGTGGACGTCCAGCTTGTTGGCAATGTGGACGTCCAGCTTGTTGGCAATGTGGACGTCCAGCTTGTTGGCAATGTGGACGTCCAGCTTGTTGGCAATGTGGACGTCCAGCTTGTTGGCAATGTGGACGTCCAGCTTGTTGGCAATGTGGACGTCCAGCTTGTTGGCAATGTGGACGTCCAGCTTGTTGGCAATGTGGACGTCCAGCTTGTTGGCAATGTGGACGTCCAGCTTGTTGGCAATGTGGACGTCCAGCTTGTTGGCAATGTGGACGTCCAGCTTGTTGGCAATGTGGACGTCCAGCTTGTTGGCAATGTGGACGTCCAGCTTGTTGGCAATGTGGACGTCCAGCTTGTTGGCAATGTGGACGTCCAGCTTGTTGGCAATGTGGACGTCCAGCTTGTTGGCAATGTGGAGGTCCAGCTTGTTGGCAATGTGGACGTCCAGCTTGTTGGCAATGTGGAGGTCCAGCTTGTTGGCAATGTGGAGGTCCAGCTTGTTGGCAATGTGGAGGTCCAGCTTGTTGGCAATGTGGAGGTCCAGCTTGTTGGCAATGTGGAGGTCCAGCTTGTTGGCAATGTGGAGGTCCAGCTTGTTGGCAATGTGGAGGTCCAGCTTGTTGGCAATGTGGAGGTCCAGCTTGTTGGCAATGTGGACGTCCAGCTTGTTGGCAATGTGGACGTCCAGCTTGTTGGCAATGTGGACGTCCAGCTTGTTGGCAATGTGGACGTCCAGCTTGTTGGCAATGTGGACGTCCAGCTTGTTGGCAATGTGGACGTCCAGCTTGTTGGCAATGTGGACGTCCAGCTTGTTGGCAATGTGGACGTCCAGCTTGTTGGCAATGTGGACGTCCAGCTTGTTGGCAATGTGGACGTCCAGCTTGTTGGCAATGTGGACGTCCAGCTTGTTGGCAATGTGGACGTCCAGCTTGTTGGCAATGTGGAGGTCCAGCTTGTTGGCAATGTGGAGGTCCAGCTTGTTGGCAATGTGGACGTCCAGCTTGTTGGCAATGTGGACGTCCAGCTTGTTGGCAATGTGGACGTCCAGCTTGTTGGCAATGTGGACGTCCAGCTTGTTGGCAATGTGGACGTCCAGCTTGTTGGCAATGTGGACGTCCAGCTTGTTGGCAATGTGGACGTCCAGCTTGTTGGCAATGTGGACGTCCAGCTTGTTGGCAATGTGGACGTCCAGCTTGTTGGCAATGTGGACGTCCAGCTTGTTGGCAATGTGGACGTCCAGCTTGTTGGCAATGTGGACGTCCAGCTTGTTGGCAATGTGGACGTCCAGCTTGTTGGCAATGTGGACGTCCAGCTTGTTGGCAATGTGGACGTCCAGCTTGTTGGCAATGTGGACGTCCAGCTTGTTGGCAATGTGGACGTCCAGCTTGTTGGCAATGTGGACGTCCAGCTTGTTGGCAATGTGGACGTCCAGCTTGTTGGCAATGTGGAGGTCCAGCTTGTTGGCAATGTGGACGTCCAGCTTGTTGGCAATGTGGAGGTCCAGCTTGTTGGCAATGTGGACGGTTGTTGGCAATGTGGACGTCCAGCTTGTTGGCAATGTGGACGTCCAGCTTGTTGGCAATGTGGACGTCCAGCTTGTTGGCAATGTGGACGTCCAGCTTGTTGGCAATGTGGACGTCCAGCTTGTTGGCAATGTGGACGTCCAGCTTGTTGGCAATGTGGACGTCCAGCTTGTTGGCAATGTGGACGTCCAGCTTGTTGGCAATGTGGACGTCCAGCTTGTTGGCAATGTGGACGTCCAGCTTGTTGGCAATGTGGACGTCCAGCTTGTTGGCAATGTGGACGTCCAGCTTGTTGGCAATGTGGACGTCCAGCTTGTTGGCAATGTGGACGTCCAGCTTGTTGGCAATGTGGACGTCCAGCTTGTTGGCAATGTGGACGTCCAGCTTGTTGGCAATGTGGACGTCCAGCTTGTTGGCAATGTGGACGTCCAGCTTGTTGGCAATGTGGACGTCCAGCTTGTTGGCAATGTGGACGTCCAGCTTGTTGGCAATGTGGACGTCCAGCTTGTTGGCAATGTGGACGTCCAGCTTGTTGGCAATGTGGACGTCCAGCTTGTTGGCAATGTGGACGTCCAGCTTGTTGGCAATGTGGACGTCCAGCTTGTTGGCAATGTGGACGTCCAGCTTGTTGGCAATGTGGACGTCCAGCTTGTTGGCAATGTGGACGTCCAGCTTGTTGGGCAGTGTATGTTGACGGCACTTGTGGACGTCCAGCTTGTTGGCAATGTGGACGTCCAGCTTGTTGGCAATGTGGACGTCCAGCTTGTTGGCAATGTGGACGTCCAGCTTGTTGGCAATGTGGACGTCCAGCTTGTTGGCAATGTGGACGTCCAGCTTGTTGGCAATGTGGACGTCCAGCTTGTTGGCAATGTGGACGTCCAGCTTGTTGGCAATGTGGACGTCCAGCTTGTTGGCAATGTGGACGTCCAGCTTGTTGGCAATGTGGACGTCCAGCTTGTTGGCAATGTGGACGTCCAGCTTGTTGGCAATGTGGACGTCCAGCTTGTTGGCAATGTGGACGTCCAGCTTGTTGGCAATGTGGACGTCCAGCTTGTTGGCAATGTGGACGTCCAGCTTGTTGGCAATGTGGAGGTCCAGCTTGTTGGCAATGTGGAGGTCCAGCTTGTTGGCAATGTGGAGGTCCAGCTTGTTGGCAATGTGGAGGTCCAGCTTGTTGGCAATGTGGAGGTCCAGCTTGTTGGCAATGTGGAGGTCCAGCTTGTTGGCAATGTGGACGTCCAGCTTGTTGGCAATGTGGAGGTCCAGCTTGTTGGCAATGTGGACGTCCAGCTTGTTGGCAATGTGGACGTCCAGCTTGTTGGCAATGTGGACGTCCAGCTTGTTGGCAATGTGGACGTCCAGCTTGTTGGCAATGTGGACGTCCAGCTTGTTGGCAATGTGGACGTCCAGCTTGTTGGCAATGTGGACGTCCAGCTTGTTGGCAATGTGGACGTCCAGCTTGTTGGCAATGTGGACGTCCAGCTTGTTGGCAATGTGGACGTCCAGCTTGTTGGCAATGTGGACGTCCAGCTTGTTGGCAATGTGGAGGTCCAGCTTGTTGGCAATGTGGACGTCCAGCTTGTTGGCAATGTGGACGTCCAGCTTGTTGGCAATGTGGACGTCCAGCTTGTTGGCAATGTGGACGTCCAGCTTGTTGGCAATGTGGACGTCCAGCTTGTTGGCAATGTGGACGTCCAGCTTGTTGGCAATGTGGACGTCCAGCTTGTTGGCAATGTGGACGTCCAGCTTGTTGGCAATGTGGACGTCCAGCTTGTTGGCAATGTGGACGTCCAGCTTGTTGGCAATGTGGACGTCCAGCTTGTTGGCAATGTGGACGTCCAGCTTGTTGGCAATGTGGACGTCCAGCTTGTTGGCAATGTGGACGTCCAGCTTGTTGGCAATGTGGACGTCCAGCTTGTTGGCAATGTGGACGTCCAGCTTGTTGGCAATGTGGACGTCCAGCTTGTTGGCAATGTGGACGTCCAGCTTGTTGGCAATGTGGACGTCCAGCTTGTTGGCAATGTGGACGTCCAGCTTGTTGGCAATGTGGACGTCCAGCTTGTTGGCAATGTGGACGTCCAGCTTGTTGGCAATGTGGACGTCCAGCTTGTTGGCAATGTGGAGGTCCAGCTTGTTGGCAATGTGGACGTCCAGCTTGTTGGCAATGTGGAGGTCCAGCTTGTTGGCAATGTGGACGGTCCAGCTTGTTGGCAATGTGGACGTCCAGCTTGTTGGCAATGTGGACGTCCAGCTTGTTGGCAATGTGGACGTCCAGCTTGTTGGCAATGTGGACGTCCAGCTTGTTGGCAATGTGGACGTCCAGCTTGTTGGCAATGTGGACGTCCAGCTTGTTGGCAATGTGGACGTCCAGCTTGTTGGCAATGTGGACGTCCAGCTTGTTGGCAATGTGGACGTCCAGCTTGTTGGCAATGTGGACGTCCAGCTTGTTGGCAATGTGGACGTCCAGCTTGTTGGCAATGTGGACGTCCAGCTTGTTGGCAATGTGGACGTCCAGCTTGTTGGCAATGTGGACGTCCAGCTTGTTGGCAATGTGGACGTCCAGCTTGTTGGCAATGTGGACGTCCAGCTTGTTGGCAATGTGGACGTCCAGCTTGTTGGCAATGTGGACGTCCAGCTTGTTGGCAATGTGGACGTCCAGCTTGTTGGCAATGTGGACGTCCAGCTTGTTGGCAATGTGGACGTCCAGCTTGTTGGCAATGTGGACGTCCAGCTTGTTGGCAATGTGGACGTCCAGCTTGTTGGCAATGTGGACGTCCAGCTTGTTGGCAATGTGGACGTCCAGCTTGTTGGCAATGTGGACGTCCAGCTTGTTGGCAATGTGGACGTCCAGCTTGTTGGCAATGTGGACGTCCAGCTTGTTGGCAATGTGGACGTCCAGCTTGTTGGCAATGTGGACGTCCAGCTTGTTGGCAATGTGGACGTCCAGCTTGTTGGCAATGTGGACGTCCAGCTTGTTGGCAATGTGGACGTCCAGCTTGTTGGCAATGTGGACGTCCAGCTTGTTGGCAATGTGGACGTCCAGCTTGTTGGCAATGTGGACGTCCAGCTTGTTGGCAATGTGGACGTCCAGCTTGTTGGCAATGTGGACGTCCAGCTTGTTGGCAATGTGGACGTCCAGCTTGTTGGCAATGTGGACGTCCAGCTTGTTGGCAATGTGGACGTCCAGCTTGTTGGCAATGTGGACGTCCAGCTTGTTGGCAATGTGGACGTCCAGCTTGTTGGCAATGTGGACGTCCAGCTTGTTGGCAATGTGGACGTCCAGCTTGTTGGCAATGTGGACGTCCAGCTTGTTGGCAATGTGGACGTCCAGCTTGTTGGCAATGTGGACGTCCAGCTTGTTGGCAATGTGGACGTCCAGCTTGTTGGCAATGTGGACGTCCAGCTTGTTGGCAATGTGGACGTCCAGCTTGTTGGCAATGTGGACGTCCAGCTTGTTGGCAATGTGGACGTCCAGCTTGTTGGCAATGTGGACGTCCAGCTTGTTGGCAATGTGGACGTCCAGCTTGTTGGCAATGTGGACGTCCAGCTTGTTGGCAATGTGGACGTCCAGCTTGTTGGCAATGTGGACGTCCAGCTTGTTGGCAATGTGGACGTCCAGCTTGTTGGCAATGTGGACGTCCAGCTTGTTGGCAATGTGGACGTCCAGCTTGTTGGCAATGTGGACGTCCAGCTTGTTGGCAATGTGGAGGTCCAGCTTGTTGGCAATGTGGAGGTCCAGCTTGTTGGCAATGTGGAGGTCCAGCTTGTTGGCAATGTGGACGTCCAGCTTGTTGGCAATGTGGACGTCCAGCTTGTTGGCAATGTGGACGTCCAGCTTGTTGGCAATGTGGACGTCCAGCTTGTTGGCAATGTGGACGTCCAGCTTGTTGGCAATGTGGACGTCCAGCTTGTTGGCAATGTGGACGTCCAGCTTGTTGGCAATGTGGACGTCCAGCTTGTTGGCAATGTGGACGTCCAGCTTGTTGGCAATGTGGGAACGTCCAGCTTGTTGGCAATGTGGACGTCCAGCTTGTTGGCAATGTGGACGTCCAGCTTGTTGGCAATGTGGACGTCCAGCTTGTTGGCAATGTGGACGTCCAGCTTGTTGGCAATGTGGACGTCCAGCTTGTTGGCAATGTGGACGTCCAGCTTGTTGGCAATGTGGACGTCCAGCTTGTTGGCAATGTGGACGTCCAGCTTGTTGGCAATGTGGACGTCCAGCTTGTTGGCAATGTGGACGTCCAGCTTGTTGGCAATGTGGACGTCCAGCTTGTTGGCAATGTGGACGTCCAGCTTGTTGGCAATGTGGACGTCCAGCTTGTTGGCAATGTGGACGTCCAGCTTGTTGGCAATGTGGACGTCCAGCTTGTTGGCAATGTGGACGTCCAGCTTGTTGGCAATGTGGACGTCCAGCTTGTTGGCAATGTGGACGTCCAGCTTGTTGGCAATGTGGACGTCCAGCTTGTTGGCAATGTGGACGTCCAGCTTGTTGGCAATGTGGACGTCCAGCTTGTTGGCAATGTGGACGTCCAGCTTGTTGGCAATGTGGACGTCCAGCTTGTTGGCAATGTGGACGTCCAGCTTGTTGGCAATGTGGACGTCCAGCTTGTTGGCAATGTGGACGTCCAGCTTGTTGGCAATGTGGACGTCCAGCTTGTTGGCAATGTGGACGTCCAGCTTGTTGGCAATGTGGACGTCCAGCTTGTTGGCAATGTGGACGTCCAGCTTGTTGGCAATGTGGACGTCCAGCTTGTTGGCAATGTGGACGTCCAGCTTGTTGGCAATGTGGACGTCCAGCTTGTTGGCAATGTGGACGTCCAGCTTGTTGGCAATGTGGACGTCCAGCTTGTTGGCAATGTGGACGTCCAGCTTGTTGGCAATGTGGACGTCCAGCTTGTTGGCAATGTGGACGTCCAGCTTGTTGGCAATGTGGACGTCCAGCTTGTTGGCAATGTGGACGTCCAGCTTGTTGGCAATGTGGACGTCCAGCTTGTTGGCAATGTGGACGTCCAGCTTGTTGGCAATGTGGACGTCCAGCTTGTTGGCAATGTGGACGTCCAGCTTGTTGGCAATGTGGACGTCCAGCTTGTTGGCAATGTGGACGTCCAGCTTGTTGGCAATGTGGACGTCCAGCTTGTTGGCAATGTGGACGTCCAGCTTGTTGGCAATGTGGACGTCCAGCTTGTTGGCAATGTGGACGTCCAGCTTGTTGGCAATGTGGACGTCCAGCTTGTTGGCAATGTGGACGTCCAGCTTGTTGGCAATGTGGACGTCCAGCTTGTTGGCAATGTGGACGTCCAGCTTGTTGGCAATGTGGACGTCCAGCTTGTTGGCAATGTGGACGTCCAGCTTGTTGGCAATGTGGACGTCCAGCTTGTTGGCAATGTGGACGTCCAGCTTGTTGGCAATGTGGACGTCCAGCTTGTTGGCAATGTGGACGTCCAGCTTGTTGGCAATGTGGACGTCCAGCTTGTTGGCAATGTGGACGTCCAGCTTGTTGGCAATGTGGACGTCCAGCTTGTTGGCAATGTGGACGTCCAGCTTGTTGGCAATGTGGACGTCCAGCTTGTTGGCAATGTGGACGTCCAGCTTGTTGGCAATGTGGACGTCCAGCTTGTTGGCAATGTGGACGTCCAGCTTGTTGGCAATGTGGACGTCCAGCTTGTTGGCAATGTGGACGTCCAGCTTGTTGGCAATGTGGACGTCCAGCTTGTTGGCAATGTGGACGTCCAGCTTGTTGGCAATGTGGACGTCCAGCTTGTTGGCAATGTGGACGTCCAGCTTGTTGGCAATGTGGACGTCCAGCTTGTTGGCAATGTGGACGTCCAGCTTGTTGGCAATGTGGACGTCCAGCTTGTTGGCAATGTGGACGTCCAGCTTGTTGGCAATGTGGACGTCCAGCTTGTTGGCAATGTGGACGTCCAGCTTGTTGGCAATGTGGACGTCCAGCTTGTTGGCAATGTGGACGTCCAGCTTGTTGGCAATGTGGACGTCCAGCTTGTTGGCAATGTGGACGTCCAGCTTGTTGGCAATGTGGACGTCCAGCTTGTTGGCAATGTGGACGTCCAGCTTGTTGGCAATGTGGACGTCCAGCTTGTTGGCAATGTGGACGTCCAGCTTGTTGGCAATGTGGACGTCCAGCTTGTTGGCAATGTGGACGTCCAGCTTGTTGGCAATGTGGACGTCCAGCTTGTTGGCAATGTGGACGTCCAGCTTGTTGGCAATGTGGACGTCCAGCTTGTTGGCAATGTGGACGTCCAGCTTGTTGGCAATGTGGACGTCCAGCTTGTTGGCAATGTGGACGTCCAGCTTGTTGGCAATGTGGACGTCCAGCTTGTTGGCAATGTGGACGTCCAGCTTGTTGGCAATGTGGACGTCCAGCTTGTTGGCAATGTGGACGTCCAGCTTGTTGGCAATGTGGACGTCCAGCTTGTTGGCAATGTGGACGTCCAGCTTGTTGGCAATGTGGACGTCCAGCTTGTTGGCAATGTGGACGTCCAGCTTGTTGGCAATGTGGACGTCCAGCTTGTTGGCAATGTGGACGTCCAGCTTGTTGGCAATGTGGACGTCCAGCTTGTTGGCAATGTGGACGTCCAGCTTGTTGGCAATGTGGACGTCCAGCTTGTTGGCAATGTGGACGTCCAGCTTGTTGGCAATGTGGACGTCCAGCTTGTTGGCAATGTGGACGTCCAGCTTGTTGGCAATGTGGACGTCCAGCTTGTTGGCAATGTGGACGTCCAGCTTGTTGGCAATGTGGACGTCCAGCTTGTTGGCAATGTGGACGTCCAGCTTGTTGGCAATGTGGACGTCCAGCTTGTTGGCAATGTGGACGTCCAGCTTGTTGGCAATGTGGACGTCCAGCTTGTTGGCAATGTGGACGTCCAGCTTGTTGGCAATGTGGACGTCCAGCTTGTTGGCAATGTGGACGTCCAGCTTGTTGGCAATGTGGACGTCCAGCTTGTTGGCAATGTGGACGTCCAGCTTGTTGGCAATGTGGACGTCCAGCTTGTTGGCAATGTGGACGTCCAGCTTGTTGGCAATGTGGACGTCCAGCTTGTTGGCAATGTGGACGTCCAGCTTGTTGGCAATGTGGACGTCCAGCTTGTTGGCAATGTGGACGTCCAGCTTGTTGGCAATGTGGACGTCCAGCTTGTTGGCAATGTGGACGTCCAGCTTGTTGGCAATGTGGACGTCCAGCTTGTTGGCAATGTGGACGTCCAGCTTGTTGGCAATGTGGACGTCCAGCTTGTTGGCAATGTGGACGTCCAGCTTGTTGGCAATGTGGACGTCCAGCTTGTTGGCAATGTGGACGTCCAGCTTGTTGGCAATGTGGACGTCCAGCTTGTTGGCAATGTGGACGTCCAGCTTGTTGGCAATGTGGACGTCCAGCTTGTTGGCAATGTGGACGTCCAGCTTGTTGGCAATGTGGACGTCCAGCTTGTTGGCAATGTGGACGTCCAGCTTGTTGGCAATGTGGACGTCCAGCTTGTTGGCAATGTGGACGTCCAGCTTGTTGGCAATGTGGACGTCCAGCTTGTTGGCAATGTGGACGTCCAGCTTGTTGGCAATGTGGACGTCCAGCTTGTTGGCAATGTGGACGTCCAGCTTGTTGGCAATGTGGACGTCCAGCTTGTTGGCAATGTGGACGTCCAGCTTGTTGGCAATGTGGACGTCCAGCTTGTTGGCAATGTGGACGTCCAGCTTGTTGGCAATGTGGACGTCCAGCTTGTTGGCAATGTGGACGTCCAGCTTGTTGGCAATGTGGACGTCCAGCTTGTTGGCAATGTGGACGTCCAGCTTGTTGGCAATGTGGACGTCCAGCTTGTTGGCAATGTGGACGTCCAGCTTGTTGGCAATGTGGACGTCCAGCTTGTTGGCAATGTGGACGTCCAGCTTGTTGGCAATGTGGACGTCCAGCTTGTTGGCAATGTGGACGTCCAGCTTGTTGGCAATGTGGACGTCCAGCTTGTTGGCAATGTGGACGTCCAGCTTGTTGGCAATGTGGACGTCCAGCTTGTTGGCAATGTGGACGTCCAGCTTGTTGGCAATGTGGACGTCCAGCTTGTTGGCAATGTGGACGTCCAGCTTGTTGGCAATGTGGACGTCCAGCTTGTTGGCAATGTGGACGTCCAGCTTGTTGGCAATGTGGACGTCCAGCTTGTTGGCAATGTGGACGTCCAGCTTGTTGGCAATGTGGACGTCCAGCTTGTTGGCAATGTGGACGTCCCAGCTTGTTGGCAATGTGGACGTCCAGCTTGTTGGCAATGTGGACGTCCAGCTTGTTGGCAATGTGGACGTCCAGCTTGTTGGCAATGTGGACGTCCAGCTTGTTGGCAATGTGGACGTCCAGCTTGTTGGCAATGTGGACGTCCAGCTTGTTGGCAATGTGGACGTCCAGCTTGTTGGCAATGTGGACGTCCAGCTTGTTGGCAATGTGGACGTCCAGCTTGTTGGCAATGTGGACGTCCAGCTTGTTGGCAATGTGGACGTCCAGCTTGTTGGCAATGTGGACGTCCAGCTTGTTGGCAATGTGGACGTCCAGCTTGTTGGCAATGTGGACGTCCAGCTTGTTGGCAATGTGGACGTCCAGCTTGTTGGCAATGTGGACGTCCAGCTTGTTGGCAATGTGGACGTCCAGCTTGTTGGCAATGTGGACGTCCAGCTTGTTGGCAATGTGGACGTCCAGCTTGTTGGCAATGTGGACGTCCAGCTTGTTGGCAATGTGGACGTCCAGCTTGTTGGCAATGTGGACGTCCAGCTTGTTGGCAATGTGGACGTCCAGCTTGTTGGCAATGTGGACGTCCAGCTTGTTGGCAATGTGGACGTCCAGCTTGTTGGCAATGTGGACGTCCAGCTTGTTGGCAATGTGGACGTCCAGCTTGTTGGCAATGTGGACGTCCAGCTTGTTGGCAATGTGGACGTCCAGCTTGTTGGCAATGTGGACGTCCAGCTTGTTGGCAATGTGGACGTCCAGCTTGTTGGCAATGTGGACGTCCAGCTTGTTGGCAATGTGGACGTCCAGCTTGTTGGCAATGTGGACGTCCAGCTTGTTGGCAATGTGGACGTCCAGCTTGTTGGCAATGTGGACGTCCAGCTTGTTGGCAATGTGGACGTCCAGCTTGTTGGCAATGTGGACGTCCAGCTTGTTGGCAATGTGGACGTCCAGCTTGTTGGCAATGTGGACGTCCAGCTTGTTGGCAATGTGGACGTCCAGCTTGTTGGCAATGTGGACGTCCAGCTTGTTGGCAATGTGGACGTCCAGCTTGTTGGCAATGTGGACGTCCAGCTTGTTGGCAATGTGGACGTCCAGCTTGTTGGCAATGTGGACGTCCAGCTTGTTGGCAATGTGGACGTCCAGCTTGTTGGCAATGTGGACGTCCAGCTTGTTGGCAATGTGGACGTCCAGCTTGTTGGCAATGTGGACGTCCAGCTTGTTGGCAATGTGGACGTCCAGCTTGTTGGCAATGTGGACGTCCAGCTTGTTGGCAATGTGGACGTCCAGCTTGTTGGCAATGTGGACGTCCAGCTTGTTGGCAATGTGGACGTCCAGCTTGTTGGCAATGTGGACGTCCAGCTTGTTGGCAATGTGGACGTCCAGCTTGTTGGCAATGTGGACGTCCAGCTTGTTGGCAATGTGGACGTCCAGCTTGTTGGCAATGTGGACGTCCAGCTTGTTGGCAATGTGGACGTCCAGCTTGTTGGCAATGTGGACGTCCAGCTTGTTGGCAATGTGGACGTCCAGCTTGTTGGCAATGTGGACGTCCAGCTTGTTGGCAATGTGGACGTCCAGCTTGTTGGCAATGTGGACGTCCAGCTTGTTGGCAATGTGGACGTCCAGCTTGTTGGCAATGTGGACGTCCAGCTTGTTGGCAATGTGGACGTCCAGCTTGTTGGCAATGTGGACGTCCAGCTTGTTGGCAATGTGGACGTCCAGCTTGTTGGCAATGTGGACGTCCAGCTTGTTGGCAATGTGGACGTCCAGCTTGTTGGCAATGTGGACGTCCAGCTTGTTGGCAATGTGGACGTCCAGCTTGTTGGCAATGTGGACGTCCAGCTTGTTGGCAATGTGGACGTCCAGCTTGTTGGCAATGTGGACGTCCAGCTTGTTGGCAATGTGGACGTCCAGCTTGTTGGCAATGTGGACGTCCAGCTTGTTGGCAATGTGGACGTCCAGCTTGTTGGCAATGTGGACGTCCAGCTTGTTGGCAATGTGGACGTCCAGCTTGTTGGCAATGTGGACGTCCAGCTTGTTGGCAATGTGGACGTCCAGCTTGTTGGCAATGTGGACGTCCAGCTTGTTGGCAATGTGGACGTCCAGCTTGTTGGCAATGTGGACGTCCAGCTTGTTGGCAATGTGGACGTCCAGCTTGTTGGCAATGTGGACGTCCAGCTTGTTGGCAATGTGGACGTCCAGCTTGTTGGCAATGTGGACGTCCAGCTTGTTGGCAATGTGGACGTCCAGCTTGTTGGCAATGTGGACGTCCAGCTTGTTGGCAATGTGGACGTCCAGCTTGTTGGCAATGTGGACGTCCAGCTTGTTGGCAATGTGGACGTCCAGCTTGTTGGCAATGTGGACGTCCAGCTTGTTGGCAATGTGGACGTCCAGCTTGTTGGCAATGTGGACGTCCAGCTTGTTGGCAATGTGGACGTCCAGCTTGTTGGCAATGTGGACGTCCAGCTTGTTGGCAATGTGGACGTCCAGCTTGTTGGCAATGTGGACGTCCAGCTTGTTGGCAATGTGGACGTCCAGCTTGTTGGCAATGTGGACGTCCAGCTTGTTGGCAATGTGGACGTCCAGCTTGTTGGCAATGTGGACGTCCAGCTTGTTGGCAATGTGGACGTCCAGCTTGTTGGCAATGTGGACGTCCAGCTTGTTGGCAATGTGGACGTCCAGCTTGTTGGCAATGTGGACGTCCAGCTTGTTGGCAATGTGGACGTCCAGCTTGTTGGCAATGTGGACGTCCAGCTTGTTGGCAATGTGGACGTCCAGCTTGTTGGCAATGTGGACGTCCAGCTTGTTGGCAATGTGGACGTCCAGCTTGTTGGCAATGTGGACGTCCAGCTTGTTGGCAATGTGGACGTCCAGCTTGTTGGCAATGTGGACGTCCAGCTTGTTGGCAATGTGGACGTCCAGCTTGTTGGCAATGTGGACGTCCAGCTTGTTGGCAATGTGGACGTCCAGCTTGTTGGCAATGTGGACGTCCAGCTTGTTGGCAATGTGGACGTCCAGCTTGTTGGCAATGTGGACGTCCAGCTTGTTGGCAATGTGGACGTCCAGCTTGTTGGCAATGTGGACGTCCAGCTTGTTGGCAATGTGGACGTCCAGCTTGTTGGCAATGTGGACGTCCAGCTTGTTGGCAATGTGGACGTCCAGCTTGTTGACAATGTGGACGTCCAGCTTGTTGGCAATGTGGACGTCCAGCTTGTTGGCAATGTGGACGTCCAGCTTGTTGGCAATGTGGAGGTCCAGCTTGTTGGCAATGTGGACGTCCAGCTTGTTGACAATGTGGACGTCCAGCTTGTTGGCAATGTGGACGTCCAGCTTGTTGGCAATGTGGACGTCCAGCTTGTTGGCAATGTGGACGTCCAGCTTGTTGGCAATGTGGAGGTCCAGCTTGTTGGCAATGTGGAGGTCCAGCTTGTTGGCAATGTGGAGGTCCAGCTTGTTGGCAATGTGGAGGTCCAGCTTGTTGGCAATGTGGAGGTCCAGCTTGTTGGCAATGTGGAGGTCCAGCTTGTTGGCAATGTGGAGGTCCAGCTTGTTGGCAATGTGGACGTCCAGCTTGTTGGCAATGTGGAGGTCCAGCTTGTTGGCAATGTGGACGTCCAGCTTGTTGGCAATGTGGACGTCCAGCTTGTTGGCAATGTGGACGTCCAGCTTGTTGGCAATGTGGACGTCCAGCTTGTTGGCAATGTGGACGTCCAGCTTGTTGGCAATGTGGACGTCCAGCTTGTTGGCAATGTGGACGTCCAGCTTGTTGGCAATGTGGACGTCCAGCTTGTTGGCAATGTGGACGTCCAGCTTGTTGGCAATGTGGACGTCCAGCTTGTTGGCAATGTGGACGTCCAGCTTGTTGGCAATGTGGACGTCCAGCTTGTTGGCAATGTGGACGTCCAGCTTGTTGGCAATGTGGACGTCCAGCTTGTTGGCAATGTGGACGTCCAGCTTGTTGGCAATGTGGACGTCCAGCTTGTTGGCAATGTGGACGTCCAGCTTGTTGGCAATGTGGACGTCCAGCTTGTTGGCAATGTGGACGTCCAGCTTGTTGGCAATGTGGACGTCCAGCTTGTTGGCAATGTGGACGTCCAGCTTGTTGGCAATGTGGACGTCCAGCTTGTTGGCAATGTGGACGTCCAGCTTGTTGGCAATGTGGACGTCCAGCTTGTTGGCAATGTGGACGTCCAGCTTGTTGGCAATGTGGACGTCCAGCTTGTTGGCAATGTGGACGTCCAGCTTGTTGACAATGTGGACGTCCAGCTTGTTGGCAATGTGGACGTCCAGCTTGTTGGCAATGTGGACGTCCAGCTTGTTGGCAATGTGGAGGTCCAGCTTGTTGGCAATGTGGACGTCCAGCTTGTTGACAATGTGGACGTCCAGCTTGTTGGCAATGTGGACGTCCAGCTTGTTGGCAATGTGGACGTCCAGCTTGTTGGCAATGTGGACGTCCAGCTTGTTGGCAATGTGGAGGTCCAGCTTGTTGGCAATGTGGAGGTCCAGCTTGTTGGCAATGTGGAGGTCCAGCTTGTTGGCAATGTGGAGGTCCAGCTTGTTGGCAATGTGGAGGTCCAGCTTGTTGGCAATGTGGAGGTCCAGCTTGTTGGCAATGTGGAGGTCCAGCTTGTTGGCAATGTGGACGTCCAGCTTGTTGGCAATGTGGAGGTCCAGCTTGTTGGCAATGTGGACGTCCAGCTTGTTGGCAATGTGGACGTCCAGCTTGTTGGCAATGTGGACGTCCAGCTTGTTGGCAATGTGGACGTCCAGCTTGTTGGCAATGTGGACGTCCAGCTTGTTGGCAATGTGGACGTCCAGCTTGTTGGCAATGTGGACGTCCAGCTTGTTGGCAATGTGGACGTCCAGCTTGTTGGCAATGTGGACGTCCAGCTTGTTGGCAATGTGGACGTCCAGCTTGTTGGCAATGTGGACGTCCAGCTTGTTGGCAATGTGGACGTCCAGCTTGTTGGCAATGTGGACGTCCAGCTTGTTGGCAATGTGGACGTCCAGCTTGTTGGCAATGTGGACGTCCAGCTTGTTGGCAATGTGGACGTCCAGCTTGTTGGCAATGTGGACGTCCAGCTTGTTGGCAATGTGGACGTCCAGCTTGTTGGCAATGTGGACGTCCAGCTTGTTGGCAATGTGGACGTCCAGCTTGTTGGCAATGTGGACGTCCAGCTTGTTGGCAATGTGGACGTCCAGCTTGTTGGCAATGTGGACGTCCAGCTTGTTGGCAATGTGGACGTCCAGCTTGTTGGCAATGTGGACGTCCAGCTTGTTGGCAATGTGGACGTCCAGCTTGTTGGCAATGTGGACGTCCAGCTTGTTGGCAATGTGGACGTCCAGCTTGTTGGCAATGTGGACGTCCAGCTTGTTGGCAATGTGGACGTCCAGCTTGTTGGCAATGTGGACGTCCAGCTTGTTGGCAATGTGGACGTCCAGCTTGTTGGCAATGTGGACGTCCAGCTTGTTGGCAATGTGGACGTCCAGCATGGAGTGCTGTACTTCCCACATCCCTCAGCCAGTCTGTTCTTGCCTTGACCCCAACATCCACTCACCGCGTTCCTCAGCCGGGCCATGTTGGCGATATGCACGCTCCACAGCCGGTCCAGCGTGGAGAGCAGAATGTTTCCCCTGTCCCTCAGTCCTTACTGTATGCACACCCTTGCTTACCGCGTTCCTCAGCCGGGCCATGTTGGCGATGTGGACGCTCCACAGCCGGTCCAGCGTGAAGGAGAGAAGCACAAACCCCACATCCCACCCACTGTCCACACGCACATCCCTCAGTCTCTTTCACCCCACCACCCACTCACCGCGTTCCTCAATCGGGCCATGTTGGCGATGTGCACGCTCCACAGCCGGTCCAGCATGAAGGAGAGAAGCACAAGCCCCACATCCCACCCACTGTCCACACGCACATCCCTCAGTCTCTCTGTTCTTGCCTTCACCCCACCACCCACTCACCGCGTTCCTCAATCGGGCCATGTTGGCGATGTGCACGCTCCACAGCTGGTCCAGCGTGAAGGAGAGAAGCACAAACCCCACATCCCACCCACTGTCCACACGCACATCCCTCAGTCTCTCTGTTCTTGCCTTCTTCCCACCACCCACTCACCGCGTTCCTCAATCGGGCCATGTTGGCGATGTGCACGCTCCACAGCTGGTCCAGCGTGAAGGACAGAAGCACAAGCCCCACATCCCACCCACTGTCCACACGCACATCCCTCAGTCTCTCTGTTCTTGCCTTCACCCCACCACCCACTCACCGCGTTCCTCAATCGGGCCATGTTGGCGATGTGCACGCTCCACAGCCGGTCCAGCGTGGACAGCAGCGACTCTCTCTGCTCGGAAAAAGGCAAAGACGGCTCAGAGGGAAGGCGAGGATGGCACAGGGGAGATTTGGGGGCACAGGGGGGGGGGGAGAACAGGGGGCGCAAGGGAGAAATTACAGGGCACAGGTAGGGGCAGAGGGCGGAGGTACAGGTGGGCAGTGGCAAGAAAAGGAAGGGGCCAACAACAAGTTGTGGAGAAATTGCAAGAGGACAAAAACAGATAGTTTATTTCTGACCTCAAAGAACTCCATTTGCTGTGGAGACGCAACAAAGAGCCCGAGGTGGGCCCTGTAGCTCGTCACAACCACGCCCCCCAGGTACTTGCGCAGCGCTGCCAGGTGCTTCGATGACCTGCCCCTCCTGGGGGGAGTAGCAAGGAGAGGGAATGCAGTGGGGGAAATGGGATGAGGTGGAGTGAGTGTCATGACTGGGAGAAGAAGGAGAGGAGGGAGCATGTAACACATGTCCCCCAGTTACTTGCGCAGCGCTGCCAGGTGCTTCGATGACCTGCCCCTCCTGGGGGGAGAAGCAAGGAGAGGGAATGCAGTGGGGGAAATGGGATGAGGTGGAGTGAGTGTCATGACTGGGAGAAGAAGGAGAGGAGGGAGCATGTCACACATGTCACACATGTCACACATGTCACACATGTCACACATGTCACACATGTCCCCCAGGTACTTGCGCAGCGCTGCCAGGTGCTTCGATGACTGCTCCTCCTGGGGAAGAAGAGAGGGGCGGAGTGAGGCGGAGTGAGGAGGAAAGAGGAAAATGATCGGAGGAGGAGTGGAGAAGAGACGCTGGGATGAAAGGAGCGAGGTGCGAAAGAAATGCTTGCGGTGGCTGAGAAAGGTCAGGATAGCATAAACGCATTTCACACCATAAACGCATCGAGGCGTCCAGCCTTACAGGTCAGGATAGAGGCGTCCAGCCTTACAGGTCAGGATAGAGGCGTTCAGCCTTACAGGTCAGGATACATCTCAGCCCTACAGGTCAGGATACATCTCAGCCTTACAAACCTACCTACATGTCACCACCAAGCCTTACAGGTCAGGAGAGTCGCGAAGAATCTCTCTCCATCTCAGCTCCTCCCGCATTGCTTCCGCCTCTCCCCCTTCCTCTTCCCTCCTCATATTCTCTGTTCCAACACCAGCAGCAGCACCACCACCACCAGCACCAGCAGCTCCAGCAGCAGCAGCAGCACCAGCAGCAGGGTTGGAGCCTACCCCAAAATCCGGCAGCACCTCAGGCAGGGGAGGCAGGACGTGGGGAAGGTGCTTTCTGAGGTCCCAGCGGTGGCTGGCGTTTGGCGGAGGGGAGTGGGAGAGGGCGGAGCTGAGGGAGGTGGCATCCACATGCTGGGAGATGTCTGGAAGGAGGGGAGATGGGGGGCGGAAGAGGATCAGGGAGGGGGGAAATACCCAAATACTCGATATAAAAGCAAAATTGTGATAATGGGACGGCTGTGGATTTTAGGCTGAATCTGTTTTCTGAGAATTCTAAAGAAACAGATGGAGACGGCTGTGGATAAATATATTTTGGTTTCATGGCATCAACCCGTGCATGGGTTTTGCAGTGAACGCCGAGCAGAGGGGGAGAGCGAGGCGACAGTACCGGATCAGTGAAAGAACGAGCAGTACCTATGCTAGTGGTGCGAGAAGCGCACTAGAGTGGTGAATAATCAAGGTGTCAAGCTTTGGAACGTCTCTTGAATATTCTGAGGTGAATAATCAAGAGTGGTACAGTGCTGAACAAAGAAAGCAAGGCGAACCAAACCGTACCTACCTATGCCAGTGGTGCGAGAAAGGCGCTTGAGCAAGGTGTCGATGGGCCATGATGCCACGGGCTGGTGTTGGAATGGAGGCAGGCAGGGAGGGAGTGACAGGGAAGAGAAGGGAGGGGAAAGGAGGAAGAGGTGGAATGAGGGGGAATGAAAGAGGGGCGCTTGAGCAAGGTGCCGATGGGCCATGATGCCACAGGCTGGAAGGGGAATGGATGGGGAAAGGGAGGGAGCGACGGGGAAGAGAAGGGAGGGGAAAGGAGGAAGAGGTGGAATGAGGGGGAATGAAAGAGGGGCGCTTTAGCTGAGCAAGGTGTCGATGGGCCATGATGCCACGGGCTGGTGTTGGATTGGAGGCAGGCAGGCAGGCAAGGAGGGATATGAAGGGAGAATAAGACCAGAGGGATATGGAGGGAGAATAAGACCAGAGGGATATGGAGGGAGAATAAGACCAGAGGGATATGGAGGGAGAATAAGACCAGAGGGATATGAAGGGAGAATAAGACCAGAGGGATATGGAGGGAGAATAAGACCAGAGGGATATGGAGGGAGAATAAGACCAGAGGGTAGACATGAGCACAACGAACCGAACAGGCTTGTTTTTTTTGCTTAAATTGTTCGCCGAACAGTGTTCGATGTTCGCCCGAACACGTTCGTGTTCGGGCCGCTGCTGCAATTTGCCCCGCGACGAACATGAACGTGTTCGATGTTCGCCCGAACATGCCTTCACAGGCGAACGGCGAACACGTGTTTTTGCTTAAAGTGTTCGCCGAACCGAACAGTGTTCGGTTCGGCAAACGGATGTGTTCGTCTAGGGGCGAACACGAACATGTTCGTGTTCGCCCCTTGCTCATCCCTACCAGAGGGATATGGAGGGAGAATAAGACCAGAGGGATATGGAGGGAGAATAAGACCAGAGGGATATGGAGGGAGAATTAGACCAGAGGGATATGGAGGGAGAATAAGACCAGAGGGATATGGAGGGAGAACAAGACCAGAGGGATATGGAGGGAGAATAAGACCAGAGGGATATGGAGGGAGAATAAGACCAGAGGGATATGAAGGGAGAATAAGACCAGAGGGATATGGAGGGAGAATAAGACCAGAGGGATATGGAGGGAGAATAAGACCAGAGGGATATGGAGGGAGAATAAGACCAGAGGGATATGGAGGGAGAATAAGACCAGAGGGATATGGAGGGAGAATAAGACCAGAGGGATATGGAGGGAGAATAAGACCAGAGGGATATGAAGGGAGAATAAGACCAGAGGGATATGGAGGGAGAATAAGACCAGAGGGATATGGAGGGAGAATAAGACCAGAGGGATATGGAGGGAGAATAAGACCAGAGGGATATGGAGGGAGAATAAGACCAGAGGGATATGGTGAGTGGAAAGGGGGAATGGGAGACAGAGGCCCTTGAGCAAGGTGGGCATGATGCCATTGGCTAGTGATGGGATTTTTGAGGCGCCTAAAAAAAGCCCCTGGCTAGTGATGGGAAGAGGGTTCAGGAGATGGACGGACGGACGGACGGACGGACGGACGGACATGGGAGAGAATGGGGAGAAGGAGGGAGCAACGGGGAAGACATGGGTGGTGAATGGGAGAGGAGGCGGAGTGAGGGGGAGAATGGTATCGAAGAGCCATGATGCCACCGGGGTGTTGGGGAGCGAGAGGAGAAGGGGAGAGGAGAGGGGAAGAGGGGGAAACGGAAGGCGGTGGTTGTGGGAGGTGGGGCCACGGTCTGCATCTCATGCTGTCACGCATAGTTTCTTAACATTGAAACGCACAGTGAGATACTCCAGTTTTGAGACATCTCAAAACACGCATAGTTCTGGTTAACGTTGAAACACACAGTGAGATGCTCCATTTCAGGAATATATCGACTCTTTGGATGACTTGCCTTGGCCCTGGTTGACTTGCCTTGACTCTGGTTGACTTGCCTTAGAGGGTGAGCAGTATTCCTTGACCACATCATCCACCACTGCTTGGATGTACCTGTGGATTAGTGGATAGGTGGGTTGGTTGGTGTATAAATGTAATTCAACTATAAGTTGAAAAAACCAAACAGGCATCTTGGGCATGTCGGAGCAGTATTCCTTCATCACATCATCCACCACTGCTTGGATGTACCTGTGTGTGGGTGGAGAGGTGGATGGGTGGATGGATGGAGAAATGGGCAGGTAGATGGATGGATGGAGAAATGGGCAGGTAGATGGATGGATGGAGAAATGGGCAGGTAGATGGATGGATGGAGAAATGGGCAGGTAGATGGATGGATGGAGAAATGGGCAGGTAGATGGATGGATGGAGAAATGGGCAGGTAGATGGATGGATGGAGAAATGGGCAGGTAGAGATGGATGGATGGAGAAATGGGCAGGTAGATGGATGGATGGAGAAATGGGCAGGTAGATGGATGGATGGAGAAATGGGCAGGTAGATGGATGGATGGATGGAGAAATGGGCAGGTAGATGGATGGATGGATGGAGAAATGGGCAGGTAGATGGATGGATGGAGAAATGGGCAGGTAGATGGATGGATGGAGAAATGGGCAGGTAGATGGATGGATGGAGAAATGGGCAGGTAGATGGATGGATGGAGAAATGGGCAGGTAGATGGATGGATGGAGAAATGGGCAGGTAGATGGATGGATGGAGAAATGGGCAGGTAGATGGATGGATGGAGAAATGGGCAGGTAGATGGATGGAGGGAGAAATGGGCAGGTAGATGGATGGATGGAGAAATGGGCAGGTAGATGGATGGATGGAGAAATGGGCAGGTAGATGGATGGATGGAGAAATGGGCAGGTAGATGGATGGATGGAGAAATGGGCAGGTAGATGGATGGATGGAGAAATGGGCAGGTAGATGGATGGATTGATGCTTGGACCATGCACATGTGTTTCTACACAGTGCAAGTCCACATCAGCAGCGAGCTGTCAAAAGAGGACAGGAGGACAGGTGTTGTTTTAGGACAACAAAACAAACTCCATGAGAAATGGCAAGTCTACACCTGCAGTGAGCCTCACGGTGCAACGTGACATCCACACTTGTGGTGAGACTCACAGTTGTGTGCGTGTGTGTCGGACTTGAGGGGACTCTTTTCCAGGATCGACTCTCTCAGCTCGTACACGTGCTTGCGCTGCAGCTGCAGGGGGATGAGAAAGAGAGAGGGGGAAGAAGGTGGGTAAGAGGGACGAAGGAGCCTCTTTTCAGAATGGACTCTCTCAGCTCTTACACGTGCTGGAGCTGCAGGGAGGGAGAAAGGGAAAAGGTGGAGAAGTTCGAAAGAAGGAGGTTGAGATAGAAGAAGGTGGGTAAGAGGGAAGACTCTTTTCCAGGATCGACTCTCTCAGCTCGTACACGTGCTTGCGCTGCAGCTGCAGGGGGATGAGAAAGAGAGAGGGGGAAGAAGGTGGGTAAGAGGGACGAAGGAGCCTCTTTTCAGAATGGACTCTCTCAGCTCTTACACGTGCTGGAGCTGCAGGGAGGGAGAAAGAGAAAAGGTGGAGAAGTTCGAAAGAAGGAGGTTGAGATAGAAGAAGGTGGGTAAGAGGGAAGACTCTTTTCCAGGATCGACTCTCTCAGCTCGTACACGTGCTTGCGCTGCAGCTGCAGGGAGGGTGAGATGCAGGAAGGAAATTGAGGGAGGGTGAGGTGAGAGGTAAGAGGGAATGAGACTCCTGAAGGAAGGAATTCTCTCAGCTCGTACACGTGCTTGCGCTGTAGCTGCAGGGAGGGAGGGGGGCACAAACACACGAAGGAAGGGAGAGGGATGAGAAGGGCTGAAAAAGGTGGGTGAGAGAAGAGAGAGGATTGTACACATGCTTGCCCCGATTGGAAACGTCTCAGATAAATTTCCATGCTCAGAACTGCCAAGGAAAAAAGCGAGAACGAGAAGCAGCAGTTCAGTTCTTCCTACTACGAAATGCAGCATGCATTCAGTTGAGAATTCTAAAAAAACACACGCTGCAACATGGTTGTAGAAACGACCCAACCCGCTCACCTCAAACACCTGGTCGTAGTTGAGCATTCAGTAACGGACAGGTGGGCTGCGGAGCTTATTTCCATCAACTCGTATGGTTCTTAGAACAACGGGACAAACAACCCAGCCCGCTCACCTCAAACACCTGGTCGTAGTCGAGCATTTGCCGCCGCCGCTCAAACATCGCAGCTTCAATGGTCTTCTGCGTCTGCACCAACTGGTGAGGGGTAGGTGTTCGGAAGGGTTCGGCAACGAGCCGTTGGGTTGAAAGGAGTTGAAAAAGGTGTGGTTGGGTGGGTTGGATAGAGTTTGAACAAGGAGTGCAAGGAGTATTTGCCTTTGCCACTCGAATTTGTGTCTGAGGAACTCGTTTGGTTAGGTGTTCGGACGGGTGCGACACGGAGTGGTTAGGATGGGCTGAAATCGGTTGGACAAGGAGTGGTTGGGATGGGTTGACATGGTTTGGATGTCGCGTGAAGAGAAGAGCTGAGGGGAATTTCCGGGGCGTTGGGGAACGTGGGTGCTCTCGCAAGTTCTCTTGCAGTAATCTGCGATTTCTTACAGCGAGGATGGTAAGTGAAGGAGTTCTTACAGCGAGGATGGTAAGTGAAGGAGTTCTTACAGCGAGGATGGTAAGTGAAGGAGTTCTTACAGCGAGGATGGTAAGTGAAGGAGTTCTTACAGCGAGGATGGTAAGTGAAGGAGTTCTTACAGCGAGGATGGTAAGTGAAGGAGTTCTTACAGCGAGGGTGAGGGCCATGTGGGGAAAGCCCTCGTCAAAGTCCCCCGTGTACAGCAACTGCTCCAGCATGGCCCGAGAGGAGTCTGGTAGAACCTCCCTCATCATATCGTCCTCCATACTGGACGGAGGTAGAGGGGGCGGGCGGGTGTAGAGAAAAGCAGTGGGGTGAAATTGATGGATCGGGATGAGTCCGGAAGCACCTCCCTCATCATATCTTCCTCCATACTGGATGGAGGTAGAAGGGGAGGAAAGAGTGGCGGGGGTTTGGAAATGGGGGAGAGGAGGAGCGGGAGAGCAGCAAATGGGAAGAAAGGTGGTTATAGCAGCTGAGCAAATGAGCAGCAAATGGTTATAGCAGCTGAGCAAATGAGCAGCAAATGGTTATAGCAGCTGAGCAAATGAGCAGCAAATGGTTATAGCAGCTGAGAAAATGAGCAGCAAATGGTTATAGCAGCTGAGCAAATGAGCAGCAAATGGTTATAGCAGCTGAGAAAATGAGCAGCAAATGGTTATAGCAGCTGAGAAAATGAGCAGCAAATGGTTATAGCAGCTGAGAAAATGAGCAGCAAATGGTTATAGCAGCTGCTTCTCGAGAGGAGTCAGGAAGCACCTCTCCCTCACCATGTCACCCTCCATACTGGTTTGGCGTGTGGGGGGGGTATGCGGCAAAAGAAAACCTCAATGAAGGGGGAGGGGGAAATAACCTGACTTTTACATGAGCACAAACCCTCCTTTCACCTGATTCTCGGCTGATTCTTAATTGACTGTCACCTGAGGCTCACCTGATGATGAACTGAGTTGACCCAGGGTCACCCTGCCGACCCGCCCTTCCCCTCAACTGCCATGCACACAAAGTCACACGAGACACACAAGACACATGAGACATGTGGTATAAGGTTGGTTTTGCGACGTCTCAAAATTGACAGACGACCCGCTCTTCCCCTCAACTGCCACGCACACAAAGCCACAAGAGACACACAAGACACGGCATATTACACAACACATGGAGATTGCACCTGAAACACCTGCTGCAATATTGGTTGTCGATTTTGCTGCAAACCAAACAACCCTCTCTGCACCACCACCCTCACCTGGCTGTCAATTCGTCTTGACTCGCTGAGCGCAGTGCCGATGACATGCAGCCCCCCATCGAGCGCACACACTCTCCAAGTTCAATACAAACACACATGCCAAGCAAACCCCAGAACCTCACCTGGTTGTCAATCCGCCTGGATTCACTCAGAGCAGTGCCGATGACATGCAGCCCCCCCAGCGAGCGCACATACTCGTCAGAGTCGCCGTTGGCTTCTATAGACTAGTACTACAGACCAGATAACCCAACTCACACCACCCTCACCTGGTTGTCAATCCGCCTGGATTCACTCAGAGCAGTGCCGATGACATACAGCCCCCCCAGCGAGCGCACATACTCGTCAGAGTCGCCGTTGGCTTCTATAGACTAGTACTACAGACCAGATAACCCAACTCACACCACCCTCACCTGGTTGTCAATCCGCCTGGATTCACTCAGAGCAGTGCCGATGACATGAAGGCCTCCCAGCGAGCGCACATACTCGCCCTCCTCCTGGCAGTGCGCCTTGCAGTCCGCGCTCACCCGCCCCACCACCCGCCCCACCACCCTCACCACCATCTCCCGCATCGACCGCGGCACCGCCCGCACTCCCAGCACCCCTACAGTTCACCCCTGCATCAACTGCAGAATTGCTTCTACCATCACACCTACCTGGTTGTCAATCCGCCTAGATTCACTGAGCGCAGTCCCGATGACATGCAGGCCCCCAATGACCGCCGCACATACTCGCCCTCCTCCCGGCAGTGCGCCTTGCAATCCGCGCTCACCCGCCCCAACGCCCGCCCCAACGCCCGCCCCAACGCCCGCCCCACCACCCTCACCACCATCTCCTGCATCGACCCCGGCACCGCCCGCACTCCTGCAGACGACCAAAGGAGCTGCACTCCCCAATCCAGAACCTCCATCTCTTGCTTCACTGCGGCACCGCTGCTACCGCAGACCAAAGGACCTTCTCTCACCTGGTTGTCGATTCTTCTTGACTCGCTGAGAGCAGTCCAGATGACATGAAGCCCCCCCAGCGAGCGCACATACTCGCCCTCCTCCTGGCAGTGCGCCTTGCAGTCCGCACTCACCCTCCCCAACAGCCTCCGCCATGAGCCCTCCCAACACCAGAACCCCCCTCACCTGGTTGTCGATTCGTCTGGATTCACTCAGAGCAGTGCCGATGACATGCAGGCCCCCCAGCGAACGCACATACTCGCCCTCCTCCTGGCAGTGCGCCTTGCAGTCCGCGCTCACCCGCCCCAGCGCCCGTCCCACCACCCTCACCATCATCTCCTGCATCGATCGCGGCACCGCCCGCACTCCCAGCACCCCTCCGCCTCCCCCCCACACATCTGCATCGTCCTCGTCGCTCTCGTCCCCTTCCCCCTCCCCGCTGCTGCTGCTGCTGCTGAAGCCACCACTCCTGCTGCTCATACCACTGCCATTGCTGCCGCTGCTGCTGCTGCTGGTGCTGTCACTTTCACCGGTCCGCCAGGGCAGAGGGCTCATTCCGGTGTCCTCTGCAGCATCTCCTCCCCACATCCCTGCGCCCGCCTCCTCCCTGCGTTCCCCCCATTCCCAACCCTCCTCCTTGCCCTCGCCAGCCCCAGGAGTGGCTGACGGCCTTAAAGCCTGTGTCTCTGCCTGCTCTAGCACAGCCTGCTGCTGCGCCTCTGACCAGTCAGCTGCCACGCTGCGCCCTGTTTCAATGAAAAAAAAAAGGAGGAGAGCACCCTTAAGGTATCCTTTTGGAGTTAAATAGGCCAAAACCCTTGCCTCTGCTTATGCCTTATGGGAAGTCTCAAAACTCACATGAGAACTGAGCAGCGTAGAGCTCCTTTAAGGTATCCTCTTGGAGTTTAATAGGCCAGAACCCCTGCCTCTGCTTATGTCAAGAGAAAAAAAAAAAAAAAAAAAAAAAAAAAAAAGCAGGCGGGTTGGTTGGATTAATAAGGTTAGTGGTAGTGTTTGCAAGAAAAAGTGAAGGAGTTCCAGCACACCAGTTCATGTCGCCCCTTTTGGAAAGCCAATTTTTTACCCGCTTCCCTTACGAAGCATAGCAGAAGTTACAACAAGTTCCATCCACCCTAGTGCATTGCGGAAGTTAGTAAAGTTCCTCCCCAGTGCATTGCGCAAAAAGTTAAACTTATCACTCCAGCAGCACACGCACCGCATGAGGGCCTTTCTTGAAAGCCAAGTAGTTCCCCGCTGTGGCTGCTGGCGCTTCAAACAGTGCCCACTTCACCACCTCCTTGCTCAGGAGCTGGACATGGGAGGGGAGGAGGATGAAGGAAGGAGGAGAGGAGGAGGGGAATATGGAGGAAGGGAGAGAGAGCCTGAGAACTTGCAAAGGTATGATTCAGAGAGTGCCCACTTGACCTCTAAGAGTGCCCACTTGACCTTGGGACGCAGCACACCAACCATGGGATTCCCCACCCAGCATCAATGCCTCTCCCAGGCACCAACCTCGGGATTGCCGCCCAGCACAATGTCGGTGCCACGGCCAGCCGTGTTGATGGAAATGGTGATGCCAAACCCAACCCAACCTGGACCGGGCAATTAGTGATACCAACAAACACCCGGACCATAAGGCACTCACCTCGGGATTGCCGCCCAGCACAATGTCAGTGCCACGGCCAGCCATGTTGGTTGAGATGGTGATGCCTCCAAACCGCCCCGCCTGTGCTACGATCTCTGCCTCACGCGCTGCATTCTGGGGGGCAGGGGGAAGGGTGGGAGGGGAGGAGGCGAGGGGGGTGAGTGTGGGAGAGGCAAGAAATTTTGAGTCGACTCAAAAGTGTTGGTGGAGATGAGATGGTGATGCCCCCAAACCACCCCGCCTGCGCCACGATCTCCACCTCACGCGCTGCGTATTGGAGGGGAGAAGGGGTGAGGAGGGGGGGAGTAGAGACGGGGGAGTGTGGGAGAGGCAAGATTCTTTATTAGTCGACTCAAGAGTGTTACAGATGCGATGCCTCTAAACCGCCCTGCCTGCGCCACGATCTCTGCCTCACGCGTTGCGTTCTGGGGAAGACAAAAGAGAGGTAGCGGAGGGAAACGCCAAAGGGAGGGCAGAGCACTAGAGTTCAATTTCGCCACCCAAACTTTGGGCCATCTCTAATTTTACATGTTTTTCGAGACAGAACGTGTTGCACAGTGCAGCGCAGAGCGCACACACATCCAATCATATTGGTAGATGGACACTCACTTGGACCAAGCAATATCCATATGCTCACTTGCTCGGTAAAAACCTCCGATAGTATCGGAACTTTCATCCGTCTCGGAGGACCCATTCAAAGAGCAATACGACAAGGGAATGCCGATCTTACAACGAAGCTACCCAAAATTGGGAAACACGCGTTCTAACGTTCGGCCTACCCTTATAAATGTATGTGGAACTTCATGACGTCGTTCATAATCCATTTGGTGTAATCAACATTCCTATGTTCGTGTCTCGCAGGCGTTGACGAAGAAGCAAGTATCAGAGCAAGTACATTCGTGATCTGAAGGCATGCCTCAATGATGCTGTAAAATTGTACGACTTGAAGCGGACCGCAGGTAATCTATCTCGTGAATGGATTTCGTCCAATAGTGCCAATATATATACTAACTGACTTAGGTTGCAGAGGCAAACCTCGAAAAAGAGAGTCGACTGAGGCAAAGTGCAGCGGAAGATTTGTCTTTTGAGTCGACTCAAAAGGCAAAGTGCAGTGGAAGATTTGTCATGAAGTTCCACATACGTTTACAAGGGTACGCCGAACGTTAGAACGCGTGTTTCCCAATTTTGGGTAGCTTCGTTGTAAGATCGGCATTCCCTTGGTGTATTGCTCCTTGAATGGGTCCTCCGAGACGGATGAAAGGTCCGATACTATCGGAGGTTTTTACCGAGCAAGTGAGCATATGGATATTGCAAGTAAATGAACGAGCAAAACCTATGTTACTTATGGGGCGCCTTAAGCACTGTGCTCACTTCGGGCCGAGCGTTGAGAACTTGAATGTGGGCAAACCGACGAGGATGCTCCACCTGCAGCATGGCGTAGAGGCGCTCTGACTCGTCCACACTGCAAATAGATAGAGGAAGATGAATAATTAGACAACACAAATTTCATGGAACAATGTAAAGCTCCTGCCACAGGTACGGAGCTTGCATGGTTAAGTCGAACTCGTATGAATGTGTTGTGCCACGTGAACGTGATGTGATGTGCCATGTGAATGATATGATGTACCCACCTGGATGTGCCCACAAGCACAGGGCGGCCAAGTTGGTTCATTTTGACGATCTCCTGGATGACATGGTGCACCTTGTTGCGTGCTTGCTGTGGGGTGTAGGGGTGTGGGGGGTTGCAGGGAGTGCGAGAAGAGGCTGCTTGTGAGGCGCCTCAACAATCATTTCGACGATCTCCTGGATGACATGGTGCACCTTGTTGCGTGCTTATTGGAGGGAAAGGAGGTGCCAGGGGGGAGAAGAGGAGAAAGAGGAAGAAGAGGAGGAAGAGCAGGAGGCGCTTTTGGTTCATTTCGACGATCTCCTGGATGACATGGTGCACCTTGTTGCGTGCTTGCTGTGGAGGGGAGGGGGGGGAAGAAGAGGAAGAGGAGGAAGAGGAGGAAGAGGAGGAAGAGGAGGAAGAGGAGAAAGAGGAGGAAGCGGAGGAAGCGGAGGGTGAGGGGGAGAAACCGGTTATATTCAAAAACAGAAGGACGGACCACATCCAGTCCCCAAATCCTTCCTGATGCCTTTTGGGGTGCCTAAAAGGCCGGTTGGTGGGCGAATCCAATCGGTGAGATAAGTCAGTTGAACAAAGGGACGGACCACATCCAAGTCCTTTCTAACGTAAGGGCGGTTGGTGGGGAAAATAAGCGATCCCAAGACAGGTTCGGCATGCGAGCAACAGGGGCAGTTGAGGACAAGGGACCCACCAGGAAAACAACGACATCCAGGTCCTTCCTGATGTTGGGGCGGTTGGTGGGGATGACTACCACTGGCATGCCGAATATTCGCTTGAACTCCTCCTCCTGCCATGTAGGAATTCGAGGGGGAGGATTGTTGAGGCGCCTCAAAAAGCGCCTCAAAAAGGATTTTTGAGGCGCCTCAAGAATATTCGCTTGAACTCCTCCTCCTGCCATGTAGGAATTCGAGGGAGAGCGGGGTGAGGAGAATGGGGGGAAGAACGGAAGAAACTGTTGTCAGAATTCCAGCCACTAACCACTGGGATAAAAGGGCTTGTTTGTGTAGTGGGTGAGTGCGCCCATAACCCCCCAGGCCGACGTGCCTGTAACCCTTTCCAAGGATCAATCGGGGATCTCCAGTGGACCTCTGACAAATGTTACCATAAGGCAAAACGGTGGATGAACACCACTGATTTGCCAAATACAGGCTTGATCTCCTCCTTCTGCTGTGTAGGAGAACGAAGGGAGGGGAGGGGGGTGTTTGGCAGGAGATGTGGGGAAGGGAGAGAAGGCGGGGAGTGTTACTGTAAGGCTAAGGAGGAAGAGGTGGGGTTGATGCCACCCCTTAACGCCAATCGCTGAACTGTGATACCTAAACCCAAACCTTGTCCCTTTGCAACACAGCTCCGTCTTGGCAGTACCTGTCATCCCAGAGACCTTGCAGTAGAGGCGGAAGAGCGACTGGCTGACTTTTGAGTCGACTCAAAAGGAAGAGCGACTGGCAAACCGCTTGAACTCCACTCTAAGGGAGACATTGGAACACTTGAACCCTGAACCCCGAAACCCAAACCCTGCACGTGCAACACACCTCAGTCTTGGCAGTGCCTGTCATCACAGGGATTTTGCTCTAGAGGCGGAGGAGTGACTGGTAGGTGCCCTGTGCTACGTGCTTCGACACATCCCAACAAGCCTCCCATTGCAATCCCCCCACCCCCCCCTACGTGCCACCAGGCGCTCAAGCAACGCACCTCAGTCTTGGCGGTGCCTGTCATCCCAGACACCTTGCTGTAGAGGCGGAAGAGCGACTGGTAGGTCACCTGGGCTACTGTTTCTGACACGGGCTGCCGGGGGGGAAGGTGAGGTGACAATGGAACGAGGAAGGGGGGGGAGAGGGTGAACGAGAAGTGGAAAACCAGGGTGGAGAAGTGGAACTGGTAGGTCACTTGGGCAACTGTTTCTGACACGGGCTGCCAAGGTTGGGAAATAAAAGGGCCGTAAAGAGGAGAGAGGAGGGATTTGAGGGAGAATTGGATGCGCTGGCAAGAACATAAGTCTGATTTCAGGTGGCAGGAGATTGATACTTGTATCCACACTCCATCCATCATCACAACATCCTTTCTCTCACCTTGATCGCCGAGTTCTCTCCCTCACCTTAATCTCCACGCCCTCTTTCGCCTCGACTGCCTGGTGAATGGCGTCGCTCCACCGTCGCATGTCTGCGGTCCTCCCCGTAAACTGCAGGTGTGGCAGGACAGGTGGGACAGGGTGGGAGGAGGTGGGAGAAGTGCAGAGGTGGGGAAGAGGGCAAGAGGAAGCATGCTGAGGTGAATGCCGTTGCTCCACCGCCACACATCTGCTGTTCTCCCTGAGAACCACAGGTGGGTACAGCGTATGTTTTTTAGAATTCTCAAAAAACATAATCTGCTGTTCTCCCTGTGAACTGCAGGTGGGTGCAGGAAGGGGTGCAGAAAGGAGTGCAGGAAGGGGTGCAGGAACAGTGAGGGAGTGGGCATGAGGGGATGTTCCATTCCTTGTCTGCTCTAGTCACAACTATCACATACCCCAATTTCATCTGTTACAGTCACAACTATCACATACCCCAATTTCATCTGTTACAGTGACATCTATCACATACCCGAATCTCATCCGTTTACAGTCACGATCATTGTGCACCCCATAGCATCCGCTATAGTCACAGCAAGAATCACATACCTCGTCCACTATAATCACTTGGCCGTCCTTCACAATGTAGTCCCGATCCCTCAGGTAAAACTCCTTGGCCTTGAGCGCCGTCAGCACAAACCTAGTTGGGAAAACAATGGGAGCAGGGAAAGAGTGGATGGACGGGTGACATTTTATCATGTAGTCCCAATCTCTCAAGTAAAATTCCTTGACCTTGAGCGATGTCAGCACAAACCCAAGCATCATAAAATCTCCAAACAAAAGGGTGTCGACGACAGAAGGCAGAGCGATGGATGAGAGACACGGAGACAGAAGGAACGACAAAAGCGCAGATGAAAGAAAGAGCCCCATTCCTGACACACGAGTTGCTATTGCAGGAGAAAAGATACCAGAAACGCAAGGTGCAGCCCACTCACTGAGAAAACGAGTTGCTGCTCTCGAAGACAGCCACATGATAAAAGTTGGATTTTGAGACGTCTCGAAACACAAGATGCAGCTCATTCACTGCGCGAAAGAGTTGCTGCTCTCAAAGATATCATCTGAATCTGAGCCATTCCCTCCTTCCCCCAGTTCCACCCCTTCCCCCTCTCCGTCCCCCTCTGCTGCAGCATCCTCGCTTCTCAAGCTCTCTGCCACGATCGCCACCCCTGAATCGGTGAGCTGCACCGTGCGCAGCTTCAGGTCTGCCGTGTAGTCCTGGTGGGGTAGGGAAAGGGAAAGCGGGGATGAGTGCTGTGCTGTGGTGAGTGGGGTGATGGTAGAGCAGGAACCCTTCTCTAGCTCTCTGCCACAATCGCCACCCCCGAGTCGGTGAGCTGCACTGTGTGCAGCTTCAGAACTTACGCCTGGAGGATGAAGGGGGGGGGGAGAGGGAGGATGGGTTGGGAAGGACTTAGTCAGGGAAGGCAAGAGAGGAAGCTGGAAGTCACTTCTCTAGCGGCCTTCCCTACCTCTGTATTGTGAGGTCACAAAACCCATCATGGTTTCAATCTCTGCGTCACTCCAACTGAACACGAGAGCCTTGATTGGTTCGTACTCGGCTCAACCAGTTATCCCATGTACTAACCAGTAACCACCATAAATGCCTTGATACGTGCCTTGATCAAGTGAGAACTCACAATATCCCTTCTGAGGATCTCCGCCACTTGAGCAGCCACAGGGAAGCGCATGACGTACGAGGAGGACTGCACACGCAGAAAGTGAGTGAGAGAGGGAAAGAGACGGAGGGGAGGATGGGGGGCCAGGGAGCACACAAATGTCAAATCCGCTATTCCAGCAACCACATGGAAGAGCAACACGTGGGCAGGAGGGGAAAAAGGGGCACCTATAGGACAACGTGAAACCCTATAGGACAAGTTCTTAGGTGCCTCAACAACGGGCATCTATAGGGGGGAGGGGAAGAGCATGCGAGAGAGTAGGAAGGAGGGAGGCCTGAGGCACTGAGGCCCTGACTCACTCACCATGTTGCTGCCCTCGCGGATGAGCACGATGGAGCAGCAGCGGGCAGAGAGGGGCACTGACGACAAGGCAGGAGTGTTTTGAGACGTCTCAAAACACGTTTTTTGAGACGTCTCAAAACACGTCTCAAAAGACGTCTCAAAACACGTTTTTTGGGACGTCTCAAAACACGATGGAGCAGCGGGCAGAGAGGGGCACTGACGACAAGGCAGCAGGAGGCAGTGAGGCCCTGACTCATGCTGTTCATGTTGCTGATGGATTTTGATTTGATGCACTTCAAGAACGGACGAAGGCCCTGAGGCCCTCACCATGTTGCTGAGCTGATGAGCAGGGGGTTTCTGCCCTCATCGATGAGCACGGAGTAAATCTCGTCCACGATGGAGTAGTGTTGTGCAGAGCATCAGAGGAAGGAGGCAGGCGAGACAGGAGGCAGACAGCACTGAACCGACAGGTAGCGTCAGTGAGGCACTCACCATGTTGCTGATGAGCAGGAGATTTCTGCCCTCGTCGATGAGCACAGAGTCAATGTCGTCCACAATGGAGTAGTGCAGCGCATGGGAGGAAGGAGGCAGGCAGGCAGAGGCACGCACTATGCTGTCGATGAAAGGCAGTGAGGCAGCGAGTGACTCACCATGTTGCTGATTAGCAGAGGGTTCCTGCCTTCGTCGATGAGCACAGAGTCTATCTCGTCCACGATGGAGTAGTGCAGCGCATCTGGCCACCTCAGCGTGCGCTCGCTTGGGTCCTGAACCAGATGGTCTCGCAGGTAGTCGAACCCTATTTCCTGGTATGTAGTTACAACAGTGCAGGAAGGGGGTTTGAGATGTGTCAGTGCAGGAAGGGGGTTTGAGATGTGTCAGTGCAGGAAGGGGGTTTTGAATGTGCCAAGAGACAATCTCGTCCAAAATGGAGTAGTGAAATGCGTCCGGCTTTGAGACGTCTCAAAACTAGACGTCTCAAAACTAGACGTCTCAAAACTAGACGTCTCAAAACTAGACGTCTCAAAACTAGATGTCTCAAAACTAGACGTCTCAAAACTAGACGTCTCAAAACTAGACGTCTCAAAACTAGACGTCTCAAAACTAGACGTCTCAAAACTAGACGTCTCAAAACTAGACGTCTCAAAACTAGACGTCTCAAAACTAGACGTTTCAAAACTAGACGTCTCAAAACTAGACATCTCAAAACTAGACGTCTCAAAACTAGACGTCTCAAAACTAGACGTCTCAAAACTAGACGTCTCAAAACTAGACGTCTCAAAACTAGACGTCTCAAAACTGGAGTAGTGAAGTGCGTCCCGTCATCTCAGCGTGCGCTCGTTGGGGTCTTGAACCAGATGGTCCCGCAGGTAGTCATACCCGATCACGTTCACTTGACACTGCCCTACTGACACATGTCATTCCTCACTCTCGTTGTCTCTGCCCTATTAACGCATGTTACACCCCACTCACGTTGCTACTGCCGTATGTTATGTTATGTCGCAAGCATAAGCCAGCTGTCTCTGAGGCGCCTTAAAAGTATGCCATAAATGCGTTACAACTCACTCACGTTGTTGCTGCCATATGCATTACATCATACTCATGCTGTTACTGCCGTATGTTATGTCGCAAGCATAAGCCAGCTGTCTCTCCTCCTTTGCCTGGCCAGGCTGCACGAACAAAAAAGACGGTGTTATTGCCACCCACATGCGGTGTTACATCTCACTCACGTTGTTGCTGCCATAAGTAATGTCGCAAGCATAAGCTAGCTGTCTCTCCTCCTTTGTCTGACCAGGCTGCCCAAACCACAATTTCATGCAGAAAAGGGCAATCGAAGGCGCAGAAAGGAACAAACAATGCAGAGAAGTACAGCAGAAGACGCTGAAAAGGACAAAAGAAGCAAAAACGGTCAAGAGTGCGGATGAGATGGAAATCAAAGATGCATCTGAAGAGGGCAAGTGGAGCAGAGTCGTGCGAGAGAGTGAGGAGAAAAGAGGAGGTGTTTGCAAACTGTTCGTGAAAAGAGGAACACTGCAAGCAAAAGAAGTGCATTGAATCGAGTGACTCAAAAAACCATCCACATCGGATTATTCGCCTGCATCACACTCAATAGAATCACACTAATCTGAATCAGGCATTTCTGTGACTCGCTTACCTGGATGACCCCCACTGACAGCCCCAGAAAGCCGTGCACCCTGCCCATCCACTCCGCATCTGGTTGCCATCCCCTTTGAGTGTGTGTATCACGCCCAACCCATCCAGGATGTTTTCACCCACCTGAATGACCCCCACTGACAGCCCCAGAAAGCCGTGCACCCTGCCCATCCACTCCGCATCCCTCCTTGCTAGATAGTCATTGACCGTTACCACTGGGGTGGTGGGGGAAAGGTATGGGATGGGGGAAAGACATGATGGCCTGAGATGGCCTGAGATGGCATGAGATGGCATGAGATGGCATGAGATGGCATGAGATGGCATGAGATGGCATGAGATGGCATGAAATTCTGTGCGCCCATCCTATCAACTCCGCATCCCTCCTTGCCAAATATTCATTGACCGTTACCACTGGGGTGGTGGGGGAAAGGTATGGGATGGGGGAAAGACATGATGGCCTGAGATGGCCTGAGATGGCATGAGATGGCATGAGATGGCATGAGATGGCATGAGATGGCATGAGATGGCATGAGATGGCATGAGATGGCATGAGATGGCATGAGATGGCATGAAAGTCTGTGCGCCCATCCTATCCACTCCGCATCCCTCCTTGCCAAATAGTCATTGACCGTTACCACTGGGGTGGGGAGAGGCATAGAAAGGCGGAGGGGAGGGGAAGAAGTGAAATCAAAGAGTGGCGGCACCAACTTGCAAACCATTCAATGGAAAAGGGAAAAGGAAGGGGATGGGAAGGGTTTTGAGACGTCTCAAAACACTTCTTCAATCAAAAGGAAGGGGATGGGAAGGGTGCAGATGATCCCTTACCATGCACGCCTTTGCCCACAAGGGAGTTAAGGTAAGCTGCGAGCGTGGACACAAGAGTCTTCCCCTCGCCTGTCTTCATCTCGGATATCGCCCCTGCATGCAGCACCGCCCCTCCCACGATCTGCAAGAAAGTTGAGAAGTGCGGTGCGGAGAGGAGTGAGGGGGGATGGGACAGAAGAGGGGAGAAGTGGAATGAGTGCATTAAGTCATGTAACTCATCATCCATTACTGCTGGTGCATATGCACCCATCCATCCACCCATCCACCCACCCACATACACACACCCATCCACCCACACACAAACACACACCTGCACATCGAAGTGCCGCATGCTGAGGGTGCGCTGAGCCGCCTCTCGCACCACAGCAAACGCCTCTGCGGGACCACGGGCAGGTAGGTAGGGGTGGGGGGACAGCGCACGCAAAAGCAGCGCACAACAGAGACACGAAAATCGGGAGCTTTAACAAAAGGGTGATCACAAGGTGACCAGGCAAGTGCACGGGTTCGAAAAGCAGATGCCATGATTTATAACGTGTGAGTATTGTTTGAACAGGCTATTCAATTTAAGAAGCAAAACGATCAATGATGCAATGTAGAGCCAAAGGAAAGAGAGGGGCGAAGACATCAGCAGCACCTTAAAGCAACTAGCACAGGATGTAGAACAGGTGCTTGCACCGCACACAAACGAATCCTACCTGCCTGTATGTCATCCAGCGTCTCTCCCTGCTTCAACCGCTTCTTGAACTCGCGTGTCTTGCGCCGCAACTGAAGCACAATCAGAGCGAGAGAAGACAGACAGGGGACCAATGTCAGCCAGTGACAGACAGGGTTATCACAAGGTCTGGTCTGCTGGCTGACTCAAGAAACTCCCGGGTGAAACTGCTGGTTAGCCCAGGACCTTCTGAGTCGGAATTTGAAAGGAACCTTAGAACTGCTGGTATTCCTTTTGTGACTATCACATGGCCATCAACCGGTTGGAATCGGAGTGTTGCTGTACCTGTGACCACAGCGTGCACTGCAGATGTGAGCGACCTACCACATAATCACACAGTTACAGTCACACAGGTCACGTCACATATAATATGCTTGCTTGCACTCTCGCCTCATCATTATGCACGTGTTTGTTCGCCGGTGCCTGCACTGCCGGCTCTAGGGCGTTAACCTGAGCCATGATGAGGGCAAGTAACCCATACAGTTACACAGTCACACCTCTGTACACTCACACTCCTGCCTTCCTGTAACATATCTGTTTGTCCGTCAGTGCCTGAATTTCCAGTCCCAGCGTGATAGCCTAGTTTTGAGTCGACTCAAAACTAGGTCCGTCAGTGACTTTTGAGACGCCTCAAAAGTCGCCTCAAAAGTTGTCGACTCAAAACTAGGTCCGTCAGTGCCTGAATCTCCAGCCCCAGCGTGATAGCCTCAGCCACGAGGTGGCAAGAGTGGTGCACCGCCCACACAGTTACATACACGGTACACACGACACCGGATATGCGCACCTGCTTATCAGAAAGTGCCTGCATTGCTGGCTCCAAAGCGTTGACTTGAGCCACGAGGTGCCGGAAGTGGTGTACCACCCAGGTGTTGAGAGAGAAAATGCCCAGCTTTTCGCTCTTTATCATATCTAACGTGCTCTGAAGAGGGGGGGGGGAGGGATAGGCGGTGAGAGGAGAGAAGGGTGTTCGTTTGTGCCACGAGGTGCCAGAAGTGGTGCACCACCCAGGTTCCTTGCCATGTCATCGTACCATCCTTGCCAGGTCATGATACCATCCTTCTTATGTCATGGTACCATCCGCGTCATGTCATAAGACCAGACCATCCTTGCCATGTCATGATACCCATGCTTCCTTGTCATGTCATAATACAATCCTTGTCATGTCATTACACCCATGCCTCCTTGCCATGTCATGACACCATACCTCCGACTGCTCTCTGTAAGAACCTCTTTTCACTGCATTCTTTCCTCTACAAATTCTATCGCCTCTCCTCCCTTCACACATTCTCTCTCCTCTCTTCCTTCACAAATTCTCTCCCCTCTCCTCCCTTCCCATAATCTCCCCCTTGTCCTCCTAGTTGCACCTAACCCCATCACCTTACCCTGTGTAGTGCAGCCTGCTGCGCGTTACTCTTTCGCCCAACGGGTGCGTTCCCAGATCCTTCGTCAACCGGGTTACCAGCTGTAACAGCAGCGCGAGTCACTGGTAACACCACCCTCCTCTTCCCGCTGCCGTCTCTCCCTGCCTTGACACTCCTTGGCTGAAATTCATGGTCCAAACTACCCCCATCCTGCAAATTTCCTTTAGGAAACGAGCAGCGCGTAGCACCCGGCCTGGATGTAGCTCTATAACGGAATCGCGCGAGACTGTATCGAGGATCGGATAGGCACGGGACACGGCGGAGCTGGCCAACTGAAGGGAAGAGAAACGTGGAGGATCCTGATTGGCGAAGAAAAGAAGGGATTTCTCCGTGAAGCGGCGACAGAATCGTTGACCGTGCCATGGTGATCCTTCTAGAAGCGCTGGCTTTTTCAGTGATGCGATGCAGCGAGTGTCTATGTCTTTTGAAAAGCACTACGTACTAGAAACACCCTCGTGTGTCCAATCCCTGGTCTTGCCTGCCAGCATCACTTCAAAGGTTGGACAAAGAAACGCGCTTCGTAAGTATAATGCTCCGTCAACTGCGGCTCCGTCGACTACGGTCCCTCGGCCAGCAGTCCTGCGGGTTACGAGCAAGTCACACACGCTGAAGATTTCAGGCAGCTCTCAGTTACTTGGTTACTTCCAACCTAGGGAGCTCCATGCAGATTGTACAGCACCTCGGGGACAACACCAGCAGCTGCAGAACGGGCCCGATTGCACGGTTTAGTTCGGTTCCGAAGTTTTCAGCCTGGTTCTAGCAATCATTTACTTGAATTACCACGTGGAACAAATTTTTTGGGAGTCACTCGAACTGAGGTGCGCATTGCTCAGCTTTGTGTCAGGTTCGGCTGATTTCGAGGAGGACCCTGGATACAGTAGTTTGCAAGCAAACGCGTTTTGTCGCGAAACAAAGTGGGCCTCACCTCTGAATTTTGACTGAAATCACTTGTGTGAACCACACCTCAGAATTTTGAGTTAATTTGTGCCGAACTTGGGCGAACCGAACCTGAACCGCAGACACGCAGGGTACACCTAGTCAGCTGTGCCAAGCACTCAACACATTGTTCATGATCTCAGAAGCCTAATTCTAAAGCACAATCTTTACTTGCTAGTTTGAACCTGGTTCTGAGAGCAGCTGTAACAATCACTGAAAATAAAGCATGACTTCACAATTTCTATAAACAGACACCATTTCCATCCAAACCTTTCCACCACCTAAAACCCCCTCTAGGCAGCAGCAGGCTCGGGAGTGTACCAGCCAAGAGAAACCAGCGTAGCGCGCTTGGCCCGGGAGAGCCGAGCCTTGCGGCGCGCACCCTTGTTCTGGTGGATGGCGTTGACCTTCACGGACCGGTCGATGATGGAGAATGCCTCCGAGATGAGCTTCTCTGCTGCCAGCAGCTGCTCCTCTGATGGGGATGCACTCTTGCTCAGCTCCTCCAGAGCAAGGAACGCCTGTGGCAGGGAGGGATTGGGAAAAGAGAGAGATAGGGTTGAGAGGGTGGCGTGAGATAAGCTTCATTGCTGCCACCAATTGATTCTCAGATGGGAACGAGCTCCCGGGAAAGGCACAGCAAACCATAAATCCCCATGCTTCTAACTTCGCCTGCTTCACTTTCTCCCTGCTGCTGTATACCCTCCCTTCCCGCCCAACCCTCCCTCCCCTACCCGCACTGTGATCCATATGCTGTTATGCACCGGCCTGCTTGATAGTGCACAGCTACGATTCATGCTTCATGCCACAGCTGCTCAGTTACTGTTCGCATCCCGCAGGGTGAGAAAGCGCCTATGTGATACACAACGAGTGGCTATTACTGGCGAATTCACGGAACAACAGCCCCTTTTTCACCTGAGCAATCTGTACTCGGTGCCACGACTCATGTCTGGTCCCCTCCCGGCGTTTGACGCTGCGAGGCTCCACGACTGAATCACTCTACTATCGCCCTGCTTCGGTCTGTTACCACTTTGAAACACTCTGCTATCGCTCTGCTTCGGTGTGTTACCACTTAAAATCACTCTGATATCGCTCTGCTTCGGTGTGTTACCACTCTGCTTCAGTAGGCTACCTCTATTATTTGGTATGTGTTCACCCTGCTTCAGTCAGTTACCACTCTGCTTCAGTCTGTTACCAATTTGTTTCGGACTGCAAGCACGTGGCATTGCATCATCTCTGGTTGCCGATGTGCTGACTCAAAGCACAACGAAGGGCCTCCTTTCTCTCCCTCCTTGTTCCTCTATCACCCTTTCTCTCTCCCTTTCTCTCCTCCTCAAGCCTTTTCCCGCACACGTCCTCACCTCCCCCTCTCTAAACATCATTTCATTTGTTCCTCTCCTCTTTCCCTCTTACTCACCCTCTCTCCCTCCCCCTTCCCCGTCTCTCAATCGCCCTCTGTTTCTCAACGCCTCCATCAGCTCCTCCTCCCTCCTGCATGACAGACCGCTACTTCGCCTTTCGCTCCTTCATCCCATCCCCTGCTTATCCCCCCTGCTTGCACCCAACCAATCATCCCTTCGCATATTCCCGCAGATGCCGCAACTCCTGCCTCCCCAGTTCCGTATCACTGCTTCCGCCTCCCCGCTACCGTCTTCCCTTTTCCGCCTCCCCTCTTCCGACTCCCCGCTTCCACCTCCCCGCTTCTCCTCTCCTTTTCTCCGCCCCCCCCAAACCTTGCTCCGCGTCCCCCTACGTCCCCTTCGTCCCCGCCCTCCTTCCCCTCCTCTTCTTGGCTGTTCCCGTTCAGGGCTAGCTTACTGCGAGCACCAATCAGCTCACCTTCTTCATGCGCGTGCTCATCTCCGTCTTCCGGGACTTGTTGTACACCCGCCGCACCTCCGCCTGCTTGGCGCGCTTCACGGCCGAGTCCACCTTCTTCTTCGGCTTGGCCGTCTTGCCAGCGGCCGCAGCGACGGTGGGAGTGGCGGCGGCGGCGGCGGCGACCACGGCGGGACACCTGGCCGCGGCGACGACCGCAGATGGCCGGGTAGCAGCTGCGAAGAATGGGAGAAGAGATTGGGGCGGGAAGAGGGGAGAGCGAGGGGGACGTGGGGGAAGGGGGGAAATCGTTGTGGGAAGGAAAAAACAATGAGCAACGGTTGAGAGCGGCAGCGACGGTGGGAGTGGCGGCGGCGGCGGCGACCACGGCGGGACACCTGGCCACGGCGACGCCAGCAGATGGCCGGGTAGCAGCTGCGAAGAATGGGAGAAGAGATTGGGGCGGGGAGAGGGGAGAGCGAGGGGGACGTGGGGGGAGGGGGGGAATCGTTGTGGGAAGGAAAAAACAATGAGCAACGGTTGAGAGCGGCAGCGACGGTGGGAGTGGCGGCGGCGGCGGCGACCACGGCAGGACACCTGGCCGCGGCGACGACAGCAGATGGCCGGGTAGTAGCTGCGAAGAATGGGAGAAGCAGCCGAGCAGGGAGAGAGTGGAGAGAAGGAGGGGGAGCGGGAGGAAGAGAGGGGGGGGAGGGTGATGGGTGGGGGAGAGGGGGGGTTGGAGAGGTGTTGGAGACGGATGAGCAACGGTTGAAAGGAACTCTGGCTGGGTTGTGCACCGGTTGAGCCTCAGCCCGATTGGCGCGCTTCACCATCAAGTCCCCGTCTTCGGCGGGTTTGCTGGTGGTGACAACAGATGGTCGGGTGGCAGCTGCGAATGAATGGAGAAGAGAGATCAGAGAGGGCGTGAAATAAGGTTGGTTTTGAGACGTCTCAAAACCAACCCTAATCCGCGTGGCTATGGCCGGGTAGCAGCTGCGAATGATGGGAGAAGAGATCCTAGAGGGCAGGTAAGGGGAAAGGGGAGGAAGGAGGGAGTAGGCGGGAGGGGAAGGGGACGGGGATATTGTTGACAAGGAGAGGGGAGGTGAGTGGGTGTGACGGGAAATCAACCAAAAATAAAAATGTCGGCTTCGGACAGCTGCAATGCGGGCTTGTGTCGCTCAAGCGAACAGCCCAGAAACACCGAAAGTGACTGGGACAGGGAAACAGGTTTGGCAATCGGAAATGAGAATGGCCGAGAACAGCTACGGCTGATCCTTAAGTGATCGGCAACTCAAACGCCTGCGGCTGACCCTTAGGCTGTAGGCAACTAGGATATCTAATACGGCTTCCAAGGCAACAGCTCGAGCTCGATCAGATCATGTACTTTCACGTTCTACCTCTGCCTTTCACGATCCTTAAGTGCTCGCTCCTTACTAGTGCACAATCTTTCACATTCCATCTGATGAGTGCACATTATTTCACAATGATACGTGCATGCTCCGTCTCATTCCACGCTCCTTCGCATTCCACCTAAAAAGCGCGCATTCTTTCTCGTTCCATCTGATAAGCGCACTACGCAGTAAATATCTCACTCGAAGCAACTAATCGTCGAGATTTCAATAACGTACCAACAAGCCGGCAGCCGGGGATTGAAACCCTAATTGAGTCTCTAAGCGTTTCCTTACGCGGTTAATACCCACACTTGAAGCACGGGATAACTATGCGTCCAAAATCAATCACAAGCGTACCAGCGAGCCGGCAGCCGCGGAAGCTCGAAACCCTAAGTGAGTCTCCGAGCGACACTCTGCTGGACGAGGCCGATAGTTGATGGGAAGAGAGAGACAGCGACCCCAGGGCCTGCGCGGCTGCTTGAATGCTCAAAGAAGCCATGACTGGTTGCTCTAGCACCAAGCAGAGAGCTGCTAGAGGTCCTTAGAAGATGGTGCAGCAAGGGACTTGAGGATAAGGTAAAGGGGCGAAGGACTCTCAGAAAAATGTTCCTATCTCAAGGTCGCCCAGCAGAATTAGTTTCAATTCAAGTTTCAAGTGTAGTTCGATACAACCTCGTGTGCTGTGAAGGTGGTCAGCGAACTAGGGGTTACCACCACCAGTGAGTTCGTTACCTGACTCCGTGAACTCAGGCATGCAAGGGGTTGGCACGACATGTGGCAAGGGCTGACGTGCTCCGCGTGGTGTGGCGTCCTCTGATTGCTGTTGACGTTGAGGCCGACGTGGCGTCATCCGTGGATTCGAGGTGTTTCGATCGTACTTCTGGGAGTTGTGAAAACCAGTTTTCCCCTCCAAGAAATTTGTGGGTTCAAATCAGCATCTGATACCTCTTGAGCGATGCCAAAAGGTAACAGTCACCCATTTTCCATTATGGATGGAAATCTATAGCTGATAGCTAGTAATAGAAAAATGTGATTATGATATTAATGTTATTGAATATTGCAAATATGTTTGTACTGTGAGAATAGTAGGCGAGAATGAATTGACTAGGAAGCAAGGAAGGGTACAAGTAGAATGTCGAGAGAGTTGTGTACCCCCTAAGGCTAAACCCACTATAGCCTAGACAAATGTAAACACATGAACTAAGACTAGATATAACTAAGCATATATGTTTGACACACCCCCATAGGCGAAGTGGGGGATAGCCATAACAAGTAATGGTCACAAGACCAGTCAAGAGAAGAAGCAAAGTAAAGCAAGCTCAGGGTGGATCACAAAGTCACCACACAGTCCGAGCACAAGCAAAGGGCCACAAGGCCAGTTCACATGCAGAGTTATATAAAGAGAACAAAAAATGCAGTGATCATACCCTAACAAGTGCAAGCATGCAGGTATATAGATAGATCACAGTACAGGCAGAGTCAGCAGTAAGTAAGTGAGGCAAAGTAGGGACAAGGCCTAACACAGTAACAAAGCGCTGATGGTCACTAGGCGGAAGTGCCTTGGTGAAGACATCAGCAGTGTTGGCCCGAGTGGCCACGTACGCTAGACGAAGCTGACCACGCTGCTGCAACTCTCGAGCAAGGAAGTATCGCAGAGCGATGTGCTTCGTTCTGTGCTCCAGTCTGTGCTCCTGACACAAGGCTATCATGGCCTTGTTGTCTACGTACAGGACTGGAGGCGAACGAGGCTGCTCTCCCAAGTCGGTCAGCAAGTAGGTGAGCCAGCGTAGTTCCTGAGCAGCCATGGCTCCGGCATAGATCTCAGCCTCACAGCTGGAGCTGAGAACTGAAGACGAGCGGGTAGACCGCCAAGAAACTGAGCCGGACCCAAGGCTGAAGGTGTAACCCTGCGACGACCGCTGCGTAGCTGAGTCGTCAACCCAGGAGGCGTCTGCGTGACCAGTGAGGACAACAGGACCCCGTCCTCCAAGCACAAGCCCCATGCCCGACGTACTCCACAGGTAACGCAGTACCCTCTTCGCAGCATCCCAGTGCACCTTTCGGTGCCTACCGGGAGCCACGTAGCGAGCCAGAAGGCTGAGAGGGTACGCGAGATCAGGTCGAGTGCAAGTCATCAGGTACATGAGGCAACCCACAAGCTCTGAGTACGGACCACTCGGCTCTACGGACTCGTCCGAAGGTGGAGCTGAGAGCGAGTGGCTGGTAGACAGAGGAGTGAGCTGTGGCGAGGAGTACTGGAAGCCGAAGCGCTGAAGGACCTGGTGCACCATGTGTGACTGAGTCAGTGTGATGGTGCGCCGTGCTCTGTCCCGGGTGATCTGCAGGCCAAGGTAGCTGCGCAGTTCACCCAGGTCAGTGCAGGTATGTCTCTTCTGCAGCTCGGACTTCACTAGGGTCAAGGCCTCAGTGTCAGCCGTGGCAAAGACGAGGTCGTCGACGTACACTAGGACATAGAAGGGCGGCAGCGAGGTGTCGGTGCGTAGAAACAGCGACGGGTCTGCTGTAGAAGGAACAAACCCAAGAGCCGCAAGCGTAGTCCTGAGTGTGTCGTGCCACTCGCGAGGCGCCTGGCGGAGACCGTAGACTGGCCGACGGAGGCTCCACTGGGTACCTGTAGGAAACGACCCAGTGAAACCAGGTGGTCGGCGCAGCCAGATGTCCTCGTGAAGGCTGCCCTGCAGGAAAGCAGTACTGAAGTCCAGGGAGTGCGAGGTGTCGGTGCGTAGAAACAGCGACGGGTCAGCAATAGAAGGAGCAAACCCAAGAGCCGCAAGTGTAGTTTTCAGTGTGTCGTGCCACTCGCGAGGCGCCTGGCGGAGACCGTAGACTGGCCGACGAAGACTCCACAAAGTACCTGGAGGAAAAGACTCAAAGAAGCAAGGTGGGCGACGCAGCCAGATCTCCTCGTGCAGGCTGCCCTGCAGGAAAGCTGTGCTGAAGTCCAGAGAGTGCGACTCGTAGTCACGCTGAGCAGCGACGTGCAGCAACACCCGAAGAGTAGTCATCTTCGGGGTGGGGGAGAAGGTCTGGAAGTAGTCAACTCCCTGTCGCTGACTGAAACCTCGAGCAACGTAGCGCGCCTTGAAGGCAGGCGGAGAACCCGGCCGCCGCTTCACCCTGAAGATCCACATGCCATCGACTATGTTCACCCCAGGTGGGGGAACCTCGTTGACGTAAGTGCCTGTGGACTTCCAGGATGCCATCTCGGCATCCATTGCTGCCTGCCACTGAGAGGAGTAACGACCCGTAATCGCCTCTGCGTAAGAGCGCGGGGTCGGGATGTCAGGAGCATCCGGGTCTCCCTCAGGGGCAAGCAGCAAGGAGGCGAAACGAGGTACAGCAGCTGCAAGACACTCAAAGTCCTCCTGCCTGTCCTCAAGGACGTCCGTGCCAAGAGCACACTCACCCCCGACGGACGGAGGACTGGCAGGCACAGACTCAGCAACTAGAGCAGAGGCGTAGTCGAGACGGCAGGCAGCAGCAAAGTCAAGTAGCTCAGCAACGAGAGCAGAAGCAGCAGCAGACTCAAAGGAGGGTCAGTGACAGCAGTGGCAAGGAGACGAGCGACTGTGGGACTGGCAGCACGCGCTCGGTCAGACTCAGGGTCAGGGACCGCAGGAAGAGAGGACTCAGGAGGAGCAGGCAGAGGAACACGCAGTGGAACAGAGGAAGGACGGAGTGCCATGGTGTGTGTGCCTGGGACAGGAGGAGGACGCGAACGAGGAGCACGACGAGCAGTGCGAACAGGCGAGACAAAACGAGACGCAGGCTCACGACGCTCTGTAAGACCTCCGGACTGCTCAGTGTAAGGAGAGGGAACAGGCAGTGGGGAGGCTGGCTGTAACGGCGGCTGCGACTGGTCAGGCGGTGGACACAGGAAGGGAGGAGGAAGACCAATAGAAGACGGGACACCAAGAACCTGCTGAAGCAGGGGAACGAAGTACGGTCGCGGCCGCACAGTGCCTCCAGCACCTCCAGCGCCAGGGTCAACAGCTCCAGCTCCTGCAGCTCCAGCGCCTCCTGCGCCAGGGCCTCCAACTCCAGCTACTCCAGCTCCAGCGCCTCCAGCGCCAGCTGCTCCAGGCTCCGTAGGGTCTCCAACTCCAGTAGTAACAGCAGCACCTCCAGCTCCAGCGCCTCCAGGCTCGGGGAGCCCCACTCCGACGGTGTGCGCGCTGAACAAGCCACTCACGCAGCTGCTGCGAGGACACTCGCGGTGAAGCACCAGCATGACCTCCAGACGAAGCAGCACCCCGAGGCTCAGCACCCCCAGACTCCGCACCCTCCGACTCAGCACCCTCAGGCTCAACACCCTCAGGCTCAGCACCCCCAGACCCAGCACCCTCAGACCCCGCACCCCCCGGCTCCGCACCCCCAGACGCAGCACCTGGAGCAGCACCTGAGACAACAACTACCTG